TTGTAAACTTTAAAAGAAGGCAATGAATTGCAAATCAATATTGAAACCGAATTAATTATGCAAAAAAAATATAAATATACATTGAATGAAATAGGTAATTTAAATAATTCCAATTTTATAGTCGTTTTTGGAAGCTCTTGCAAAAAACCTAAATTGTTACTTAGAAAATCGGAAGAAAAAAAAACAATGTGATATTTTTTCTACTTGAAACAAAGACAACCGCTGACGACAAAAACAAAAAATAAAACCAGAAACATAACAAGCGAAATCGTGGATCTCCCATAAAGCATTTCATTTGTATTCGTTGTTTGTGTTATATTCATTCTAACTGGTATTTCGATATATTATATATTTAACGTTTGTGTAAAGCCAAGCCAAACGTATCGTAGTATTCCGATGTGCGGCATGTTCATGACTTTTTATCAGTCGGCTACATTAGTTTTCGTTGTTTTCAACAATTCTTTTGTCACTGACCTTATAGTGCATATGCCTGTCAATGTCGATACTATCTACTATGGGTATGGATGAGTTTTTTTTATATATATTTCGCTGTTGCTCTTCTTGCTTCAGCGTAAACAATGATGCTATAAACATTTTAGCAAAGTATTTCGCCTCTTGCAATTCCGAGCTCTCTTGGTAACATTGGTGCTCTGTTGGTGCTTCAATTTCTAGCGGAAATCCATTTTCGTTTTGTTTTTTTTTTTCGTCTTTTAAGTTTAAATTACATTTCAGTTTTGTTAACAACAACTGTACGATTTCTCTGTGTTCACTGTGAACTTTTCGATTCTTTAGCGAGCGAAAAATCACACAGGAGTTTTTACATTATTTTATAATGAACTTTGTACTTTACAATTGTAAATTGATCGATAAAATTATTGTTCGGCGTTGTTGTTGGTTTTTTTTTTCGTTTCGTTCTGAATGCCATTTGTCATATTCGGAGATATGATCACATGGAAATGTTATCATTTGTATGTATAACAATATGCATGCCTAACAATTTTGGCCAGAAACATAGCCAAAAGCAATGTGAATCAGGTAAAATATAAATTTGCATAAATTTATTACTGTTTGAAACAGTTTGAAATGGAATGCACGGTGGCACATCGATATTTGAGCGGCTTTTAAACCCATCAATTCATATTCCACCATAATTGCTTATGCTGGTCTCTCATCAATTTTATGGCATAGTGGTCGATATGCGGTATTTCAAAAAGAAAGTCATAAAAAATAGTGGAGTTTTTTTTTGTTTTTTGTTCTTTTGAACTAGACAAAATGAAATTGTAGAACTTTAAATTTATAGTTTTAGGTAAATTGAAAATGGCAACATCTTTTTTTTATTTAATTTGAAAGTCATCAAAATTTAAAGTTTACACTGAATCTCCCGTCGTAAGTGTTTCCGTTTTTTTCTTCTCGTAGTGTTACAATCTGGCATCAAAGTGGAAAGACAAAATGAACAGAGTATTACATTCGGATCTTAACCTTTTGTCAAAAATGACGCTTTTGTTCAAAATCGCTTCAAGAAGTTTTTTGGTTACGATTTTTTTTTTATTGCAATTCTCATTGAAAATCGACTCCTACTCGAGTCGTTTTGATCTGATTATAATACTTAGCTACACCGGGTGCTGTGTGAGGAAAAGTGATGCCATCGTGCAAATCGTCTATCTTGTTGACTGTTTTGTAGACGATGTCGCTTTGATTTTTCTTTGTTTCATCGCGCTCAAAAGTATTCTGATCTGTTTTGTATTTCTCACATCGCGTATATACACGTATTGAGTTACCGCGATGAATGTACGTATGTCTCGACGCGTTCAGGTTATGTTTTGTTTGTGCTCTTTCAATTTGAAATAGCTTGGTGGCAACGGAATCAACCACGAACATCACGGCGATAGAGAATGAAAAAAAAAAACAGTGTATGAAGTGAAGATGCGACACAAAAAAAAAATTAGCTAAAAGAAGAGCGGAAAGAAGAAGAAACTGATATTTTAGCGGAATAAGTGAACAATGATATAAAACGAAAATTGAACTACATAGCTCATCCGTGCAAAAGAGATGTGTTCGTCTGTGGTATTATGCTTTCCGTTTGAGAACGCAATTCGGTGCTATTTTATGCATGAATATCAAAACAGTATTGATTACATGCGTAATGCGATGTTTGATTTAAGACGAAGGTTAAATTATTTGAATTGCATGGAAGTAGTAGCAATAATATTTCCTTCAATAGTAATAATAACATCCAAGCTTTATATGTCTGAACCTATAACCTTCTTCCAATGCATTCCGAGATCATAGGTTTGCTTCTAGCACTTATCATCGAAGGCCGACACTTTGTATGTTGGAAATGTGGTACGAATAACGCTTCAGGTGCAGCATACAAACAACACACACATATATATACAAAACATTCATATCGAAGTTTAGTTGTGATTAGTGTTACATATATCGAATCAGGTGCACTTTATTGTAAGAAGATGAAAAAAAAATGTTTCAAAAGGTTTAAAGAGAGAAAATGCAGAAATTTGCACATATCGGAAGCAACGCGAAATGAAATGAACAGATTGCAGCTCCTACTTAACCATGGCAGCCATTAAATACATTTCTATGTGATGAAGAAAAGAATAAAAAAAACAACATAATTAGTGAAATAATTCAAGTTACTGAACTTATTGGAAGTATGTATTGTGGAATTGTGTAGACTATAGAACTGTAGACACGATGAATGATTAAAGTTATCGTTTTATTCGAATCAGACAGCGAGCTCAGAAGAGCTCAAGCTTGGCCTTCCACTGCAACTCGTACACAGCTTAGGTATCTTTAACGTTAACGTCCGGCATTCCACATACACACAAAAGGGGCAAATGCGAATGTGTACCTGTGTGTATCTGTTCTGTCTATAGCGTAATAACGAGAATAAGATGACAAAGAAAGAGAACAGATATACATATAATAATAATAGGCAGGTGTGCTTCTCACGAAAATTATATATTGCGCTTTGAATTTTTCTGTGACTCTGATTTTGTCTTCTTTGCTTCTTTAATTCACTGTTTCAACTAGAGTGGCCTGACTCCATCCGACTTCTCTGGTTACTGCGCTTATATATGTACGATCGTATATATATGTGTAAGAGAGACCTTTTATTTTCGAACATTATTCACGTTTTAATGGAAATCGTTCCGAAGAACCGGCTTGCGGTTTTATGTGGTGCTTTTTTGCTTTTATTTTCATTCTGTAATTTTTTACATTATTTTTTTTTTCTTCAACAAGACCACTCCACGAGAATGCAATGTGCATATCATATGATTAGAAAAGACATTTTTATCGAAAATATATAGCTAAAAATTGTTTTTTTTCTTGCTCTGGCAATTGGCATGCAATTTTTATGTTGCTAAATACCAAATATCTTTTCATCGTAGTTTTACACCGATAAATCAGATAATCTCTCGAACAAATATTTTCTATACAGATTAAATAATGCATCGAAAATAAATCATGGAATATATCAACTAATCAATAAATCATTGAGTTGAATTCCAACGAAAAAAAAAAGGATACCAATAACAAATCGAACTTGTTAGCGATGTTGTCTCCTAATTAATGTTCATACCAAAAAAAAATTTGATCTAGGAAAATATGCGTAATAGATTTTTATTATGATCTCCTCCTTTTATCACTCTACATCGGAAATTATCTGAATAGAATAGAAAAAAAATGATGGGTATAATTTCAGCGTGAAATAAAACCGACAAAAAATAAGTTGTTTATGGTTTTGGTCAGTGATTTTATTCAATAATATACCCTTTAACTAATGCGCAGCTCAGTACTTTCATATTAAGTGCATTGAAGTTTATGAAGAAAGAATAAAGAAACTACGCACACAATAATAAATGAACGCTTCAACTAACACAAAACCCTAAATCGTTGGTATTGAGATCAGGTAAAGAAATGCTCGACTGTGCACTTGAAAATAACAACAAAAACAATCCGGAGAGAGAGAAAAGAAGGAACGAAAATAAAAAAAAATACTCAACGTTCTGGACAACAATAAACAACACAAACAAAGCTTGGCTTTAAACACACAGCAGCATAAACAGCGAGAACTTGCAATTGACATGGAAGAAAGTATATAAGCGAATGTTTTCTGTGCAATTTCTTGAACGGAACACTAGCATGGAAATGAAAGTAAATGATTTTGATAGATTTTTTCTTGTTATCTAAGCCTATTCAGTTGGATTTTCGTCATTAAAATCCATTTTTGCTGGCATTCCTTTTACTATATAAATCTTAAATTAAAAAAAATAATACTAGGTTCTTTTTTCGTTCGAATTGATATTTAATTTTTTGCTCTTATTCCATCGATATTTTGACGAGCGAAAAAAAGAAGAAGTAAAATTGGACTAGGATTACGAACACACAGCACAGCTTATTAACAGTGTTTTATGTCTTTGCGCTAGATGCTCTGGCTTAACGTATTCAAAAGTCGAACGACGACGACCACGAAAACAACAATTAACAATGAATGCACCGAAAACTCATTTACTCTTGCTCATTCGATGCGACATTCGAATGTATTTGCTCATGCTTACTTTCTTGCTCATGCGTCACTAGAAAACCGTCAAACTAAATTTCTATCAAGATTCGCATTCGAAATATTTAGTGAGAAAATGTATGGACGCGCGATGAAAGAAGAGATTTCGATTTCTATGCTCGAATAGAACCGTATACTATGGAACTGAATGATTGGAATGATGCAGAGGGGAATGGGACGCTTATAATACGTTCGCAATGCGAAGCGATGCGATACCGCATGATTCGCACCCGTACGCATCACATAAGCCATCCACCACCTGCATTTTTTCTCTCTATCGTACCAAGGCGTAGTCATCTTTCTCTTCGCAACCATCAACACCGAAGCGTCAACGCTGCACGTCAACCGCAAGCCATACAGCTCTATATCCATATAAAATATATTCCATCCAGTGAAATGTAGTTAGTTTCCATTTTGTAGTTAATGCAAACGCACGCACAATTGTGAAATATTTTTGTTTTGGTCATAGTATTTTTCCCAAAACCAAACATCAAAAAAAAAGTTCAAACGATACATGTTTAAATAACATTCGCGTGCATCCAAATCCATTCCCTTCAAAGTTTTTTTTCCACCAAATTCACAAATATACAACAAAAAAATAACGCTAATAATATTCTTATGGTGTTATAGTTTTATCTATTTTTTTAAAATAAAAATAAAGTGAACTTGTGTGCACTGAAAATTAAAAAAAAAGAATCGTGTTGACATGAAGGATTTTATGATAAAGAAAACTGTAATTCAACGAAACTAAACACATCAATTCTAATTGAAACGAATAAAATAAAAGCCGTGTTCTAAATTATGAAACTAAACGAAATGATTATCGAAAATTTATGCGAAATGAAACAAAAACTCTAACCGAAAATTCGTTCATCAAGAAGTGGTGAATGAATCAAATAAAAGCAATAGAACTGCGAGAAAGAAATTGAAATAAAGAACACAATTTTTGCGATATAATTCAATACTTGATAGAAATTGGACAATTATTGTTCCGCTGGATTGCTAAAGTGCACTTCTGCTTGTGTTCATTTTTTTTGGCTCTTGGAATACTTACAACAATATCAGACCCAGGAAATAGAACGGCTACCACTTTGGAAATAAATTTAAAAAAAAAACGGTAAGTTATTCAAATTTCTTTTAGAATTATATGACGCCTAGGTTAATTAAGAAATTCATAAGACTATCTATGTACATTTGATTAGATGATGTGCTGAATTAGACTACTTCTCAAACCAAAACTAATTTTAAAATGTTAACCTTAGCTTTTCAGTGACTTTATAAATATGTATTTACACATTAACCATTGTTTGAGATGGAAGAACGCATGAAGATGCCATTAAAATTTGATTCCCATAGGGAGTAAACTTAATTACATTTTCTTTTTGGTTTTCAAACCAACTCTCTGGTTTAGTCATAATCATGCAAACCACACATTCACATTCAATTCGGTAAGGTATAAACAGTTGCATGCGGTATTTTCATACCAAATTTTAATTGTTAATGTGTAAATAAACACGTTCCCAGCAAAAATGTAGTCAATCGTTTATTTGGTACATTTGTTGTGATGATACGTACTATAAAGATCTTTTAGATCTGATTGGCAAATTGTTATTTCGTTCTGCAAAGTAGCATTCTTCGTTACACCTATAATTTGTAAAGCAGGTTTTTCTCCCCTAAATCAATCTCGATCAAAATCACAAAGAAACATTTGAATTTGTCTTAAAAATATGTCCGCAACGATTTGAAGAAGAAAAAAAAAATGATACTCAACCGTTCACATCGCTTTTGAGATGCGAATTGTTTCTTTTATGGCATGCACGATCTATGGAGCCGTTTTTGTTTTCGTTTGTATTGGCATTTCTGGTAAAAGAGAAACAGGAATTTCATCTTCATATTTTCAGTGCACAAGGTCAAATTTCAAATCCACTTCAATCGTTATAAATCAATGAGGGATGAGAGAAAATTTCTTAACAAAAAAAAAAAAACATTTTCCTACGCGAATATACCTTTTTTTTTCATTTTTTTTTTATTTTGAGTTATTTGAACTCCCATGGTTATCGTTTTGGTTTTATATCCAAACGCATAACGTATGTGTACGCACACAACGAGATAACATAGACAAGTATTTATTGTGTTTTATCGAAAAGCAATATCTCTATACACACACAAAAAGAAAGCATGAGATGTTCGAATTTTTGGCAAAATTTCTTCATGCTGAGAGAGATAGCGAGGCAGTTAACACAAACGGTTACCATTGTATGAATGTAAAAGGGAGGGAACAATGCAGCAGAGAAAAAAAAAATAAGACCAAACATTGAAACGTATACATGTAGATCGATTCAGAAATGGCAAATCGATTTTAAGATTATTTCCACTTCATCTCTTTTAGTTCAAGCGGCAGGATAAATCAGTAGTACCACAGTATCAATGCTTACTTCAAATAACACCAAAGCCTGTTCAATTTGATTCTTTTCCACAACAAATTCTTTACACCGTCATTCAATTTATGAAGATTGTGAAAATATGAGAGCGAAAAAGAAAAATTCAATCAGAGCGATAGCATTCACACATACACCTCAACATATATCTTATGTTATATAATTTAATATGTCCTTTGGAATTTTTGAGTAGAAAATAGTATTTAATGTCTTCATACTAAGTAGCTTTCACGCGCCAGTAAGGAGCATTTTTTTTCGCGAAAATATGCTGAATCGCATCGAAGGCATGTCATTAATTATCAGTCAACACCACGAAATTAATTTAGAAGATTATTAACGAAGAATCGCGTTTAAGTTGTCACGCATTCCTAATTTTGGGAAACAAATTTCCTCCTAAAAAATTTCACTCGAAGCAATATATACTTCCTCTGGGTTTTTTTTATTATGCCCACACTTATTCACGTCATTTTTCATTCACGGAGCAAGAACATTTTCATGGTGATATATTCAAAAAAAAAAGAGAAGAAACTGACTTAACCGTCATATCTAAATAAGCGATCTTCCAACGAAATACGAAAAAATGTTAAATATATACAAAGTGTGTAATTTTAAAAACAATTGAGTGCATCCGTTGTGTTTTTTTTAATTCTTTGAACTTTCGGGTTTGCTCAATAGATGCGACGAACACTGGTTTCATTGCTTTCATTTCACTCGATGATGAGTTTTATACCGTATCCGCAATTCAAAAGTGGTTCTATTTATACTATCTCTTTTATCTGTGTATGGTTTTTTTTTATTGGGGTATAATGTAAGGCACAATGAATTATGTTTCCAGCATAATATATATAGCTTTTATCATTTACGATCTTCTTTCGACACAAGTGTAATTTTGTTATTTAATGATAATACAAAAACAAAAACTCTATAATTCACATTTTGGCGAATTAATTGTATATTCATTAGCGCACATGAATTTCAATACCCTTGAAAACTGTCAACTTTTCACAAATACTCGAGCGCTATTTTATTTTCTTCATACATATATTCAACATTGTTGACTTTATCTTTCGTGCTCTAGATTGTGATTCTTTGTCCAAGATTATTTCATGTGCGAACTGAAATGTAAATACAGAAAAAAAAATGGAAACAAACCACAAACATAAAACATATTGAACATGAACGTTCCATCAATTTCTTTGATGTTGGAAAATATCTTTTGGTTTCATCGCTCCATTTGAATTAATATACTTTCTGATTTGCCAGCAATCCACACTGTTCGCTATGTTTGTTCTCATTTCAATATCTGCGGATGATTCTTTCGAATGTAAATGGTACTCCAAGGCAGAATAAAATGGTAATAAAAGACGAAGAAGAAGAAGAGTAAGCAAAATGTGTTAAACTCTAATTGTATCAGATGTTGACGTTCTTTTTTGTCGCAACACCCAAATATATCCCCAAAAGAGGATAAATGAACTATATATCATGTATGATGGTTTATCCCCCCCAAATGCGATAATATTGGCTTGATGTCATGTTCTCTCTCATGAAAGTGTTCGGTGTGAAGTTTTTAAGTTTATTTTGCGTTGTTTTCTATGGTTCATGGTGCTGCCTCGCCATCCATATGGATTTTGTGACCGTTTGTATATTCAGTTGAACAATAGAGTAGACAGCACAAGAGAGCGTAAAAATGCATTTAAAAAACGAACGCACAATGAAACAACTCTAGTTTACATGCTTTCTCAATTTAAATTCTCGGTATGTGGATCGCTTGACATTATGCTACATATAACCACAACAATACACATACGTCTTTATATATTGAACGGAATTGAACTTAAATATACGAATGTTCTGTTTACATTAGAACATTTAATTTTATTTATTTGTTTATTCATTTATTTTTTATGTGAAAGTGCTTTTTCCGTCGCACCATGCTTAGAATACATCGAAACTGTCGCCATTATCGCCAAACCCATTCACTGGAAAGTCTCAACTATATAGAAATATAACACTATATCAAACACCTATATCATTCCATTTGTGAATGTGCTCCGCTCTGAGTGTCTCCGTTTTCTAATTTATTTTTCTTAGACTCGATCGATTCTATATGTTGAATAATATAAGACGCTCTTTTTTATCCTTCATTACTTTACTCACATACACATGGTTACTATAAACTGGTTCCAAATAGATGAAGCGAAAAAAAAAACGGAGCTTTGAAATTAAGATTAAAATCACAATAAATTAATTGGGTTCAAATTGATTCGAAAAGAACATATTTAAATGGAATTTTAATAAAATGAAATTTATCATTTTAAATCAAAATCGAATCTCGCTTGATTGCACGATTCAAATGTACAATATAAGTCTTACCCTAATTTTTATATATATTACTTTCTAAGAATATGACCATCAAAAACTATGAGGGGATCTATGTTCTCTCCCTATTTTTTAAAAATTGATTCGTTTAAAATGTCAGTACTAATAAACTATTTTGTTATTAATTTTCAGGCCTATCACACTGTGTAACTTCCAGTTCAAAAGACTAAATAGGTATTTCATCAACGACTGTTTCAAATGTACTCGAGTGTACACTGTGACTTCAATTTATGAAGATTGAAAAAAATGTAAGTAAAATTTTGTATAAACCATACGATTTCTTTTCAATTCGAATTGTGTATTAATGGAACTTTTGTTTCTTTTTAAATTGTAGATTTTTTTGATCGCTGCGTTATAAATCAAAATGAAGCTAAAAATGTCTTATTCAAATTTGCCGAAACTATTCGCTCACATTTTAGTTCTTGTCGTAATTGTGAGCGATGCAACACAAGGCTTGGCCAATTGTCCACAAGGATGTAAATGTGATGATCGAACGCTTGTCGTTAATTGTGGCGAAGGTCAACTAGATGTGCTACCAATTGCATTAAATCCATCCATCCAACGATTGGTCATAAAAAATAATAAAATAAAAACCATCGATTCATCAATTCAATTTTATGCTGAATTAATTTATTTGGATTTGAGTATAAATCATCTGTTCAACATTCCGGCCCGAACATTTTACTATCAAAAGAAATTAGAAGAGTTGCATTTAAATCACAATAAAATTGGCAGCATAACAAATAAAACATTCGTCGGTTTAAATTCGTTGACCGTTTTGAATTTGCGTGGCAATTTCTTGGACACAATTGGATCGGGAATATTTTCGTCATTGCACAAATTGGAGGAACTGAATCTTGGTCAAAATCGTATTTCACGCATTGAAGTTGGTGCATTCGATAATTTGCCCAATTTACGTGTTCTTGCATTGGATGATAATCAATTGTCAATTGTACCATCGCAACCATTGGCACCATTAACAAATTTAGCCGAATTATATTTGGGCATCAATTCATTTCGTACAATTCAATCGGGTGCATTTGCAATGTTGACACATTTGAATAATTTGGATTTAAAAGGTGCAGCAATGGTAAACATATCATTGGGTGCATTCCGTGGTCTTGAAAATTCATTGCGTACATTGCAATTGTCTGATAATCGGTTGGTTAAAGTGCCAACGGTGCACTTGAGCGAATTGTCACGCTTAGAAGAATTATCATTGGGACAAAATGATTTTGAAACAATTCCAGAAGGTGCATTTGTTGGATTAAAAAACTTACGACGTTTGGACATAAGTGGATCGATGCATTTGCGGAAAATTCAAGCTGGTGCATTTGCAACAAATACAAATCTCGAGTCAATTACCATTGCATCAAATAAAATGTTGACAGAGGTACAAGAAGGTGCTCTAAGTGGACTTCCACATTTGAAGCATGTTATATTACGTGATAATGCACTAACAACACTCGACGAAGGTCTATTCCCCTGGAGTGAATTGCACACATTTGATCTATCTGATAATCCAATTGTATGCGATTGTCGAGTTCTTTGGCTAAGAAATTTACTCATTATGAAAAACTCTAGTCAATTTACCAGCGAACAACAAGACAATACAATATTTTGTCATGCACCCGAACGTCTTCGTGCCGAACCATTGACAGCAATTTCACCATCATTATTGGGATGTTCACATTCAACGACACGTCGTCAAGCAATGTTTGGTACACTTTTAGTTGGTATTGCAGCGACAATAACCGCATTTGCATTACTCATCTACCGATATCGTCGACAAATTCGCGAAGTGATGAAGGGACGATGTACCGGTTCAAATCCGTTGGGCCCAAAAGAGCGCGAATATCAAAAGAGCTATTACGATGAAGACTCGTTTTTATCCAGACACATATATGCGCAGGCAACTAATCAGCATCCATGCAATTTGGCCGCACATCCAACAACATTGAATCACTACTACTACACACCAATTCATCGTCCACCGATTACAGAATTATGACAATCAATAGCCCCGCCGCCTTTGCCACCACGCGGCCCACAAATGCATCTGTTTTCAAGTATTAGCGATGCAAGCAATAGCAGCGTTATAAATAGCGTATATGGATGCGGCGGCAGTGGAAGCGGCGGGACAAATGATGTCTCAACACACAGCACATCATCGACGGCATTTCTGCAATTGAGTCAAGATCATCTTAGCAATCATCATTCACTCGGTTTTAAGAGCTTGTGCCGACAATAAAACTGAGAAAGAATCACATGAACCAACACATTCACTCACTGTATATATGTTCATTATCATTTAAAGTGGCTATATGTCATACGAGAAACAATTGTGGCGTGGTCAAGGATATAAATAGTCGAAGTATCTCTTAATCGTCATCATCATCGTCATGCTGAAAAGTAAAAGTTGACAACCACAAGAATTTCACTTTTCAAAGGTGTGTAAAATATAAATGTTATTATTCATTTTCGAATATTTTATCTATCTTTTTTTTGGAAAACATCCCAAAGGCATTCTTTCCATATACATCGAAACTAATTTATGATTTTTATTTTTTTTATTTTTACAGAAACCCAAAGCTAATCTATCTAATGTGGCATCGAACAAATCACAAAAGCAATATAACATTGAGATAATATTATCCATGAAATTTTAAATTCGCTAAAACATACAAAATAACTTACAATTGATCTAAAAAAAACTTATTGTCTTGAATTTCGATTACTTAATACATTGTGAACAAACAATATTTCTCTTTCAAACCGTCGAGAGTTAGTTGTAGAGATGAATCAAATGAAATTTAGAATGTAGTAGTACGATATTGTGAACAAAACTTTTCATGTCCATTTGTAAATCAATTCATTAGATATTATTCAAGAAATTCATCTAACCGTCAATAATTTATCATACCTAATCATATAAAATGTAGATTCTTTCAAATATGATTCAGATCACATCAGTGAACAAAAACAATTTCGCGACAACAATGGTTTACTTCATATTCACCTAGCCACGACATAAATTTTAATCTTGAACGTGATTTCTAGAGTAAGAAATATTGAACGAAGTCAAATTTCAATATTAAATTGAATTTAATTGCACGTACAAAACGGATATATGGATAAATATATCAAACACTGACCATTCACATTACGTGGAAATTTTAATTTAAAAAAATAATAAAACGACTTATAATGTACGTACTGTGTACGAAAATAATGAGAAAACGTAGCATTTATCATTTGTGAACTGTAAAATATAGATTAATAAACTAATTTAAAAATTAAATATATTTAAATGTAAACAATCTTAATAAAATAATTTAAAATGAACACTTTGAATCAATGCTGGTTTTAAATTTTCTTTTTGCATTTTTTATTCTCAGGTTATTAGTCAAGAATCGTTTAGTAATGTATTTCTTTCCGAAAGGTAAGCCATGGAAAGGCAACAGCTTATGTATCAAATTGTACCTACATTTTTAATTTCAATATAAAAATGTCTTGATGTTAAAAATCGCTTCAATGTACGCGAAACCGAACAATGGATTTTCCAAACTGAAATCTTGTTCCGTAAACATATTGAATTTGTAATTTTGCAAAAACTAATAACTTTGCAAATGCGCTCTATCGTTCGTTTGTCTCAATTCCAAAACAAATGTAAGCGAAAGTTTTCAATTGATCTTTTAATGAAACGAAGAAACATTTAAATAACGAAGTCTGTAATGGCTCTTGGCGAGCAGGTTATTCCCTTTTTGTGTTCTGTAAACAATCTTTCGGATTCTTTGAATATTGGACGTAATTGCATTTATCGCAAATAAAAAGATGAACAACAAAATGAAGTAAATGTTTGGAAGTCATCGTATCATACGATTTGTATGTGAAGCCATCTCAAAGCGTCATCTATTTGTCAAAGAGACGAATTATTCAGCTTTTACATACGCTTTGCAGCTTTTAGAACGCATACAATATGACAATGAAATCTTGACTCAAGTGGCTTAAGTTCTGTAAGTTTATGTATTGTAACTGTTTGAGCAAAAGATGGCCTAAAGACACTATTAGGGTGGGGTGAAAAGTATTGAGACTCTTTTTTCATAAAGTGATATCATATTTTAATTCGTATTCTTTTCTCTTACATTTAAAATCCAACGATTCTAGGTATCATTTGTACGGATGATATAAATTATCAAAGTAATAAATTGAATAGAAATTTGAAAAAATGTCAATGAAATTGTCTAAAGTTCGCGAAATACATCTTATTTTCATTAAAAATCTAAAACTTTAACTGACAGCTCAACAATATGAATAAAATATAAAACTTTACTCAACTATAGTTATGATTATTCGACTGTTAATCAAAATACACCAAATCGGATGACCAAAAAGTCACTGCAGCATATCTTATAAACATGTACCCGTATTTCACTACTCCGATTTATGGGTAATCGTCATAGCTTCTGGAGGTGACGACCCAAGGGAGGGATTTAAATCAAAAAATTTCCAAAATAGAATTTTTCTTGGCAAAACCTCTATCAAACCTTTTTGGTTTTGGTTTTTCATTTCACTCGAGCAAAAAAAATGATAACGGGATAATTTGGTTAAAAAATCCCTAGCAAATCGAAAGAAGAATTTTCTCTCGTCAAAAACATTAGCAATTTTGAAGAAGTGACACTCGAAAAGTCAAATGTCCGCTCATGTGAAATTCGAAACTTCTGTATTGCACTTTGTGCGACATAATAATAAAACTTAATGTATTAAAATGTGCAAAAAATGACCAAAAAGTGTCAAGTCAAATCCGAAAAATGGTCATAAATGGTCATAAATCGCGCATGGTTTATTGGGGTACTTAATTTTAACTTAATCCTTTGGATAATATTTGAGGGATACTATAGAATTCAAGAGAAACTTAGTAGGTCAAAGTATCACTAATTACCAATTCCTTGAAATATATGCTTAATGATTTGTGGTATTAAAGTGCAAAGGTCAGGGGGAGAGGGATTTTTCGTAGTTCTAATGTAGACGATCTTCTATAAATGAAGCTGCATTTTCTTCATTCTATTATTTCCATTTTGTACTTGCGATAACACACCTCATCGAAGAGAAGAAAAATATTTTCCAGTGCTAAATTCAATAGCAAAATCAAAATAAACATGAATTATATTCAAGATTTTAACGAGACAACAGACCGTTTTCTGATTCATATTCCGGTATGTATCAACACAGTATTTTTTAAGTTTCAAAAATATTCTTTTTTCCCATAAATAATTTTGGAGTTAGCATCTAATTCATCTCTTTTTTTTCAGTTTCAGCAATGCATTCTCCCAGAGATAAAACCCTATCGACACAAATTCACCGCGGCACAACTGGAGGCTTTGGAAAATGCTTACAAACAATCGCCTAATATGACCCAGCAGCAGGGCATTGATGATTTTGCGAATAAGCTGTACTTACGGACGAGAAATGTAAAGGTATGGTTTCAAAACCGTCGAATCAAAGAGAGGCGGGAAAAAAATAATGCCACCATACGGAATGCAATGAATAATGAAGCCAAATCTGTTGTTGAACATAGCCGTGGACAGAACCGAAAACCGAAAAGATTTCGCACAGCCTTTAGCACAGATCAACTAACAGAATTCGAAAACAGATACAAAATAAGTAATCGGATATCTCTACAAGAACGCATCCAATTGGCTCGAAAATTGAAATTGGACGATCAAAATAAAATAAAAGTATGGTTCCAAAATAAACGAATGAAAGAGAAGAAGGAACGAACTGAATCAAATTCAAATACAACGACGGTACAACCACCGTCAACAACCCAACAAAGCGGTTCTCTGCATCAAGAGAATGTCCAACCATCGAACAGCGGGCAATCATCAACTGAAGCGGACGACCAATTTGATTCGGAGGATTTAGGATCATCTGTTATTGGGTCACCATCGGGCAATACGGATGTTTTAGCAATGCTGGTCAAGACGTGTTGGTTGCATGATTCGCAAAAATCAGATCAAGAAATGGAAGTGGAGGCATTACATGAAGAACAAGAGAACCAGAATTTCAAACCACCGAACAATGGACAATTCTATACTGAAGCCGTATTCAACAGCTCATTAGAGGCCGATCAATTTGAATTTAATTCCATCATTGAGGAAATATAGACTTGCATGATTTGAAGAATGAGGATGTTTTAGCAACGGATGCATCAAATAACACAGACATGCGGATCAATTTATCAGCGGGCGGGCATGATTCGGAAAAATCAGGGTAATCTACCATAGATGATGACGTAACATCTTTTAGGGGGGGTAATGGCAAAATTCCGTAGGGGGTCTCGGGAAAAATTTTTTTTGCTCTTCACTTTTTTGACGAAAAACCCTAGCAAGTCGGAAGAATTTTCTCGGCCCAAAAAGAGTGAAGAGCAAAAAAAAGGTCCTAATTTCCAAAATTGTTGAGGGTTCCTAAAAATATTTTAGAGGGGGGTAATCCGAACCCTAGGAACTCTCATCATCACCTATGGTAATCTACTATTTCAGGTTAGCTATTTTAAATTACTTTTAACATGGAGTAATAATTGGGCTATATTATTAGCCGTATTAAGGGCAGTTGGGGCATTAGTATTACAGATTCGTCAGATATCTCATTCAGTTCATTTTATCACAAGCAACCTGCAAATAGTTCCATTGGTAAGTTATAGTTACATTGAAGGTGAGAATGTACTGTTTTAAAGAAAATAATAAATTTTTTAGAAAGAAAAACAAAAACAAAGAACGTTTTAAATATTTTAAATTATTTATTTCTTTTCAAAAGGTTAAATATGGCGCCAACAAAATAAAAAGAGGTGTTTGAACGACACCACGACAGAGAAGAATAGATGTCACTTGTATTGTTTACTGGTAATAATTTTAAGGATTATCGGCATTAATTCATTATGATTTTACGTGAAATGTAATATACAAAAGAATTTTCACCTCAATGTGTTATTTAATGATCTATTGTTGTCTAAATGAAGTGGCTCTCAATAAAAATCACATAGAACATTTACTCAGGATATGTTAAATACAGAATAAAAGAATCTGCTTTGCACACAATGTTCTTCGAATTGTACATTTCAGGGGGTGAGAGTCGATTTTTCAAATCGAAACACTAAAATATCTTTTTACCTGAATTTCTCCCGAAAATTGGCACATTGTGTGATTATTCTCTTCATTCTATAGAAATGTTTCCGCTTTTCTTGGTATAGTCGTTTCCAAAAAGATCTGTGTTGTCAAACTAATACAATGAATTTCGGAACGCATTTCCATTCAAAAGTACACAAGGCTCCTTAGTTAAACGTGTCAATTTGGTTGGAATTTTGTTGAGGGTATGTTGTTTGTTCAAAATTTTGACAGTTCGCTGTAACAGATCTTATTGAAAACGACTATACGTTTTCTTTTTTGGGTATTTTTGAATAGGTAAATGTAATACAGCATCAATTTAAAATTCTCCTCTAATTAGTCTATGGTCGAAAATGATGATATGATGTTATTTTGAATTTTTTAAAAATATCGTTTAAAAGTTATCGTTGTGCGGCAAATTGAAGTGCCCCGAAAGTTGACCATCAAATATTATCCAAACGAGTAAGGTACAATAAAAAAAAATTGTGGTACATGTGTAGTACATGTTTGGTCCCAAGCTTCGAATTTTATATGAGCGGACATTTGACTATACATCCTGAAAAACAGTCTCTGACAACAAGAATTGTATTGTTTTCTATTTTCTTTTGTGCGGACTTTTTCGGATCTGTGTAGCTGAATAAATATTGATGTATATGTTCGCTACTATAAGTTTTCGACTTGTGTGTTTATGTGTGGCAGCAATGCTGCTCAAATGTTTTAAATATATAGACGCTGATCAATTGGTTGATATTTCGACTGACTGTTATTCAATTTTTTTTTTAACTTTATAGATTATATTTGTTTACAAAGGATCAAATAGAGGTGAACAATTAATCGGGAATCTATTAAATAGAACTCAATGAATTGAGTGGATAATAATCTGCGTATTTCTTTCTACTCAATTAAAAACCTGAACAAGAATTTTAAATCAACAAAAACAAAAATGTTAATTTGCCTCAAATAACGGCCCAATCAAATTCAATCTTCGAAAAATGTCCGAATTTTAGATTTATAAACACATTTGTTTTATTTGTTAATTATTTTTTCAAATTTTATTTTTTTGAACTTTATATACTTTCAGAACTTGTTTGTACTTTGTTCTTATGAGAATGAGTTATGAATATACACCTACTGCAGAGGGTAGGTGAATACGTAATCTGAATAAAATCAAATAAATTATAGAAAAAGTAGGAATTCATTGTCTTTTAACCAATAATAATCATTCAAATGATCAAAATTGTGAAAGTAAGGTTTTTTTTTCATCATCAAAAATGGCGCCATTTACACCATCACATTCGTTCACAAAAAATCAAATGAAACAAGTAAATTTACGAAGTAGAGCACATAACCTCAAATTTTTTATCAACGTATTTTGAGTCAGAAATAAACACATACACATATTCGGATCACATTCATATAGACGCTTTTTAATTTTGTTGCTCATAATTTTTTTGAAAATGGCTTTTTTATTTGATCCAATGCATGAAATCAACAAAATTAAATAATAATAAAGAGGTTCATTTCAAATTGTGATAAAATCAACTTGGCTTGCTCCTATAAAAAAAATTATAGCTTTCAATCCAATTAGAACTTTTGGATAGATTTCAAAAAACTTTCCATAGATGTCACCACACATCATAAACGATCTTTTTTTAACAATGGTCGAACTGTCTTTGAAACAGCATTCATTTATATAATTTTTAAAAAATATAAAAAAAAAAATCATTGCAAGCGAATAAAATGAAGTATGTTCCAAGTTTCGATAGAAAAATAGTCCTTTTCTTCTATTTTTATTTCTTTTCATTTTCTACTTATTTCATACAACAAAATCAATGGCACTGGCATTGAGTGATTGGTTTAATTTCTCCGTAACATGTATGTGGTACGATTTTTTTTGTGCACATGTTTTCAATAGATTTTGATCATAAACAACAGTCATATTTGTATATCATTCTTTCTGATTTTAAATAAATTAACCATATATCGAGCAACTGACAACTATGTTTACAATAAATAGAGAAGAAAAAAAAAATAATAAGAAGAAATACATCAACTACATAGAGCAAGGCCTCGCAATGAGTTAAACCAACCAGCAACACTGAAACTAAGGCGAGAACATGCATTTAAGATGGGAAGGGAACAAAAGAGAACAACTGATGACTGTGTGTGGTCTTTTATTAGCTTGTTGGGTGGTCTTAAAATCCAAATCTGTATCGTTTTGTGTGGTCTTCTTCACTAGTGTTTCATTCGCATGTATAGCATTCATTCCACTACACTGTTGTTCGTAGGAAAGCCGTACTTTCTGCAAAAGAGCGAAGATATTTTAACCAAATTCACACTAACGTCCACGTCCATGTGTATGTATCGATGCATGTGTGTGCGCGCGCGTTCTGCTCAAATTGTGTATGTGAAGAGTTTAACAACTTATACACAATCTCTTGATCTATGTATTGTTTGTGAAGATGCGTTGCATGTAAAATGAAATTATTTAAATTCAATGGCATATTGCCGAAATATCACTTGTTGATTATTAATATTTAAATTTACACTTGACTTTTTACTTGTGGATGCTGAATTTATCATCTGTAATCGGTTATTTATGAAACGATTTTTGGTTTTTTGTCAAATATAGTACAATACAAACCTTTCGAAATTATAGTCATACACAAAGTCCCAACGATTATTTATGATTTAGCTGTCATTGTCATGACAATGTGAATTAAAAAAAAAAAACCAGAAGTGTCTTTATTTTTCGAAAAAAAGAAGAAATATTGATGATTTCATTAGCAATGAATGTAACGCTTATTATTTGTTTTCTTTTACTCTCTTTGCTTTGGATGAATCTCTCAATAAAGCTTCTTTTTATCAAAAACAAGACATACAAACACAAAAGAAAAAGAAAATAATGTTCCATAATATCTTAATTTAGTGAGCAATGTTGAATCATTTGTATCTTGATTCATACGGAGCAACATGATCTCGGAAAAAATGCGCCCAAAAAAAAAGATCGAGCATCGTAAAAATGTCATGATGATTTCCATCTTTTGTTTTGCTCATTGTTGAGAAGCAATTAAGTAAGAAAACGCAAGAATTATCTATCCATTAAACACATTTCAAGTTTCAAAGTTGTTATTTTATTTTGTTTTTATCTGCAGATGAAACATATAGATTGAAAGAAAAACTACTTACATTTTGGAGCACCAAAAACATGCATGGTATGCCATACCGACAGCGTACGGTCGCAAATTGGATAAATTGGCAAATCGATTGTTTGCCGAAAATTATGAACTATGCAATGCACATCTTAGACACAAAATGACGATATAATTAGTCCACAAGTATTGTGCGTCAAAATCAAATACCATTCAATAAGATAACACAGGAAGCGGGTGAAATTATGCTCACATTCCCACTTGGCTACCATTGTGCCGAATCAACAAACTATGCCACATTGCGTTGGGTCGCGAATATGGCAAACGAGCATCACATTGTCAATGCCGGTAACTTTTTCACTTAATATATGAATGAATATTGCAGTTTTAAATTCAAATGACATTACAGTTATTCTTTTTATCGTCACCATTTAGAAGAGATGCGGTGAAAATCAGCAGGGACACATTCATCAAAAGATTTCAACCAGAAAATTATACAAAATGGCGAAGTGGTAATGATATTAGGACCACATCCAGAAGATGCTCATCGTCAAAGGTAAGGCTACTATTTCAACAAATCATTTTTTGTTAAACGTCTTTTTACACATTTGTTTTCGGTATTTTGTAGGAATGGAACCAGTAGCTCCAAATCAAAATCGGTGAAAAGAGCCAAAAAATCCAGATAGATTATCAGGACTGAAAAGGTATTATTTTTCTTTGTTTGTTTTTGGCGTAGCATTAATCAATTACCAATATCTTTTCAGGCAGGCGAAAAATTGACATTTCAAAGTTTGTCATACATATGAATCCAAAAGTTCGTTTGAAAAACATTTGGAAAGAATTGGCCGATGTTGGTGTAGCTGTAAACCTCTTGCCACCCGGAAATATCAATAAAACCATTAGCATCAGATATAGCATCAAAACTCAATCTTTATTCGACGATGATATTATGAATTAGTCAAACACCAACAAAAGAAAACCATTACTTTACAGCGAATGTAGAGTGTACGTGTGCTGGTCGAGAACTTTTTTTTTTTGTTTGTTGTGAAATTAACTTTTTTCATTCAAGTGTGTTACTCGACGTATTTTGAAAAATCTTTTTTTTTTGTTTTCTTTTCATCAACTCTTCATTAGCATTGGATTCATTAGAGTTTTTATTTCTGCCAACTTCGAAGGGCATCACGCATTAAAGAAAGAATCAAAAACAAAAACAAACGGAAATTCGAAAATGTATAGAATCTATTGAAATTTATTCGAGTTCATTTCCAAAGTTATAGTTACAGCATTAGATATTTATACAAAAAGATAATTAATAATTCGAGAATGCAGTTTAATTTATACAATCAAATTAAATCAATTGAAAAAATTAAATTGGACAATAGTTAAGTAGTTGAAAGCGTGTTCATTAATAAAATTTTGAACAAAATAAATGTGTCATATAACAACAAATAAATATTTTTATTCACACCAATTTCACTCGAAACAAAATCGAATTTACTGAATGAAAACGGATTTCGCGATGTGATCATATTTACAAAATTTGAATACTGGATTCAATGTTAAATGAAAAAAGCTAATGGTAAAAAATGCGACATATTTCGTCGAAATTTGCTGAATCAATGGAATCGGTTTACATTTTTTGTTGTGTTGTCCCAGACAACTTGTCCGTCAGTTCATCGAGAATTGAAATCAAACACCGTTAACATGAAATGAAAAAAAAAACAACAACATTTGTTAACATGCAACAAAACTGCCGAAATGTGCAGATATTTTTGCGTGACATTTAAAAAAATTCTTACTCACACTTTCAGTCAGAATTACTACGTCGAATCAAATAGTTTCAATTTGTCAAAATGAAATTAATTACCTTTTTGATTTTACATCTATTAATTATCAGTGCAATTGCTGTAGAAAGATGTGAAATGCCAAAAACAAATACAGCAGAAGATATTGTAAATTATTACGAATGTTTGTTCAGCACAGCCAATGATCATTTCTCGTGGAAGAAGTTTTTTGTGTCGTTATTCAATTTTGAAGTGAATTTCGAATGCCCGGTTACATTGAATATCATGGACATCAATGATATAGATATCGTATTGAAATTACTATGTTTATAATTAAAGCGAAAGTTAATTTACTACAAAAATTCTTAGAAAATCAAGTTGGGGAAAATGATAAAGCAAATGTGATTCATGAACTCTTTATCGCGCAAAATAAAATGAAAAAAGACAATGATCACGAAAAAAGTGATAGCTGCAGTAGCACTTGCAATATTACAATGCCACCAACGACATGCAATAACAGTTGCAATTGCAATTACCCACCAGTCACATTGACTATATCACGTATATGTAACTGCACAAGCAAATGTAATTCTACCTTAACCAACAACATCGGCCACAAATCTGAAGCGACTGAACCAAAACAATATAATAAAGGCTGTGACGTGACATGCAAATGTGACTTTGGTGATTATTTACGATATTCACAACAATATCCCAACGCAAACACATACACTTCTGGACAACATTGTTAGTTTGCTTTCTTTGTATCTTCATCGGTTAGTTGAATAATTTTACTGAAATATCTCCAAACATTAAGAAAAACATTCATCCTTAGAAATGAATACTTCCTGCCTATAACTTAATCAAAATCTGGGATCCATTGTCAAAGCATCAAACAATTATGCAATGAGAGGTAGATACGAGATGACAAGCATTATGTTAGAGCTCAGCGAGAGAGAGAGAGACAGAGTGAGAGCAACAATGTTCGCGTTAGGCGTTCGATTGAAATCAAATATTTCTGTCTAACTATAATAAAAGAATTTTTGGCTTAGGTTAAAATGAATAAATAAACAATAAATCTATTACATTTGCTTTTATTTAATCATTTTTTGTTTTTTCCATCATTTGAACTCAAAAAATATTTTTAAAATGACTGCGCTGCCCGAAAATAGAATCAAGAGATAAAAGTGTTTGTTGATGAAAGACCGCAATTCATGTTTGTTTCCGATTGACTTGTAAACAAAACTTAATCTTTAGAAGTTGGTATATGCTTTCTCCAATTGTCGTCTGCTGTCTTCTTCATCAAGTAATCGGACGATACGCAAGTGACCTTGAAGTACAAAATAATTTCTCTTTTATTCTGCATTTAAATTGAAAGTTTTCGATTAAATTTTTTTTACCAGAACCTTCAGCAATGTCTCGTGCTGTTGATCCAAACCAATTCGTGGCATGAATATCCGCGCCATTTTTTAAAAGTATTTTTACCATTTCTTCATCATCTAAAAAGAGATATTAATGCAATTATTTTGCTTGAGTTGAACTGAGTTAAACCGGATAAGCTTACTCGTCCATGCTGCCAACCGAAGCGGATTCCAGCTAATCTGCATTTCTGCGGCGTCAATATCACTTCCATGTTTTATTAGCAATTCCGCTGTATCACAGTTATCTAAAAAAAGCATAATCCATTCAAAATTTCTTCTTGTTTGAGATTTTTTCTTTTGGTCTTTACGCATTCTGACAGCCAAACTCAGCGGAGTGCGAAAGCCTATTGTTCTGTTGTGAAGTTGACTTTTGTAACCCTTTTCCATAAGAAGATCAATCACTTTGTTATAGCCTAAAAATATGTTCGTAATTAATAAAAAAAACAAGGGTAGAAAAGATTTTAACCACTATTGTTGATGAGAATTGAATTAATAAAGGCATATAATCCATAATATTGGAATTTCTTCCAGATACCCAATTTAGCTGCCCAGTGCATTGGAGAATAACGATCAGCATCGGAAACATTTGCATCTGTTCCGTCTTCAATGAGTCTTATGGCTTCCGTTTCGTTTTCTGAAACAAAAACACAGATTCAACCGGACACTCAATTTCATGATGCTCTCTCTAATTACTTACCATTTTCTAGAGCTTTAATCAAATCATATCCCGTAGCTCTTTTATATTTCCGAAAATGAAGAGAAAAAATATGATTTCATCAGTCTATTATCTATCCCAACTATGAAGCGTTAAAAGTATTTGATTTACTGATTTATTGGCAGAGTAGCTGCAAATGCACAGCTTGCAATTATTGCGATTAGAGCAAAAGATTTCATTTTTATGCTGAACAGTCAAGGTTGAATGAAAAAACTATAAAGATGAATAAATTTTTAACCAAAAACTCAAATATTCACATTCTAGAATACAATCAATTATTGAATTATTACTTTCTCACAAATGATAACTATAAACGATAACTTCTTTTTTGAATTCTAAATTTTATTCAGTTGTTGCTGAAAAGTTTTTATTATGTTAACTATTTGAACGCCAGGTTCAAACTGAATTCAAAAGATGCTAAGAAAACCAAGCCACCGTACTTTTTTAGTCAATTAGCATGGCCTGGGAATGCCTATATAATTAACATATAAACGAGTACAGGTAGTAGCAAATTTACAATACTGTTCTTCGAATTTTTTTCAATTTATTTTCATAAGCTCAATAGCCAAAAAAAACATGAACAGCAACCAAATGTGTACTTTTGTACTCATGTTTATACTAAAGTTTGCAAAATAATTAGTGCACGAAAAACGATCTAATTTATAATATTTGGTCAATACTTTTATTTCATCTTAATCTCTTAGACTGGTCATTACTTTATTTGTAGCAAATGATATGAGTGACAATTGAAAGGCTTCCCAGAAGGTAGAAAAATTTATGGACAATTCACTGTCTTCAAAATAATGCTATCTTTCATTTGCATTGTAGGAAACAAAAACGTCTGGCTACCATAACTTGCTAATGTGACATTTGTTACCAGCCCAATGATCAAAGATTACATTGAACTATTACATTTCATTTATTTATTGTATGATGAATTTCAAATAAATTGCACTGCAAACTAAATTATTACCAAATAAAGAGTATTTTAGAGACGAACTTTTCCGCACATTTTTTAAAATATGCATCGTGACGTGTTTCTTATTGTTGTTGTTTGTTGTGCTGGTGCTTCTTCGACAAATATTTCAAAATATGAGCAATTGCCAAGTGAAATTTGGCATCGTTTTGAAAAATCTCTTCAAAATTACTATGATAATTACTATGATACTCCATGTCATTCATCAATAGGACAACTATTACTGTAGCTCCGTTGTTGTACTCCACGAGCGCAAATCACGGTCTTTCTCAACAATAAAATTGGATACTCAACCAAACATTGAGTCAATGGAACTGTTTTCAATGTGGTGAATTGCAGAACTGGTGCAAGTTCTTTGGAGTCTGTTTCCATGAGACCGTTTCCAATAACAGTTACTGCCAAATTTTTCGATGACGAACATGCCAATTTAACTGGCTTAATAGTTTTTCTGAATTCAACCTTTTGTGGAAGCTTCCTACCATATCGTATCTTATAATCTAATTGTTATTTATATCGATTTATTTGTGTATCTTATCATCTTAAATTTTTTTCGTTAAGTAATTGATGATAATTTGGCAATTTAATTTGACAATATATCATCTAGAACATACTGTTCGATATTTGCAGTCTCTCCATTGACTTTGCTCGTTTTCACAAATTTCGTCTCTCAATAATTATCAATCAAAAGAGAAAAAAACAAAATTAAAATCTGACTGTGATTCATTAATTCATTTTGTAAATAAATCTATTTATTCTAATCGGTTTCAATGCTATACGAATAGACAGATCTCAAATTGGATATATGTGTTTTGTTTCTCTTATTTCCTAAGTTTGTTAAGTTTCCAACGCAAATTTATCACTTTCTCTATTTTCAATTGAAGTATACTAAAGCTCCATATTGTTTGTTTATTTTATCAATTTTTGTTTACCTATAGCCCAAATAAAGTGACAAATCCTAGGCTACAGCACATATTTAATATTTTATTCGATTTTTTTTAACAATTATTATTTTCAACATTATTCATGTAATTGAGGTAGAAAAAAGTGTTAATTCACCTTTGCTTATTGTTATATTATGCAAAAAGAAAAAGTGTTGCTGATTTCAATTTGCCATAAATCTAATTTCAGTAGTTTATCTTTGATCGTTTGATAAACACGGTTTATCAAAACGATTGGATTTGTAAACATTAAAAGCATTCATAGGTAAAATTTGAATAAATTATTAATTAAATAATAATAGGTAATAATAGTAAATAATTTACTTGTCATGTGGCAATTTTTCATTTTTTAGTTTGTTGTGTACAAAATAAACATTTTAACTGATTTAAGTGATTTATGAGTGTGTTCCAGATATACTTATGTCGCGTTGGTAACCTGAATAATTTATAAAGTTACCCCAAACAATAACGTTTAAGATATTGACGACATGTGTAATAAATAAGAATCTGTCTTTGGAGCTATAAAGAAAATACATAATGGATTATTCAGACAGAAAAAAAAATATATATATGATACATTTAGCAATTATTATTTTTGTAATTAACTATATAGTGGCAATTTAAATATAAATCAAACGTAATCATAGTAATTTCACCATTCTATTTACAGACTGGGACAGCATCTGTATGCTAAAATGCAAGCTAAGAAGAGTATCCACTTAATTTTTAAATCACAATACCTAATAACCTAATTCAATTTGTTGTTTTATTGGGAAAAATATATATATATATATATTGGTAGTTTGCGTTGAAATCAGGAGCAAAGTGTTAAAGGCTTCTATGTTTGTTTGTTTTTTCCTCAATCTACTTATCTATTTTAAATTACACTTTCAAAAAATTAGCTTAAATCGAAACAAAAAATCTCATTAAAAATTAACAAGACCTCAACATGCATTCGTCTATTAGTCTTTTGGTAGTCGACTTTTTTTTAGTTTTGGGGGCGGCGGCAATACTTTGATTGGTATATATGGTTCCGAAAATTGCTCAAATAAGAAGTGGCTATTAGTCACAATGGATATGTAATTTTGGTTTGTGGATCCAAAATGTTTGGTTGCTGAGTATCTCATTTGAACCAGTCTCAAATCGTTTTAATTTTATTTAAAAAATAAAAAAATTCATTTTCGTTTCGTTCTATTTAGCATTGGCTAAACGTTCTTGTTATTCGGCCGGGGGCTACGAGTTCGACTTTGATGTTTGCAGTTGCTTTTACTTTCATCGTGTTTGAGTCTCCGCCATTTTGTGAAGTTTCAACAATGAACTCTGGTTGCACAACAATACTCTGTAATTCGGACATATTGTTTGTGTTGTTCGGGTGTGTTTGTGCATTTGTATTGTGCTGATACTCCGGATGGTATCCATTTATTGACATTGATGAAGATGAACTCTTCCAAGAATGTGGTTCTTCGGTTATTGTCGTTAGACTTGGCTCTTGGTCTTTGTGTTGTTTGTGATGTGACTTTTGGTATGATCGTGACGATGTCGAATTTGTTGAATGTCGATTGTTATTGTATGATTTTGTACGCTTTTGTCGATATGTTGGCGGTGATGGTGTTGATATTCGATCGGGATGACCAAGCGGTATTAGTTCCGGCGCTGGACCAATTAGAGTCAATAAGATTGGATAGAAGAATAAACCGTTCACAATGCCAATTATCATAACAGCTAGGAGGAGCCAAAAAAATTGACGAACGATAAAATCGAATTGTGATGTCGACAACATTAGCACAGCTAACAATGATGTAAGCGTTGCATGCACAACCGGTGCAAAGGATGATTGCAAAGCAAGTCGTATGCGACGATCATGTTTTCCAACGGATGTTATGAAACCCTGTTTTAAAAAATTAAAATTGAAACAAAAATTTGATTATATAATTTAAATAATATTTATTTCATCGATTTTGACTTTTGTTTTAAATACATGATAAAATGCTTACCAGTGAAACGTGAACGGTGAAACTAACAGACAATCCAACACTGAGAACCATTATAACGGCTGGTATCGCCGATAGTTTCATGTCAATTAAGTTCATGATGCCAACCAATTGAATGAGCGTAAAAACAGCGTTGAACACAATTAAAACAGCTGCCCAAACGGATAGCATCAAGATGCCAACACAGATAAATGTTGCACATAATACACACAGTATAATCAACGATAAGTAAATTCTTAAATCCATGTATTGTTCCCAAAAAATGAATGGAATTCCAGATGGATAATTTGGTAGGCCACGGCTTTCAAATCGTTTACATAAAACTCTGATTGTACTGATGAGTGTTCGAATCTCTGGTGTATCACTTAATCCATGTAAATAAAATGGTAATTGTGTGTATGTGAGTGCCGAACTTTTGGGAATTTTCAGTTCATAATCGGCTGGTGAATGAATCCATTCTCGAGGCTCTGGCCGAAGTTTACCCTATAAATTTCAATTGAATTTATATTTAAATTAGTTTCCATTGAATTTTATTCGATTTTAAATTATTATTTTACCTGTGAAGCACTGTAGGAGAAAACATCATTCCATGCCCATGCCGATAAATAATTATAAAATGCTTTTGGATTAATGATGCCCTCACTGTCAACCAAACGATTTGATGGCACCAATGATTTATCAATTGGATTGTCCACATATCCAGTTTGAACGAGAAGTTTATATGCCAAAATCGCATCGGCGCTTGCATTTTTAAACCATCTCTCTTGCGTTATTTTTCCCTCTTTGTAATCACGATCGAATGCATTTTGTAAATTTAACAGCCAATCTCGAAACATGCTCAACCAAAAGTCTGGCAATCCACCATTATCATTCTTTATAACTTGTGGCACACGAACGAATGCTTCGTGATAATCGTAGAGCAAACGTTGATTGGTTGGATATTCAAAGTCACCCTGAGTTACAGCAAACATATTATAAAAGCTGAACATTTTACTTTGTACATTCAAAAATTGATGTTCATTTGTATTCTTCGGCACAAGATCAAATAAATCGAGTCCATCTTCAACTTTCATCGCATTAAAAAGACTGTAACCCATAACACCGGCCAAAATGAGCATTCCAAAAAATTTAATTGAACCCTGCGTTATAAATGTTGCATAATATTTGTATGCAAATTGTGATAACGAGAAATACGATATGCTTTTATCGTTGTATCTGGCAATGAGACCTTGATCGGCGCCATTCATTCGACCATTTCCGTTGCCGGGTTGATTTTGTGTTTGTTTCATTGGTGGTAAGCAGCAGCATAAGAAATCCTTTCGACCCGATTGTCGACGACGAAGATCGAGCGATATCATAGCCGGAAATACTAATAGCGATGCAGCCAAATTAAAGCACATTACGATGGCCGATTGGATACAGAATATTTTTAAAGCTGGCACTGGTATTAAGGCAGCAGCAAAAAATGATATGATTGCCGTGCTAGCGCTTAATAAAATTGTGGGTCCTGCTTTCTTTAAAATATCTTTCGTTTGGTCGTTTGCATTGCTTTCGGCATATGCATGGGTCAATGTAAATATATGACTTACACCCAATCCAACGGCCAAAAATGGAATGACCTGAGTGGTTGCCGCATTAAAAGCTCGTCCAAGCATTGCACAAAGACCCAAACCAGCCGCCGTCGACATCGCAATCAGTAAAACTCCAGCAATAACAACAGCACCCTGTCCACGAATTGGATCTTTGTATCTTATCGACGCAAAAACTGCGTACACAATGGTGACACCAACAAAAATACACAAGCTCAACGTATCTGGATTGGAATATTTACTAAGTATGTCATCCAACGTGGATGATGAAAAGGCGAGAATATCATGTGATCGCGATAGGTTTCCGTTTTTCATAATTTTCGAAACCTATATTATATTAATGGGGAAGAAAAAGAACGTGTCACTTCGATTGCAAATATTTTTGTTGTTGTTGGATTGTTAAAGATTGTTAAATTTATTGTAAATTACCTCATTCGAAAATTTACGCTGCCATGCATTTAAAACAGCAGCCGCTTTTTCTTGTGTCCATCCAATATGATGTACATCCCAATGTCCCTTGAAACTTTCAAACATTTCACGTTCAGTCATCAATTGAATAACGGTTTGAAATGCCTTTGCTCGTTTCAAATGACGTGTACGATTCCGTTCGGCACCGCCAACGATTAATTCTTCCGGCCAATGCATATACTTTGCCGCATAGCTATAGCAACCACCCGTCAATTCGGCGCCAACGTCAACCGGATATTTACTCTTTTTATTTGGTGCCGTATCGGGGCAAAGAGTATCGTTTGGATTAAGGCATGGTTTCTCTGTGTATCCAGTTGTGATACCAGCACGTTTTAAATATTGATCAACTATATCGAATGGAAAATCCTGATGTGATTTCTTTAATGTTGACAACATTTTCTGTGGATTCAATGATGTCCAATATATTGTATCGTTCCAGCCACTGTATAATCAAACATATCAGTCGAAGAGAAATAGTTTTTTTAAAAAAATTAATACAACTATAAATCAATAAATAATTTACTTTCAAACTGTCAATGATAATATCGAAATTTACGTACGGAACTTTTGGTGAATGTTTTGGTCCAAGCAATTTGCTACCTTCCCAAAAACAATCAAGCGGCGTGATTATTGAGCATGGTATCAATTTTTCAAAGATTTGATCAATATAATCATATTCGACTTCGGGAACCGTTGGCGCAATACACATGTCACGAAGGCTCCATGGTTTGTCGAACATTTCAATTTCAATGGACATTGCCTGTTTTAAAACTTCTAAATGGGTTAATAAAGCCTGCGGATGCAGAACCGATGCGTTTGGATCTTTAGGAGTTTGTATAAGTAATTGATGCGTTGATGTTTCAATTTCACCTAAACTTTTTTGCGTATATGCCAGCTCTTGTTCTAAGCGTCCACCTTCTGTAAATTTTACATCCGAATATGAGCTATATTTGCTTAAACAAAATATGAAATGTTTGTAAATATCTTACCTTGTATCCACAACTGTTGTACTTTTGAATGTATTGTTGCACTTTTCAAGCCCACACAAAATGCACTTAGCACTATGATCGCAACAAATAAAATTTTGCCCGCATTCTTCTGTATATAAACGCCAAGAGTTTGAAGTTGAGACTGGAATAGTGATCGAATATAAAGTGCTGAACGTCGACCACGTGCTTTACCCTATAAAAGAAGGAGAAAGAGAGAGGTAAGTTTCACCGTTTCATATAAAATATGAGCATTGCTTAAACAAAAATATTCCACCAAAATAATTGTACTCCAAGAAATCTATATTTAATGACTCAATTCATAACAACTAGCAGCGATTGTTCAATTTACTTTGAAATCGTTTTTGTTTCTCCGAAATGCTCCTTTTTCTTGCTACAAAAATTGCCAGGTGTTTTGTGCGGTTTTGTGGAAGGAAAAAAAATGTTGGTAAAATTCGTTGAATTTTACCCACATACATTTGGAATGAAAATGAGGCACCAATTATTTTTATTTCCCTTTTTTTATATATATTTCGACGTCAAAATGGAACTATTCTTTGGAAATAAATGCAAGATACGAAAAAATGTACCCAGATGCGAAACAACCTGTTTGAAATGTTTTACTTGACTTAATTAAATAAATTGTATAACAACAAATCAAACACAATTAAAAAAAAAAATCGAATCTATGTGGTCTTATGAAATTGAAGTTGCTTTTTTTCACTTTGCGCTCAAAAAAGAACATACACTGTAAGTTTATACTTGATTAAATTTTAGTATATTGCTTAATTCGATGTAAAATTTCAGATTAACTGGTTAATAAATGGAAATGTATAAATGTATGGCCACTGTGCTATATTTCAGGTATCGATGGTGGTATGAAAGAAAGAACAAAAGAAAAAGGGCAGCCGCATCGGCACACTATTATTTACTTCTTTGTTGTAGAAAGCAGGCAAATAACTTCATTTTTTTTTTTCGTTGATTGCTTCCCGCCGCTCTTAACATTCAATCGTATTTGTATTCCTTCTCTCATCTTTTGCTCTTTTTTTAAGTTTATTTTAACCTGTGTTCGTTCCTCCTTCTGTCGAAGGAATACAACGCTTTTTTTCGCTGTCTGTTTTCATTTTGTATCGATGTTTTGTTTATATTCCAACCAGTTCAAAAACGTGGATTGGAGCATATATTTTTATAGTATATTTGCACGTATCTTTGATTTTTTTTTGGGCGAAAACTAATATTAAAATTCCAGTAGCGGTTTCTGTGTTCATATTTGTAAATATTACGTCGAAATGTTATGTTATGTTAAAAATTAAGTTTTTTTCACAATGGACTTTATACAGCATGCACAATCAAATGATTTTATTGATTTTTTCTAAAGATATATGCATATTTTATACAAAAAGATTTCTTTTAACCACAATACCAATGCTTTCAGTTAAACTTTTGTATAGTATCAACGGTTTTTGGTGCATGAATCTTTTGAATTCTTGACTTTTCAACACATCGAATATGCACGCATGCGTCCGCATTTGACAGAAAGTTATCACTCCAGGATATAGAGATTCCATTCATTTTCACTATCATTTCTCAATACTCATAGCAAACCAAAAAAATTTCAGAACAGATTTCGTTTCTATTTATAGAAACATATATTAAATTTGTGAATTTTATAGAATTTAATATTTGTTGATTGAATTTGTTATAAACAAAAATAATTTGTGCAAAAACTGTATAATTTTGAAGGTGTCGACACACAATTCGGTAAAACAACATTTCTTTTCGAAACCATTGATTTTAAAAGGATAAGTGTTATAACACTCAATGCAAATGTTCACATAATTTATTGAAATTTTTTGATTTGTTACTTCAAATTCTGAACAGCATACACGTATATTTCGAGCGATTGAGATTCTCTTTCTGTGCATCACAGTGAAAAATCGATAGATCTTAGAAATATATCTAGTGCAGTATTTGTAGCGGCTTTTTTTGCAGTTCTAATGATAAAAATAGCAGTAAATACGTTCGAAATAATTAAAATAAACAATTTTAATATGTTCATTGGGACGAGATTTGAAAAATGTTCTCTTTGAATCGTTGAATGATCCGTTTGCGTTTGAATGTATTTGAATCATTTGTAAATATTGATTCAAAGGTATACAAATACATTTGAGTCTGGATTGTTTTTGGTACGAGAAGAAATAAGTAATGTTATTATGCACGGCATAGCACAATTACGAAGTTTTCGTGTTTAAAATTGAGCACACATTGTCGTTGTCGACGGTCTACGCTCTAAAGATAGATCTCAAAACGCACTAAAGTCAATACACTCAAAAAGTGTTCAGCAATTTGGCTAAAATCTCATATTAACTGGGTTTAAACTCAGTTTTATTTTTGCTGTTCCCCGTCGAACATGTTGTTTAATTTCAATTTCAATTTTTATTCTTGTTTTGTTTCTAGTTTGAGTGAAGCATAACATAAGCGCATGCAATTTTGGAAAATCATAATATAAAAAGCGCCACATTGAAGCATTACAAAATGAAAACAATGAGTTAAGAAGGAAAAATTCACAATTTACATGAGGAAATCGATCTCCAAAACAATAATATGGATTTAAAGAAGTACAACACGATGAAAATTCAGAATAAAAAGGCTTTCAAACCATTTCCAATTTACTTTCTTCCTTCGATACTTACTGCCATATTTCTATGTCACTTATGTTTAGTTCCTGTTTATGCAGATGCAAAACATCCATCACCACAAGCAATGTAAATACATTTGATAAACGAAACACAAAACATCAGATAATTTCAATGATTTTTTTAAATTAAATTTTGTTTTTAGTGTTGATACATGGGCCTCACAATTCGGCGATGAATTGAATTGGTTGGCGAAAAATATGACGAAAGCTGATGAAATTAAAAATGTAAGCGTTTTTTCTTTTGGTTCCCATACGGAATTCGATTATTTAATGAACATAATTTAATTTCAGCAATATAAAGAAAATAATGCAAAAGTAAAAGAAAAAGGTGAATTGATTCAAGATGCCGTGGAGAATGTGGGAAGAATGTTTCGAAGAAAAACAGTAGCGGTTCGGGTAAGATGTGATGTTTTTTATTTTTTAAAGAAATATGAAAATCATGTGATCAATTTTATTTTTCGTCGAAATCCACGCTCAACTAGTGTATAGCAAACAAAGCGGAAGAGTTGGCCGAAGAGTATTTTCGAAATTATACAATGAATGAGACTGGTATTGCGGATACTGAACTTCAAAGTATGCGTAATAATTACAAATATTATTCGAGCAAATATTCCGTGATAAACGGTGTTTCTTGTGCCAATCGATCGGAAACCAAATATCAGTGTTTAAATTTTAAAGTGTTAATAAATGCAACCGCATCATATTTGGACATGGAGCTTTCTCCCGACAAACATTTTTACCATATAAATGTCAACACAACATACGCTTCAGTGCACGTACCAACAAACGTTTTCGATGGCAGTGAGTGCTTAATAAATGTGTGCTTAAATGAATAATGTCATTGATGAAATGATCTTTTATTTGTAGGCAATGAGACGAAGGATGTGTTAATTTGGTCGGAGCGGCTAGACTCGGTGTTTGTAAAAAATTATAAAAAAGATCCGGCTTTATCATGGCAGTATTTCGGTTCAGAGACTGGTGTTCTTCGACATTTTCCGGCAAAATCATGGGAAGACCGTGACACATCCTCATCGGTGGATGTGTATGATTGTCGAAAACGTTCATGGTATATTGAAACGGCCACTTGTTCCAAGGATATTGTAATTCTTCTCGATCGTACCGGTTCAATGACTGGATACTTGGGCTTTTTGGCAAAATTAACCATAAAAAGTTTGTTAGATACATTTTCAAACAATGACTTTTTCAATATTTACACGTTTTCAAAGAACGTTACACCATTGGTTGAATGCTTCAGTGGTGAATTGGTTCAAGCGACACCCGAAAATATTAAAGTATTTAATGAAAAAATGTCGGATTTTAAACATTTAATCGACGCATATGCCAATGAAACAAGCATTAAAAATGCAACCGAAATTGCATTCGATTTACTAAAAAAATATCGAATCGAACGAAAATGCGATGAAAATCCATGCAATCAAGCAATTATGTTGATCACCGATAATATTCAAGGAAATTTCACTGAAACATTTGAAAAATACAATCGAATCAATGGCACCAGAGTACCGGTACGAATATTCACCTATTTACTTGGAAAAGATCAAAGCAATGTGGCCGAAATGAAAAGCATAGCATGTTCGAATCGTGGAGGATTTTCACATATTCAAACTTTAGACGAGGTTCAAGAAAAAGTTTTCGATTATGTGGGATACATTGCACGACCGCTTGTATTGCAAGGAATTAAACATCCACCGACATGGACGCATGCATTCAAAGATGTGACGGTATGCCATTCGACATTCAATTAAATTAAACGATGAATATGACAGACATTTATATGATTTATGTTTAGTATCGTGATGAAGAGAACTACGAACCAGAAAATGGGAAAAAAATTGAAAATCTACCGCCACGTTTAATGATTGCGGTCGGTGTACCGGCTTATAAAATCGATTCTTCAAATGACACTCGCAAGTACGTTGGATTATTAGGAGTTGCATCAACGGATGTACCAGTCGATGATATTGACAAACTAACACTTCCATACAAGGTGCTTACTTCGATTTCTTTTTCCTTTCTTTTTTTTTAAATTTTGTGTTGATGCAAGTGATATTCCGTTAATTTTGTTATTGCATCAATTCTTTACTTTTAGTTGGGTGTGAACGCATATCCTTTCATTGTTAGCAACAACGGTTATGTACTATTACATCCGGATCTTCGTCCAATGGTAAATAAAAATATGAATGTCAACAGAAAAATGAAAAAAAATTTGGATGTCAACAATACGATAAATCATCACTATTTCAGGAAACATTTAAATTGAAAGAAACTGAAGAAATTGACGATCCACAATGTCCGAAGGATACAAATAAAACTGAATGTGTCTACCTCAAAAATAATTATAACAGCATTGATTTTACGGAAGTTGAACAAATCGATGAAATTGTCGAAGAATTCAATGGAACTGAAACCGAATTTCGACCACCCATTGGCGATATTTTAAAAAGGGTATTATTTTTTGTGTACTTTTTTTGTGTTTGTACATATGTAATATTAAACAGATGTAAAAAAAACCCAATTGTAGCTACGTCAACTTTCATTAAGCCATAAGCTGGAGAAGATGTTGAATGTGTCAGTGCGTTTTCATTACGATAAATTGCGACGAGTGTCTGAAGAAAAATACGATTATTATTTTGCGCCATTGGAATCAACACCATTTACTCTTGGATTAGCAATTCCGAGCGATTATGGCCAAACATTGATAACCGTTGGCGCTGAAATTCAAAATAGACTACACAGAAACGAGAATTTGTCAGACCTTTTCGTTGGACAAAATTGGAAAGTTCATCCCGATTGGTAAGCATTATAGCATCGCGTCACAATGATCAATACATATAATGTCCATATAAATTGTTCTTATTTTTTTTGTGAATTGAAAGGGTCTATTGTAAATTTCATTACATGGAACATAAATCGTTTGAGAATTCTGAAGAAGAGCTGTTGCATTTTGTGAAATTATTTCAAAGTTCGTCGATGAAATGGTCAGAACAATACGGGCCCGATACATCAAATAGCGACGAAGATGAAGAGCATCGTTAGTTGAAAATGTTAAACTCGGTACATAATAATTCATTAATGGGTTTATGTGATTTTTTTATCTTCTTTAGCAAATTGTGAAGCAGAGGCAACCGATAAAGATGCTGATTATTATTGTAACAAAGAATTGGTCGAGCTACTTGTATTTGATGCCAGAGTTACGAAAGAGAGTTATGGAACATGGAAATTTGAAAGTAAAGAAGCCGAAGATTTGATCAATGCGTATAACGCTACACTGCGTTTTGTGGCTACAATGAGCGGTTTGACACGCTGGCAATTTATCTTTGGCGAAACTGAAGTTGAAGGCGACAAGTAAAAATTTATATATTTCGAGATGAATTTTGAGACAGATAACAATTTAATCTGCATCTTTAATTTGTGTGTTATTGCAGAGAGTTTGGCGATTATTATACAAAAGCAATTGATGAAACATGGTATAAGCAAGCGGTATTACAGCATAAAAGTGATAACGAAAGTTTTGTGTATGCTGTACCGCACGATGACAAAGACGAGGTGAAAGAAGAGGGCGATATTAAAGTGTTGGCATCACATGCCATTTTTCGAATGGATGCTGGAAAGGAGGCACCTGGATGCGTTGTTGGTTTTCAATTTACTCAACAATCAATGTACAAACGATTTAAGGAAATAACATCACAACCAATGGTATGCAAACCATTTTATTGGACATTCTATTTCTTCCAACTGCTAATGTACATTTATTTTGTTTTTTTTTTTTTTTTTTTTTTTTGCAGTGTGAAAATTGTTTACAGTGCGATAATGAAATCTATGATTGTTATGTAATTGATAACAATGGATATATAATTTTGTCAAATAACTCAGATGATACCGGAAGATTTTTTGGCGAAGTTCAGGGAAAAGCAATGAAAACTTTGGTTGATTTACAGATTTTCAAAGCCATCACGGTATATGACTTCCAAGCGGTTTGCAAAATAAAAGTGGAGGAAAATCCAGCTGGATCTTTTGCCAACATAGTTTCTACGGTAATTATTCGTCATTATTATTTTTTTTACTAAAATACCAATTAATACCGGATTTTCTTGTGTGATTGGATAGCCTTTACAACTACTAAAAACATACATTCAATGGATTTTAACGGAAACAATTTTATCGCTGGCGAAATTTAATTTATGGGCTTGGGCTGAACCGCGTAAGAAATCCTAAGAAACGGATTGAACTTTCTGGTTGGAATCGTTTCAATGCAATCAATATTTTATCTTACAGACGATACAGAAGAACCGGAAGCATCCAATAAGACAACTAAAAAAACACAGTTTATACTAGAACCTTGTGATAAAACGGCCACACTTTATGTGATGCAACAAAAATTTGATACACAAAATTTTGATACTACAGAGTATGTACTATTTGTACTCTTCATACTACCGTTGTTAATTTTAAATGAATAATTTTTTATTGTTTTTTCTTCTTATTTTGTTTGTAGTTGGCTATATTTCAGCCGCATCAAACTATCGAATTTACTTTTGGTTGCTGTACAACACGAAATCCACACATTGAAAACACCATCAATGGGTGCTGAAGCAAAGAAAATAAACTACACATTTTCGGACAATCATACGTTCCCATGCCACAAAAAGAATTTAAATAAATTGGAAAGAAGGCGCTTAGACGATTGTTTCACCGAAGATGAACGCGTAAGTAATTCTATTCAATGTATATATGTACTGCTACTGTATACTGTACAATCGTTGCCCTCAACATATAAATATCGCAAATAAATCCAAATAAGACCATATTTATTTCAGGAATATGAATTGACAGATTGCTCTAGAAGTGATACGCTTCATAAAATAAACAACATTTCATTTGTGATTGTGTGGTTGTCTGTGTTACCGATAGCCAAATTTCTTATGTCCATACAATGTTTGTAAATGTTACACACACACGTACACACAGCACAAGGCAATTTTGATTTTGCCCCAATTATACATATTTAGATTAATTTTTTTATGCCCGTTTTCTATTTAAAGACAAACAAAAAAAAAATGAAATGAAATGATTTTATTTATCAATGTACACATTATAAGGCGACGAATTACGTTGGACGCCGAATGGAAGAGAATTCATGTTCATGTACTCTATTTTTAGTGTTTATAGTATTCAAGAAAATATCACTTATGTAAAACTGTGAAGATCATGTGCCGTAATATAATCAGGAAAGATGAAGAAAAAAAAGTTATAATAAAAATTCAAACAAACATCTCACTGACCTTAAACTTTGATTATTGTTATCGTTCACAGAGATTTATTGACCAATTTAATAACAATTCGAATGACGTAAATGTACAGATGCGATAAAATTAATTTTTTTTTTATTTCTTAACAAATATGTGTGGTAATTTTTTTCTCAGATTTTTCTTTTTTTTTTTTCATTTAAAATGGTGTCGGATTATTTTCATTACGAGGTGTGCAATGAATCATAACTTTAATGGCACCATCGCGATTATATCTGGCGGTGTCGAAAGCCTCTTTGGTTTCTGTTATATCGAAATGATGTGTTACCAATTTTTTAACATTGAATCGGCCGCTTGCAACCAATGCCAATGCCGATGAATAGTCATTACAGTATCGAAAAACGCCGCGAATATCAATTTCTCGTGTAAGTCCCATTACCAATGGCACTTTAACCTCTGACGGTCCACAACCGACAATAACAACACATCCACCCGATTTTGTACCAAGTATAGCCAAACGATTTGTTGTTTCTAAACCGCTGCAATCAATCGAAACATCAGGTGCACATCCAAGTGTTTCATGTACTTTTTTAACCATATCCGATTCGCTTGCATCTTTTGGAACAACAAGTGTGAATGTAGCGCCCAATTCTTTGGCCACATCTAAGCGATCCTGTACAATGTCAGTGATAATGATATTTCCAGCGCCCATTGATCTTGCAGCAATCAATGCGGATAAACCGATTGGTCCAGCGCCCAGAATTAAAATTCTTGTGCCAAGACCAACGTATGCACGACGACATGCATGAATGCCAACGGCAAGTGGTTCCAATAAAGAACCCTCTTCCATGCTCACATGATCCGGTAATTTAAAGCAAAAATCAGCTGCATGCGCATAGTATCGTGTAAGATTTCCATCCACTGGTGGTGTTGCACAGAAAACCATATCAGGGCATAAATTGTATTTTCCCGCTTTACAATTTTCACAGTAACGACAAGGAACACCCGGTTCAATTGCAACACGATCACCAACTTTTAAATGTTTCACTGATTTACCAACTTTATGGACAATTCCAGATGATTCATGGCCAATAACCATGGGTTTTTTTAAAATAAAATCACCAATACGTCCATGAACAAGATAATGCACATCGGAACCACAAATGCCCACCGAATCCATTCTCAATAATACTTGGTCATCACGAATCGTTGGAATTGGTTGTTGTTCCTGTCATTCAAAATCATCGTCAATATATTTTTGCCATAGATTTCATGTTCTTCTTTTTGAGAAAAGAAAAATGCTTACCAAGCGAATATCTTCTACTCCATATAGAATGGCTGTTAAATTATCAGTCGACATTTTCAATTCAATGGGAATTTCCAAAAAAAAAAAAAAAAAACAAACTAAATTCAATGCTGTTTTTAGCTGCAAAAGTTTTGATTGATCGTTGACAGAAGAGCACCCTTACTGTCGCAACTGTGAAACGTTTAATGTTTCCGTGTGGTGTTGCAGCTCATTTATATATGCTAGATTAGAGTCAGAAACGAAAACGTAATTTAACTGTGTAAAAAACACAGATTAAGAAAATGTTGCGATAAGCAGACACCAAAAAATAGCAAAAAAATCTATATAAATGATAGGTACAGCTTTCGGTAGTATACTACATCATTGAGTAAATATGATATGAGTTTAGTTTTATTGTTAAATTAAAAAGCAAATAAACACTTTTATGGACGTACGAGAGCGCAAACAGATAACCCCAATTGGTTTAAGCGGGTATCAGTAGCGGCAAATGACATAACGTCAAAAACCAAACAAGTATACACGCACGCACGTAGGCGCATTTCTAAACTCGGCATCATTTTCATAAAGTATCGTTAGTGAGACGTTTGATTAAAAATGAATTTGAGATATCAATGTGATTTACATGCCAACGGTTTTGTTTTTCATTTGCATACTTTTAATGGTTGATTGAAGTGTACTATTTTAGCCATACCATCGATAATGGTCGTATTATCATTTTGTAATCACGTAATCAATCACATTGCAAATGTCAGCAAACTATAAACAAACAAAGATGATTGAGATAACCGCATACAAGCTATTTGACAACTTAATCATAGATTACATTGAATGTGGAATATTTTGCATGTGGTCTTGTTCCATTGATAATATCTTTTAACTCATTTTGAGTGTTTACAATTCAAAAATATGAGTATACTACATAATAATCTATAAACATTTAGGTAGTTACTAATTTTCAGCGATAAAGTTAATACGTATTGAAACAAACAAAAAATGATTTTGATTGAAATAAGCAATGTTGCTTTTTATCATCAATCAGTCTGAACATTCCGTGCTGAAGGATGCATATTTTAGTTTCTATTGTTACAAATTGCTTATGAAACGTTTATCGAGCACCTTTTTCTAAAGCATAATTGTGTAATTTATAATTTAGCAATATCAGCAAAAAAAACTAAGAGTTTCCTTAATGAATTTAAAAATATAATCTATATCCTCTATACAGGGGATTATGCACCAATGATAAAATCAAGTAAGTAATATTATCGATAAAGAATTAAAACAAAAAATAATCATCCAAATCTCGTTTAAACAGAAGAAAAATGTACTCATTATACTGTTAAAAACGTTGTTCAGTTTAATATGCTTTTATCTTGTGATACGCAAACAGCATCAAAAATAATTAAGAACATTGGCAAATTTACAATAATTATGCTTTATGTAAAATCATTTAAATTTAAAAAAAGAACATCTCAATAAAATTTCCGATTTCCAATGTGTTTAATGCGTGAGATAAGTATGTCTCTGAGAATATATTCGTACAATGAATCGAACTTAGAATGAAGTAAAAAAAAGAGCCGAAGAACACCAACCTAGTACAAAAAAGGCGGCAGAAGAAGAAGAAGAAAAGTCATTTCCAAGATGAAAAACGAAAAGTCAGTGTACCGAACTACAATAACAAGAACTAAAAGAACTCCTATTCGTAAGAAATAGGTGTGTGTAGTTTTGTGGACTCAATGAAGAAAATGAGTATGCTATATTTTATGTTACTATTCGATCAAAATTACTTTTTACCTTTCGCTTTTCGTTCGCGTTGATTTTTTTTTCCATTCTAGGAGGTACCCAATGCGAGACAAAAACTAGAACTTTTTTTTTAATTTGTCGGTGTTTTTACCATAGACCGAAAAAAAATCTCTCGATAAATCCGTAGGTATTAAAATTTTGAGTATCGTTCGAATATTTATTGAGTTGATTGAAGAGAAATTGAATTAAAAAAAAATACCGTGGATGTTATTGAGACATTTTTCAGAGATTATGCAGATAAACTAAAAATGTTTATTTCAAACATAAGTCGCATTCAAATTTTTCAACATTGGCCACAATTAATTTTATTTTCTAGACTTTTTTTTCTGTCTAGGCCTAGTGACATACGATCTTGGTGCTATTTGTAATTTGAAGATTAAGAGGCAGCCATATCAAAATTCGCTCTCTGAATAATTATATACATAAAGAAATGATTGGAACGGCTTAGAAAATACATTACTGTATAACTCGAATCTGTAATCGATAAATCGCATCAGCACCAAACTATTTGGAATTTTGATCAAGCACTTGATTCAATGTGGTAGGTATGCTCTGATTGAAAATTTACTGAGTCTACGATTTAAAGTAAAGAAAAAATGCGAATAGCATTGAGACGTGTATTGTATTCTTCCAATACCAAAAAAATGCCCATTTTATATACAATTTACACGATTCATTAGTACTAAACGCCAAATTTTACACATCACATCGTGTGAAAAGAAAAAAAAAATCACATGCTTTTTATTATTACCATTCGGAAGTCTTAGACCAAATACATACTTCACGCTTTCTTCCATGTTTTTTTTTATCTTGAAACCAATTTAATATTAGTTATCATATTTAGTATCCATTGCGGAAAAAAAACGAAAGAAAAAACATTTCAATAGAATGTAGTACGTTTGGTATGTTAAGAGAGTCATATGCAGCATTCTATTAATGGTTCCATTATTGTTTAACCGAAAAAAGAAGAAAGAAACGAAATAATAGTAAAAGGTCTTCGTCTAAAATTAAGATGTTTCAGTTCATTTTCTTTACAGCTCGAATTGTGATTATATTGTTGGAATTGATATGTCAATTATAAAGAGAAACCCGAAATATAAATCATTTGGGCATTAACGAAAGCCACGATGAAGAAATAATCTGATATATGCTTTGATCTGTGATTTGCGCCAACGACCGATGTATCTTCTATTTCGTTTTGTGCCGTATACCCATATTTGGATGGTCACACATGTAGACCATTCATCCACGCTGTGCGAGAGATACTTTGTGTTTCCTTTTATTTCAAAAGCATCAATACGTCGAGTCGGCTCTTTTTATTTGTATGGTTCCTGATATACCCAGTATTGAAATCATAAAAACCAAATTGAAGAGGCAGGCAGACAACTAAAAGAAGCAAAAAAAAAAAACAGAAACGTAGCGAACGAGAAGAGAGAAGAATATTCAAGACAGAGATGTTAGCTGGCAACATCGTTTTTAATGTCTTTATTAATGACTCGATATATTGGAATGCATTTCTGAGCCGACCTATGAATGTCTTTTGATTGCGCATTTCATTATTTCAGCTCTCTTTCTCTCCCTAACACGCACACACACATTGTCTTCTCTATATCTCTCTCTTCTCCGCTCGCACACGAAAACTAAGGTGGCAAACCTTTGACATTTGCATTGCAAGCACATCGAGACAAGTATTTTTCAATTTCACTGATTTATGTGTAAAAAAAAGTTTATTTTAATCATCTATTATTGTCACACACATAGACATAACCCATACATCCATTAAATTGTATGGAGGAAACAATTCATACACCGATTTGGGCCTACACGAAAATACATAAATCTGACGAAGGTGAAAAACGAATCACCGAAAGAATTTGAAGAAAATAAACAAAAGAATGATGGAAAAAGACAATAAAAAAAAGAATGGACGATGTCATCAGAACACACAAAGTCATGTATGAACAGTGTCAGCTATAGAATATGTTGACGTTTGGTCTATTAGAAAACTTAGAAAATATACCTCTAAGCATTGCAGCAGACGAAACGAATTTCAACTGCTATGGTCGTTTAACTTGCAGCAGAAACAAAAAAAAGACGACTTAAAATAATATAGAGAAGAAAAAAAGAAGAACGAACACACATTTGGAACATCTTTGAATTGTGTCGACTAACATCAAATTTTCAGCATTTGAGAATTTTCGAAAAAAAAAAAACTGTGGAAAAAAAATATGGAATTGCACAGGACTTAATGTATGAACCTGAAATAGTTTGCGTCGGTGCAATTGGTATTACATTTGCTTGGTTCGGCACACATTTTTTTATGCTTGATCATTGCTTTGTCGACTTCTATTCTTTTCATTCTTCTTCTTCTTCTTCTCTTTTTATCTAACAGTGATCATTCCGAAAATTGTGCATCATACTTTGATAATCATCATTTTCAAGAGACAAATTGTACATCAAATATTATTGTTGATGAAAATTTAGAAGATGAAAAAAAAATACTACTGCTCAATCGGATAAGATCCGCGTGTGTAACATGGCTCTGAAAATTGTAAAGCATACATGTGTATACGTATAAATATAAATGTAAAGAAACTGTTAAAGTTGCATTCGAAATGCATTTCATTCGACCTCTTACTTGTGCACACATTCAAATACTCTCATACTCACTCACACACACAAACATACACTCAAATGCTTCTACAAAATAGTTGTTACATTCAATCCAATCTCTGTGTGTTTTTTTTTTTTGCTTTTTTCTTTATATCTTAACTTTGTTTGTCGGTGGCATCGGGGATTGCGTTGTCTTCTTTCTCCATTATATCTGATGTAGTTGTTTTTACTTTTTTTTTCTCTCTTCATGCTTTATGTATTTCTGAATTGATTTTGTTCGTTTGTTTGCGATCTACACCATACTTCGGTATCCAATTCACGTATTTCTCGAAATGTTGGTGGGAACGTGATCATTTTTCATGCCTTGTGCGTCATCTTGATGGTGTTAGTGTGTGGTATGTCTCGTTTGAATGTTGTTGTTGTTGTTGTCGTCGTCGTCGTAGTAATGTTTCTTAAAAATTAAGTTGTTTTCGATTCGATATGTTATACAGAAACCAGGGCTTGTTTAAATACATTGTATTAGTACCAATTTATGATACCTTTAAAATATACAAATATATCCCTTACCACTGACAGTTTTCTATTTTCTTTCATTTCTTTTTTTTATTTTGATAAAAAAAATCTTTCTTGAGATTACTTCATTACTTTTCCGGAACATGCCCTGACATTGAATGAAATATAAATATATATATATATATATTATACGGTTCCAATGAACGTATATGTAAAATGCATGCGTGTTACTGACGGGTAATCTTTACGTTGAAGTGAAGGACGGACGGACTCAAATAGATGAAGTTTACATCGTAATATTTAAAAATTGTAGCATATTAAATCGTTCAGTTTTTTTTTTTTTTATTTGTCTCCTTCTTTTTACAATCGACATGTAAATTTGATGATGCTAAACATTCACGGACAATTAATAATGGTTCTTAGTTAGAACAAAGATGTAATAGTTGATTTTATAGCAAAAAAAAGAAGACAAGAAAAACAAATCAATTATGAACAGTTTGAAAACTTCACACAGCATTCTTTTTCCCAAAATAAAAAAAACTATGTATTTAGGTGAACATTCAATATGTTGTGGTTTAAATGTAAACCAAATTGTACATATGTATCGTTTCAAGATAATCGGATGTGTGAGGTCTCTATCTCGAAACAAAAGAATAGAAATATAATAAATGGATGGAAAGAAAAGCTTGTATACTCAATGGTGACTTTTTCACGTACTGCTCTTTTTTTTTCTCTCTATAACGTTCATTGTTCGTATTCAATGAAGAATATATGTGTGCATTTTTATTTGGGCTTTCAAATTATTTACCCAATTTTACGAAAACAACCAATGTTCAACAAAACTAATGGAATAAATAAATAGATGTTGTGACAATATGTTGAGCCGATGAATGATTTAATTAATTTATACAGAGTATCGGCGAATTAACGCAATGATTTCGTTTGAACAGTATATTTGGGAAATTCTCTTAAACATTAAATATACAAATAGAAACACACAATTTCTAAACACATTATGGAATATATGGGAGTAGATCGAAAAATCTCCGATTTCGATATAAACATAAAACGGCGATAGTGAAACTTTAAACTGTTTCCATTAAAAGAAGAAATGTTAAGATTGGAATTCTAAGCCGACGGTTTTGCTATAGAAACGGCCATCAATGTTTATTTTATTCCAATGTATCATAATTTTTCATGCACAAGAAATTTAACCGGTAGCATGAGATCGAAAGGGAGACGTCATTCAAAAATGTGTGGTAGATTTTGGTGGAAAATTCTTAAGGATAAAAATATACATGATAAAACTCACCTTTTCGATTTGATCAAGTGCAACATTGGCGTCTACCCAACTCGTTCGTATATATAAATCGGAAAAAATCTTCTCGTCGACAACATCTCCATGTGCATCTGGCACTCGAGGCAATTTATCCATTTTTGGCATCATTTCGAATAGAAGAATTTTTCACTTTCTATCATTGAAAACACAACAGAAACGATTTCTTTTTTCTTTTTTTTTTTGGTGAAACTCTTCTCTAGTTTTTCGGGAGTTCAATACTCAAAAGCGTATAGTGCCGATTTTTCATTTAGAAGTCAATTTTGCTACACATAAGAATTTTGCTAACGCATATTAGTTTTTCCGAAAGCACTGAACACACTTTTTTTCAGTCCATCTGTAGACGTGTTCATTACGGTGTTGTTTTTTTTAGATATTCACACACATTTTTCGATCTTGTATATATTTTATTTTTTTAAAACAAAAAAAAATAACTTCACTTTAAAACACAGTACGTCGACATTGATGTCTTATTTTAATAATTTACCATCACGTAAACATGTTATGATGAATGAAATCAGTCGTAATCCAAATGAAACTATGATCATTTTTTTATGTGATTTAATTAAAACATTGATCGTGCGTTTTATTGAATGTACTAAAAAAAATGGCTAGATATGAAATATTTCGTAAAAAAAAGTTTGTATGTTTCGATTAAGTCGTTAAAATTACGAGTAAATATGATATTTGGATAATGCAAAGTTAAGAATACACTACACGCGTATCATTGTTGCTTATTCATCGAGTTCCAATGACATTCTGATCTGTGCTTGGTGTTGCGTCCAGAAAACTTCAATACAATTTTACCGATTCCTTTTGATCGTACAGCCACACAATGTTTATCAACGTTAGTATTATGTTGTTCATTTCTTCTTTCAGATTTTCGCTGCTTCGAAATGTGTACACACATAAGTGAACAGTATGAACACTGCACACACCATTAAGAGAGGAAACACCATGTACATATGTGAACGAATAAACGGTTATGCGCACTTATACACGCATACGACGACGAACAAAAAAAAAAACATGAGCGCACATACATGCACACACGCATACTCACACACATATGCTTCGTCGATATTGAAGTGGCATAGGCTGCTCGCTAGTGCGCTGGAGTTTACAACTTCATGATCATGACGACGACTGGCATGCAATACAAAAGATCGAAATGAAATAGTGTTTGTCGAAAACACACAACGCAAACACATGTAAAGTTTTTCAAATTGTTTCTTGTATCCCCGAAATGAGCATCAATTCACTCACTGGTGATGTTGTTTTTGCTATTGCTGTTAGCATTAGTTTGTGATTTTTGTTTTTGTTCTATTTTACTGAAAAAAAAAAAAAAATGAGAGAAGAAGTAAAACGCAGAGGAAGTGAGTGAAGCATAACAAAGAGACTATGAATAATGCAGAGAGAGAGAAAAAAAACATTTGTAAGAAAACATTGTATACTATATTTTCTATGTTCCATAAAATCACATCAGGAGAACAAATATATTGAACAGCACACCGTGCGCACCCACACTAATACAACATAGAGACTGTCTTTATTAACAACAGCCCGCATTTTATAATCAAGTCATTTCTAAAATAGCACGTTTCAAAACAACAATTTCACTATATTTTTCACATGTCTTCAGGAATAGAGCACACCGAATTAAACATGTATATATATATATATATCTATAAGAATATAAATTCTTTTTTCTCTCGGTCCGATTCAAACCAGCATCAATTTTGTTGGTGGTTTCATGTTTAATTTTAATATTTTGTTTTGAAAATTACATCAGCAATGCAAAACTCGATGGGATAAAATCGCTTCGAATACTGCGTGAGTGTATGTAGGGGTCGACATGATCGTCGTCATACATACAAAGAACTACAAAAATCACTCTCTCATATGTGTATGGCATATACATCGATTCGGATCTGCTCTGATACAACAACACACAGTTTTATTGAAACATCTTAATTTTCTACGCTGAGTTTTCTTTGTCGCCGGGAATACGAACGTAAAGTGAAAAGAGAACAACAAAAATACACACACTTCACGATGGTCGTCGCAATAACAACAGTTCCGATTTAGGTCTTTATTTCACAGTATGTATTTTGTAAAATGTTTCGGCTTTTGATGGGTATTCGTTCGTGAATGAATAAGTGAAAGATAGTAATTTTGTTTTGAGTCTTCTCCGCCTTATTGCTTTCGTTTTTTCCTTCTTTCATATTCGAAAGAGATAAAAAAAAACTTAACTTTAAAACTTTTTTTTAGTCTGCGCTTGATTTTGGTGTTTCAAAATGATTTTTAAAAAAAAATTATGTTGTTTTGTTATGTGCTCACACTTACTATTCCCCCTTTAGAAACATGGGTACTTCTTAACACAAATATAATCTTTCTTCTCATTTGATCTCTTCATTTGAGAAAATAATTTTCCGTGAAGATTTAGATTTTATTGTATTGGCTATTGTAGTTGTACTTTACAAAAATTTCAATCCTTAAAACACACATGAAACAGAACATTCAATTCAAATGTCGAAGTCAAGTCGAAAAATAAAAGAATACATTGTTGCGATTTGTTGTTAAAGCTACCATTAACATTAACATTAACTTTTCGTAATGGTATTTTGTATGTCAATTTTGAGCGCCGAAAAGTAAGTCATCATCATTCGTAAATTTGCATGCGTTCAATTAAAAGTAAACAGCGCAATGTGAATGAAAGACTTGTGAGAGTTTTTTTTTTTGTTCATAGAGCATTGGGTACGATGATGCAACTGGAATGATGGAAACGACACAATAAATGTAACATACAAGACGTTTATGGAGAACAATCAAAATTTTTCAGAATCATTTAAATATCAGTATTAAATGAACAGTTCCACTAGGGTACAGAGCAAAATAAACTACAATGTAAAGTCGACAGAATGAAATCAACATCGCTGTCTCTCTCCTTCGCTCTGTTCTTCGTTTTCTTCTTCTTCCTATTGTCGCCTTATACTAAAAAGTTACTTCCAGGGTGGTCTCTGCATACACTGCTTCGCTGTGCTGACACTCTTGTTCATTGTCAAAGTCTGCAGATGAAATCAAAGAAAACATCTGAAAAAATGAAAACGACAGAAGTTTAATTGGATTACGTCCAAAAAAAAAATATACATATATAAAATAAAACTGAAGGCTGTTTCTTTTTACAATATCTAAATGTTTAGTTTTACTTAATAACAAAAAAATGTTTTTTTTTTTTTAATTCGAACATTATGCAGACAAGGTAAGTTTAGTCTCTGGTCATACATAGCATGTTTATAAAGTTGTGTGACATTATGAAGAGAGAATAAAAAAAAAAATTAAATCAAAAATGAAGAAAAAAAAATCAATTCTGTCTTAGTTTGAAAAGCATGTATGTTATGCAGATTTGTTACGTCGAAGGTTGAATAGACATGTGTAAGTATGGACAGAGATGCAGCTGCAATACATTGGATGGCTGGTGTAATGAAGAGAGAAAAAAACAACAACAGCACTAAAACACTGGCGCGATATTTCTTATACAGCAAGAAGACAATGAATACAGCAATATTAGAGCACACAGTGCAATGAAATCAATCATGGTTTGAAGCGGAAATATCTCTGCACTTTTCAAAATAGATTTAAAAGAGTTATGGTTGCATGCTTTATATGCCCAAAGTAAGTTATTAGCTTAAAATCAAATTAAACCATTCAACTCAAGAAGAAGAGAAAAAATAAACTCACGCAACATTGCCAACTATGAAGATCCATGCCTAGTTGCATTTTACAAAGTAGTCAGAATGACGGTCGACGTAGCGTATAAAAATAGGGGGGATAAGGAATTGTGCATTGGATTCATTGTCTCTGTTACTGCTGTTGATATTTTCAAGTCTTACTGTTGCCTAAGACCACCCACATTTTCATTCGATTTCTTTTTAATTGAGCACGGAGTGCAAAGCGCAGCACACGCCAAACGTCTAAAAGAAATTTTTTTTATGAGCGATATGAAAACGTAAAGCAAGGACCAGATATCAACTAAAAATAAATACACCGATCAAGCACATTCACTTCGTATAACTGCCGATTATCATTTCCATCGTCTTTTCGATCATCAACTTTGTTTTTTTTTTCTTTCGAACCATTTCATGCGATTCAAATTAAGAATGATGAATTAACAAACAAAAAAAAAATGTTTTTATGATAAATGAGCTAAAATAACGTAATTTGGTCTTATAGAGGCGCTTTTTTTTCAAATTGAAATTCTATACATTTTCAATGCATTTAAAACTTCATTTTTAGCATTCGGACTTTATGTATATATACATTAAATGTAAAAAAGAGCATTGATGTTACTAATTTTGCATTTTGAAGATATTTTCCAAAAAAAAAGTCTATTTTAACTAAAACCAAAGGTAAAACGTGTTTCCCTCGTATTTCTTTCGATCGTTCACATTTCTTTTTGTATAAGATTCTCTCAGAATTTGATTGACACTTATGTTTTAATCCAAATATTTTTTTTTATTACGCCTTATTATCGGTTAAATCGCTATATTCCTCTGCTATACAACTCAAATCTTATCACTGCATAAAAATCTTAAAATATTTCGAAATTTTTTACGCATATTTATAGTTTTAATTATTTAAAGTGATTTGTAGCGACATCTATTGTACATATTTTTGACCTTAAAAAGCTTAGCTGGTGGACAATCATTTCAAAATGTTGTTGTTTCTGTTTTTTCAATCGTATGTCACAGGCAGCAATATTCTCTTTTCCAAAAAAAAACGGCATTTGAAACAAAAAGAAATCATAGAAGAAATATTTTTATTTAAAAAAACAATGCTTTATTAACTATGAATACAATATAAAAGGTAGTTTAAGGAGAACTGTATCTCAATTACACCGCTGAATTTTCCAGAATTATGGATCGAGATAAATTCCGAATGCAGGCCAAACGAATGATTTTGACCATAAATTCGATGTTGGCAATGAATGATATGTGCGAGTTGGTGCTTTCGTTGGATCTTTGAAGAGCCGATGCTTTTGATAGCAATGGCTCCCATTCAGCAATGGCATTATTTTCTGTTTTTGTGCTATTGGCCAACGACTTCTTAAGATTTTCTAATAGTGGCATCAAACTGTTTTCCAAATAGTGCATTATTTTGTGTGTTTCTTTGAATGAAAAAATTGGATCGGCTGCTTCGAGCAGTGAAAATGCGTCAGCAAACATTGATGGCCAAAAGTATGCAGGCGCAATTTTGGAATCGAGTAAATTGATCAGCAATTCAGCGGCAGCTGCATACTGTTTGGTGCGATGATAGATGTGAAAATCACAATATTTTACCAAGAAAACCAAACGTGGCGATATGAACATTTTAGCGCCGACATTTTTAACCACATCTTCACAAAATATTTCGCCAGTTTTTGTGTAATTCTACATATAGATTTAAAAAGGTTTAAAATTAGTTGGAGCATTTCATCAATAATTAGAGGTCAAAACATACCCGCAAGAAAAGATCGGCAATCGCAGTGACGTAAAGATTGTCTTGTGATCGCAATGCCCAATCAAGTGCATTACCATAACGCCCGTTGTTGAAACTCTTTCTTGCTTGAACGCGACACAGCTCTTTCTCTATCATAAATAGAATCAAATTTTGTATTGAAAATTGAAAGCATGAAAATGTTCGGAAAAAAAAGATTAATAATTACATACCAGCCTCGATAAGACCTTTGCCTCTAATAATGTTCAATATCTTGAGTGCCATCTTTTCGTTTTTAATATTCATTTTTGAGATGAACAATTCAATCGCGCCATTTCCTTCTGTAGAGCACTGTTCCAAATAATCAATGCCAAATACCCAAAATGATTCTTTGGACATTAGCATGGCGCCAAAATCAAACAGAAGTGATTCGCGGAGTTTCAAACCAAATCTATGTGACAAATAATAATAAGTATTAGTAAGTATGTAATAAATGAAATGCTTTATAATTCTTACTCATTGTTTTCATCGTTGAAAATGGTCAATTTTCCGCTATGCCACAATAAATCAGTTAAATGAGTTGCAAACCATTGTTGATCATAAACATTTTGAATGTCACGTAATACTTGATGAAAATCATTTTGCATAATTTTTAGAATGATCCGATCCAAATGCTTAAGACTATTGTCTTCATCTTTGACCGAACAATTTCTTTCGAATGACCATTGATTTAGCCATTTTTCGGCCAATGTATTCAATTCATAGTATGTACAATGTGGATGTGTGTAAAACAAATAGCCGGGAAAATGTTCATACCAACATGATGATTGACAAGCAACACGATTCCAAGCTGCCTCATTTCCCGTTACCAGCTCGACAATTTCCTTTAGTTCTGGTTCCGCTTCGAAGCATCCCATTTGTATTTTGGCTTCTGTATCGGCCAACCAGTATTGCCATTGTGATCGCCAATTTTGAACGGACAATCCACCGCTAACGTTGAATATTGGAATTTGTCGTAAAATTTCTTCAGTCATTTGTAAGCACGCATTGTAATTGTCTCGTCGATAGATTTGCAGAATTGCTCTAGCTATTTCCAAATGACCTTGGGTGATTAATGATTTCACCACTTGCAAATATTCGGCATTTGGTTCATCGCCACGATTTGTGAACAACAATGCAGTGGCACGTTGTTCGGCCTCCGGAAAATGGAATCGAATCCATTCAATCAAATGTGGTAACGGATGATTCGATGGTGATGGATCAATCAAAAATATTTCACACAAGTGCCAAATGCATTCGATTGAATAAAAAATCGTCATATAATCTTGGTAAATTGCATCCGTATCAATTTCGCGTTGTAATTTTTCCAAGCAACCGCGTAATATGCTTCGGTATGCATGTGATACTTTCAAATAGTCTTTTTCCGATGCATTTGATTTTGACTGAATCTCCTGGAAAATACTGTTCGATTCGGTCAGAAATGCACGCAAAATTGGCTCTTCGAAAATGAACTTTGTTTTCAAGTGATGAACATTCACTGGATACTTCTCTGCATATTCACTGGGCTTATCCACCGAATTACTGCAAAATACCAAAATTAATTAACTAAAATATTCAAATTTTTATTAAATTGCATTGAATGCTTACACATTTTTGTTGCTGAAAGCGTACACTGACAACACTGAGCCATTCACCCATTTGGCGGTTAAACCAGTCTTTGCGCAGAGATCGTCATTAATCGTCTAATTGGGGAGAAAAGAAAGTTATTTTTAATATAAACTTTTAATACTTGGTGAGTTTTTGAGTTGTGCAAAAAAGAAATATTCTTACAAATGTTGCGACACTCATTTCTTTTTGTTAAAAATTACGAAGCTAGTTGAATGTAAAACAACAAACTATCAAGCAAATCTAACCTTAAAATACTTTCAATCAATTTCATACCGTTCAAAACGTCAACGATGTATTCAAGGCAAATGTCTAAAGTACTTTGAATTTAATTCCATAAAAAATGATAAATAATTGTCAAAATAAAACAAGTAAATGACGTAGTTTTTTCCTACTAAAATCTCTGTTGCAACGAATCCAAATTGTGGTATCAATAATATAAAATGATTTGAATATTCACACGACTTATTGTCACAATAAAAAAGTTTCATCTCTTATTTGATACTTAACAGATATCTATACATACAAAATCCAAAATTGAAATATCGTGTGCCCAGCGACACAATATACTCGACACAATATTTCTGATAAAAACAAAGTAATTTCATCGAATTTGTTCGAAATATGGTGAAGATTGGCTTACAAATTCGTGCTACATTAGAAAATGTTGAAGAAGTTGAAACGTGCCATCCCGATTATTCATTCTTTTTAAAATTGAAATGTACAAATTGTGGTGAACAATCGGAAAAATGGCACGACCTAACCGAATCGGAGCGTGTAAACGAAGATTCTCGAAATCCGAACGGTTTTAACTTTTTCATGAAATGTAAGCTGTGCTCACGCGAAAATTCCATTGATATTGTTGAAAAATCAAATGGTAAGGCATCATCAAATCGTTAATCATATATGTCGATATTCAATTTGGAACTTTTTTTTTTGTTTCATTCAGTTGTTTACACCGCCGATGATTCGGGCAAATTCAAAACAATTGTTTCGTTTGATTGTCGGGGCGTAGAACCGATGGAATTTTCACCACGAACTGGTTGGATAGTGAAATCGGCTGAGAATGGACAAAAATTTGAAGATGTTGATCTATCCGAAGACGATTGGGTTGAATACGATACTAAGAATAAAGTTTCGGTTGGCATTTATGAATTCGAATCAAACTTTGTTAAATTAAAGAAATAAACATCACTTTCATCATGCACCAGAGCGAAATAAAAAAAAAATTAAATTTTTATAATGATTGAAAGACGAGCATTTTTATTTCAATATTGATTTCTATTGATTAAAAAAGATTCCATGCAATTAGTTGATTAAATGCAATTGAATCATGAGGCATGTTACTTAAGTCGAAATAAACTTCATGCGATCTGTCGGCACCAGCATTTTTGGAGGCGCTGTTGTCTCTGTGCATGTATATACAGATGTAAAAAAAAGATGGAATGCGCACATGTATTGGTATGTGAACAATATGAATGGTAATACAAATACATCGTCCAGCAATAATGTGATGAACGAAAGAAAATAACACCAACCGCACACATAGTGCTTTGGGAAGAAAACACACAAACACCAATTGAGTGTTGTTCATCGACAGAAACAGAGCGACAGTACAATTACAAAATAAATATACAAAAATTGGTGTAACTTTTGATAAATTTGTTTTTTTTTTCGTTATATTTTGTGATTGTCTTTATTTGTGACGCCTTTTTATTGCTGTCGGCAAACAATATGTAAATATCATCAAATTCGTTGAATTCATTAAATTACTTTAAAGTTATCTGAACACAAAAAAAAGTCAATATCGATAGATTAGTTCAAAAAAAAAAAAAATTGTTAGCCACCGGACGGACATACACAAAAAAAAGTTATTATTATCTCAAAAGGAAAAGCACCTGAACGATACTAAAAAACAGTGTTTTCTATCGAATGAATGAATTATAAAAATGAAATGATGCGAACGAATGTTAGACTGTGTAGTCTGGGTAAGTAGTGATTAAATTGCTCAATAGCAATAGTCAACGAACTCAACAGAAACTAACAATAAACAATAGCTCTCACAACAGCACATTGGTCCCAGATGCTAGGTGTGAACCAAATAGTTTTACTACTGCATTTGTTGTCAAACATTGTTGAAATTCAATTTCGAATTTATTGGTGAATTTGAAGCATTTCATTTTTTTTTTAATTGTAATTCGAGTGCGATTAATTTAAGCGATTTTAGTTGATTTTTCAATAATAAACTTTGTATAGATTTTTATGTTTTACCATAGAAACTAGATCGGAACATAGTCTACAACATGGAAATCCATTTTTTCTTCTTCGATTTTGTGTGTGTTTTTTGAAAAGAAAAATTCAATTACTGTGATAGATAAACGCATGTGTATGTGCGTGTTTGTTTGTGTGTGAAATGATGGAATTAAAAAAAAAAATTAATTTGAATTATAAAAATTAGTCTGGTAATCAGACTAAGTGAATTGGTGAAGTGTAAATGGAAAACAATAGCAAATCGCTCAAGTCCGATACATGTATGATGTGGAGTAATTCATTTTATGGAAACATTCTTTCAGCCAGAGCAATGATACAATAAAAGCATAATACAAATGAAAGCTAAATAAAAAAAAGTAGCTACTGTCATCCCTTAATTGAAAAATTACAGTGGCACTAATGGGCGGTCATCATTTTTTACAACAACTACAAAAGCTGATATTACTGCAAATTGCCCGAGATTGTTCGGACGTTTATCAAAAATAAATTCCAACGTTTTGTTCAGGTCCTGAAAGACAATGTCTATCATGAAATTTATTGAATTCGCTCTTTATTGAATAAAATGATCTTAAAATTCAGTCATTTTGTCTTACTATTGAAGGGGGGAGGAGGTCAGATAAAATTTGGAATCTATCGATTAACAAAGTTAAATTTGAAATGAAATCGACACACTAATTGCCGTTAGTAGTAAGAACTAATAGGTGTCCAAATCTGTACATATGTGGTCAGAACATATGGCACTTGTTATTAATTCTTCTAGTCGAGATTCCAGAGCCCAATAGAATCAAATCCACAGTATATCACTCGATACACATAACCATCGAGTAAATCGTTCACCATTACACGCACTTTTTTTATTAATACAAATGAATTCGAAGTATTTAAAATGATACTGGCATTCATGTTCATAAATTGTGTGATTGTATAAATTTGATATAACCACAAGTGAAAAAAATAAGCTTCGCCTAACTGTTAAATCGAATTAGACATCTTGGCTAATTCATATTCCGTACGCACACGAAATTCTTTTTCATAAATGGAGCTCATTTCTACCGCAACTATTTAATATGTTTGACACTAAAAAATATCGAAGAAAACGACAAAGTTCCGAATTTAGTAGTAATCGGTTACTACTCGATGAACGGCAAATGGTATTACATTCATTTTACGATTATCGAAAATATGATTATTTAGGAAGATTGTAGTGCTGCCATTACATTTTTCAATTCATATAAAAATGTGAGGTTTTGAAAAAACACTATATATGCCAAAACTAATAAGATAAAGATGTGAACATAATGTTCGGAACTTTAAATTTGGCTATGAAATGTGGCTCAGAAAGCGTGATACGCTTTTAAGGTTTAATAAAACTTGTTGGCAGGCCGTACTTTAAATAGTAATCAACCGTGTGTGGAGGTCAACATTTTTATACGCACGATATGTGTGATACACTGACACATATAGGTTGATCGCGTATATTTGTAGATATATTTAAGAGTAATAAATTGCAATAATAATAGACAACAATGTACTATTTGAACTCTCGCTCTCTCTCCGCGTTTCTATTATTTTATCAACCGTAATTAATATTCGACAATGCTACACTGTATCCAAACTTTGTATGCTTTTTTTTTCGTTTGTGTCAAAAATGATTTTGAAAACCGACACATTTTTTTTGTTCAGTAGATTTAACATGATATTTCATCTCTTTTTTTTATTTTCATCACAGAATTCAAAATCATATCGATGATCATCAATTTCAATTACGAATAGTATTAATGTTAACGACCCACCGATTTTCGACATTAAGACGGCGAATAATAAACGATGGTATATAAACTTAAACACAAATATAAAAATAAACTCGATTTATCTGTTTTATTTTTATAACCTGAAGTTCAGCGAAACATTTAGGGGAAACCGGTATCAACGACGTATATAATTGACACAGTCTGTTACAACCAATAATGAATTTGTACTTAGTAAATCTATTGGCACAATTTAACAAACTGAAACGTTGAGACTATGAGAAACAATTTTATTTTTCTCTTGATTTTTTTTTTTTGGTTCGGTTCAAATCTGGCTTATATTGCATTCAGGTTTAAAAGAAAAAAATTTTTGGCTATGCACATCGAGAGTGTGTGTTTCCTAACAACAATAATATTATTTCAAATTCAATTATTTATTTGTATTGATTGCGCCAATCATCATTGAACGAATTCATTTATTTTCCAAAAGAAAATAAATGAATACGAACAATGTGCGATTTTTGTTAAAATATCATAAAATGTTGTGAATGTGATTTGAAAAACACATACACACCAACCAGATGGTTATAAATTAAGTAGGAAAAAGAAACGAGTGTGTTTAGTTTAACATAAGTTTTCTATAAAAAGAAAATAATAGTAAACAGCTAAAGTAAAATAAAAGTCTATGCAATTTACAGAAGAAAATTCACAAAACATCGACAACGGAACAGCAATTCGTCGATCGTCAAATATGAGAAGACATGAAACAGCTAAACTATGTAAAATTCAATCGATCACCAGCAAAAGAATTCTGAAAAAAAATTCAAATAAATGGTCGAATTGTTGAGAGCGCTTGATTTTGCGGAGAAGTAACGAGTATGTTAAAACTGAATTGAAATAGAATCGTATTCAGTGGCAAGAAGAAAAGAAATAAGTAAACGCATACACACAAACACACACAAAACAATTACAAACTGGATTGTTTAAAAATTGAATGAAATATACTCTGAGACTGAGAAGAAAAACGATATTTGTGCGATGGGAACTTGGCAAGGTATAATCACATAAATCCGATTCTGTTCCATCACTTTGTTGATTAATTTCGATAATTTCCATTTTTTCAATTCGGTTTCACTACGCCAGGAACTTGGGCACAAAGAATGCACAGCGTTGTAACATGTGGTCATGGTCATCCTGGCGGTGTGCCGTATCCCCATCGATTAGAAAAAGTTAAATTCGGTGTAACGCTTGACGAAGTATGCAAACCAGACATTCCCGGTCCATTACTAGTACTAATTTTAAAATTAAATAAGGAAGCACCGAGCCGAAAAGATGTTTTTCGCGCTCCAGGTATCGCAATCATTTTAATTTTTTCTCTTTTTTTGGATTCATATCAATCATTTGCAACATTTTCATCATGTTTTGTTTTGATTTGTTTACATTCCGGCAGGTCATCAAGGTGCTATGAAAAAGCTTATACACTTTTTACAAGCTGGACGCTTGGTCAATGTCGACAACTATTCCGTATATACGATAGCTAGTGTTTTAAAGAAATTCCTGCGCAAAATTCCAAACGGCATTTTTGGACGTGAAGTAGAATCAGCATTATTTAAAATCATCGAAATCGAAGACGAAGTTGAGCAACAAACAAAAATCCATAGGTATGTAAATTCGTTATCTATTATTCAAAGTGCGAAAAAAAGAGAGAGGTATATATAGCGAAAACAAATAAATAAACATTTCAAGCCTTCAGCATTATTCAATTTCAAAGTAAAATACCACACTCGAATTCGATTCAGATATTAATTACGTTTAATTCAAGTTTATTTATCTTGGCATAGAAATAGGTAACGAACACAAGCCCACATAATTCATGTGCTTAAAGTAAGAAAACTGCGTTGGTGCAGTAACACGTTTCTCATTTCTGAATGCAAATATATTTGGTTGATGCATTTCGTGGCGAACAAAAAAAAAAATAAAAAATATTAAATTCACTTAAAAACCTTGTTCAATCGCTTGATATGCTTTAAAATTGCTAGCATTAACATGAACAGTTAATTGCCTGATAATTATATAGCAGGGCATTTTGATTTTTTTTTTTTTTTTTTTTTGGAAGAATCGGATAAATGCAAATCATTTTGTAAAAATCATCAATTCGAAATGTTAATAGCATTTCATAGTATTTTTCCAATAACTGTATCCTACACTGAAAGAACTTAGGCTATGTAGATGACAACTGGAGGTTGAAATGCCCAGTGTGGAAAAGAATCGACCGACTGACTGGTTAACTGAAATCAAGTGAAAATTATTTTTTTAGGGCGTTTAACAAGTTGACAGTCAGTAATGTTGCACACGAATGTTTCCAGTTCCAAAACGCATATGAAAATTGTTGGAATTTGGAAGAAATCAACTGCAAGTTGTCATTTACATAACCTACGTTTTTTCAGTGTATATAATTAATTTATGCCGTTAAATGCTTCACAAATTGTTTGCATTCTATAGTAAATTTGACGCTTTTGAAAATATCATTCAAATATAATCGCTCAAATATTGAATATGATTATAATAAAAACAGATAAATGTAATCTCTCATAAATACTGCAGGGCATTGTGCTTCATTTATCAGTCATGAATAGTAAATACTCAAAAACTGGCATAAAATCGAGTTGATTTCAATAACGACTGTGGACAGTACATTGATGAATTGTATGATTTTTCATTTTTACAGATTAATAACATCTCAACCGATTTACACGCAGCGATTATTGATTTTATTATTTGGTACATTCCGGGTCATAGCAAGTAATTCTGAACAAGTGGGCACTGGTATGAGCAGCGAAGCCATTGGAGTGAGCGTTGCTCCCAGTTTTTTTCAGTCTTGCGTTAGCGATGGAAAAACAGCAAGAATGGAAGATGTGTTGCGTTATAAGGTAGATAGACAGACACCAAACAACTAAACGAATTACATTTACGTTAAACATATTGTTCATTCGTTAACTAAAGGTCGCCACAAGAATAATGAAGCAAATTATTGATCAATTTGCATCATTCGATTTATTTGGCCGTGATAATTATGAATACTATGCACGCGTTACGGGCCGTGTGTTACGCGTTCAAGATGAGTGGATTTGCAGTTTTCGATATCCAGCACTTCCCGGAGGCAAGTATACCAAATATCATGCTAACTACATATGTGGCAAAATTCAAATTTACTGTTTTTTGTAAATAATAATAGATCATGAAGAATCACAATCATCGTGGCAAAAAACTTGGTTACAATGTCAATGCGATCGATGGGTACTGAGTAAGTGTAATTGCGCTTTTCATTCATCGTTTGAAAAAAAATTCGTTTAAATGTGAAATTTTATGAAACAGATCAAGAAGAATCACAATCAACGCCGGCACTTTTGTCTGCAACGACTTCAAATGTTTGCAATAGTTCTGTATCGTTGGGAATAATACCAGAACACACGCTTCTTGAATCATGTGCACGTCTTTCTGTTTCGCTAGAAGGTCCCAGTATTTTTACGAATCGATCACATTCATCATCTTCGCACTCATCACATTCCAGTCAATTACAGCATAATATGACTTTAGATGAGTTAAGAGCGGTCAATCGATACGCCGAAAGCACAAAGTCACTTTCTTATTTACCTCAGGTGAGCTAATGCCACTAAATATGTTCAAATAAAACACAATAGTTTTTATACTAAAAACGAATCTATGCTTTCGCTCTATTTTTTTTAATTTTTACTTATAATTTCACTTTATCAGTAATTCAAACATGTTTTAATTGTTTTCCATGCATGTTATTACCTGCACCAAATGTAATATCCCACTTTTAACCCATTAATAACCGCCAATCTTTCAACCATTTCAATTTGATAAAAGTATTTCTAAAAAAACTTCGAAAGAAACGGGATTGTTTAGAATATTAAGGTTTCAGTTGGAAGAGATTAATTGAATTTCGAACTTTCAGTATAAAATGTAGTTGTTAAATTTTACGGTCATCAATGGGTTAAATATGATTAATTGAACACAAGAAAAATGTATACAAACAATTCATTTGGATCAAATTTAACAATAAGAATTCGAACTTTTAGTAAATTAATACTAATACTGTTGGCGGAATAGAGCAAAAAAAAACTTTTTTCAATTTTTGGTATTATTCAGATGGTATTAATGGTAACCAAAATGTGTTGAAAGCTACCATAATTTGCACTCGTTTGCAATATGAGTTAAAAGTTCATATCATTGTATCGAACTGCTTTCAACTTATTTTGAAACGTTTTTGGCCCGCCCTAAATTGTAATAACTTTTGTGAATCCCATTAGCAAAAATTCTCTTAATAAATTAAGATTATCGAAAAAAAACTATTTTAAATTGTAACACTATTTAGAACATTTCTAAAGCGTTTGTTTTTCAATGTTTAACACCCGTGGAAAACTTAATAAAAATGGATGTAAATTAACTCGATTCTTAAATTTAAAATACAGTTTTTTCACACGAATAATAAACACACACAGATACGTTTTAACTTCTTATTTTTTATTTTATGCTTTCTGTCAATTGAAGTTGAAAATTGTTAATATTTGAATTTTTCTATCCGAATAATATAAATGATATCCGAATTTGAATTGAAGTTAACAATTTTCAACTTTGAGTTTATATTTCAACTGGTGCCCTTATAAAGTATTCATGTAGCTTGCACAAATCTATTATTTTATATTTCGGAAAAAAATCTCTTTATAATAAAATAAAGAAATAAATGCATTTCAAGTTTCTGGATACAAACATTTTTATCTTATTTTCGCAAAGGAATATTGTCATGTGATTGTCCGTTAACACAGAGACTGTTCTTGGGAGCAATTTATGTGAGGAAGAGCGCTCTGAGGAGCCGAACTCATCTTCAGAGAGGAGCAAACCCCGCTGGCTCATTTGAGCGCTCCTCTTCACATATATCTCTCTGGGAAACAATATCTGGTAAAACATGGTATAAATGAATTGACATTTCTGATCTTATTACCGCGAAAATGTCTATGATTTTTTGTAAAGAAAATACATTGGAAAACAAATTAAAACCAAAAGACCCCATTTTTACTTTAATTCACGAACTGTAAAATTGAACATTTTGAATGCCAGAAGCAGTAACTCTCCTTCTGAACAAAATGTATAATCATAGAAAGTGTAATAATTTCAAAAAACATGCAATTTAATTTGACTGAAATTTAGATTTATACATTTCAAAATCATTCCAATTTTTTTCTCACTCAAAAACTCCATATTTAGATTTGAATGAATTTTACATGGAAATCTGTCTTAATTTAATCTTTTTTTTAATTTGTCTGTTCTAATTTATTCTTAGTTTTGCATTTTTATAAATCTGACCTAATATCATAACATCTAAGATAAACGTTCGATTTAAATGTTTGAAAAAAAGAAGCTGAAACTTATTCAACACGATTAAAATAAGTGTTCCCTTTATCTCTTTTTTACTCTTCAAATATGCCTGTAACCGTCTCACTCATACGGAAAAAAATGCGTATATTATTATGCGTCAAATATGAAAATGTCACATTTCTAGGTACATGAACGACAGACAGCTAGAATGCGAACTCGTTCTGAATGGTTTCTTGGTTGCGGTGGTTCGCTTAACTCTGAAATGAATCTTTCCAACATAGAGTCTACCAACACTGGCGACGATACTAGGGGTAATTATGCAACAAGTACTTTGTGTAATGAAAGTAGTAACTTAAGAACAGGAGTTTGTACATATTAAAGAATGTTTTCCCAGTGTTTTAAGATCGATAAATTATATTTTTGAACGTTTTTTTTTCAATATCCGAGTTCAACACATTAATTTTAGTTCCGTTTTGTTATTTATTGTACTTTTTTTATTTATCAAAATTAGATTGTAAAAGAACAAAATTACCTGAATTAACCTTTTCTGTATTTATTTATGTATGTTGCGAGAGAAATATATCCCTGAAATTCAAAGAACGGGATGTCGTTGTCGGAACTCTTTTTATTATAAAGTTCAGACCTAAGTAAATTATTGAGATCATGATGATATTATACTATATTTGAACAAAATTGTTATAGAGAAAAAATCGTTCCCATTTAAGACGTCCTTTTCTTTTACGTTGATTTTTTTGTTTGGCACTATGTCAGTTTACAAAACATATATTATTTTCACAGTGATATTTATATAAAAATTCTGTTGCAATATGTCGGACTAATTTCCAAATGCCGGAAATGATTTACAAATATATGCGTTTTTACAACGTTTTTTTATATCTCAATCTCATCGTATAATGTCATTAATTCATTAAATATTTTTTTTCCGAATTGGATACTAGACCGATGTACGAATACCCTATATTTCCGTTGCATATTTTTGTCAGCATGTTTATTTTTTTAACTGTTGGTCTTTACTGTGTTCACCGCATGCCTTAAGGATCAATTTGCAATAGAAAGACCGTGGTTGCTTCTTCTTTTTCAAGTTTTTTGTAAACTTTAACCATTTAAACGAGAAAAACATACTTTAGTAGACGACCTTAATGGAGAAGAAAAAGAAGCAATCTCCACCGCACTACTACATCATTTGAAATGTGCATTTTTAATGCGCACAAGTATTTTTATATCATTTAGCTCAAATGATTGTTTTGATAGACATTTATAGTAAATTTTCACTTTACGCTAAAGTTTTTCGAATGAAGTAAGCTCAAAGTTTAAATTGGCGCTGCTCTCTAATATTTATAAGTTTACGAACTCACCGTTTTATTCTAATTATTTGTCCGCTTTATGGTATTTTTTTTCATGACATATAATGTGAGTTTAACTCGCTGAGTCGCCCCTGTGGACGTAAGAAGGGGTCATTTAATAAATGCTTGATATTATAAAAACGACTATCCATGACCGATTTTTGCACAAATTTCAATCAATTCGACATTTGACGTTTTCCAACATTTTTTTATTTTGAAAATTTTTCAGCACATTTATGCCTTTTCAATGTTTTTCGATTTTATCTTTCGAGTTTCAAACCAAATCATATAAATAGTTGGGAAACGTTAACATCATTTATTTTTCTCTGTAAGAAATGAAATTCATATCTTTATAGATATTATAGAGTGTAGTTTGAAATCATGCAAAAATGTTTCAAAATTGTTTGTAATTTAATTGATAGATAGTTAATAATTCAATTAATTGAATAAAATAGTGTTTTCATTAAGAAAGCGATATTAATAAAGAAATTAAGCGATATTTAGCACAGCATCTCGGATGCGTCGACACCAAAATTGATATGAAAATTCTTATTTAAGAGAATAGAAATTATATTTTTTATATATATATATATCAACAGAAATACTGTGAGACTAAGATGTTCAGCATTAAGTATACGTATTATTTATAATAATTTTTGTTTTGTTGTGTTGTGTATCGAAGATATGAAATTTATGTCGTAAGTTAAATACTCACTCTTGTGAAAATAAAATGACTAACCCTCGATCACAAGTTAACTAAGAGAAATTCTTTTTGTGAAAAGCAATAATTTCATTTAGTCGACTATTTTTTGGTGTACACTATTGACTTAAACTACACATTTTTTACTTTGATCAAATTCACAATTTTTGCACCGAACAATCAAAGTCGATATTTGTCCAAAATTAGTTGGCTAATTATTAGTCGACATATTTTCACAAGGGTATGTCTTGCATATCGAAGTATTATTTACATCTTTGATGAAATTCGATTGCAACATTTAGGAACAAAAAAAAATCACGAAAGTACAATAGACATTTTATACATCACGCACATACTTGTAATTGATATTGTTTATAAAACTAAATAATTTTGGTTATAAAAATTAGAAAATATCGTTTTATAGTGTTAATGAGATGGAAGCGTTCAAAGATTCAAATGTTCAAAACAATTGTTGCAAATTGACGTGAAAAAAATAAGTCTAATTTTGCATGTAGTCACAATTTATAACGCTTTGAATATATATATTTATAATTTCGTGTATTTATATCATTTGTAAAATTTAATCTTTATATTGTATAAAGACGTTGAATGAAAAGAAAAACAACCAATAAAATGGTCAAAAAATGTAATTTATTTGGCCACATTTTGTTTTTATAAATTATTTAATTTTTAATTTTTTATGATTTACATTTACGACAGAGAAAGCCATGGAGTGGTATGAGTAATGTTATTTAATATATCAGCTACGGGAGCGCCATATTATAGTTTTTGATTGCATGAGTTGTTGTTGTTTGCTGTATTAACTCAAAAACATAGTATGTCGCTTGTTGAATCTTTTTAAGAATGAGTATTCGTCGCATACGGTATTGTGGCTTCTGTGGTCGTCTATATTTTGTTGACTAAAGTGTTTTTTTTTAAATAGATTTTTAAATTATATTTTTAATTTTTTATTTCTAATTTTTGTTTTATTTTTTTTTACTATATGCCTTATAGCAAATATTGAATTCATAGGATCACATTTTTCTTCTTTCGTGGAAACTTTTTTTTTTTCAAATTTTTTTTTATCTAATAATAGAGCACATAAAAATACAAGGTTATCCATTTAAAGAGTTAAGATTTGACATCCCTGCCAATACTTCTGTTTTTTCGTAAAAACTTCAAACGAAATCAAAATTGGATAGCCGTGTATTTAATGATGATCAAAGCCACAAATAAAATTGAACCTCTTTTGTCTTCAGCATAAATTTCTCAATTAATAATGAATGCATTTGTTGCGTATTCTTTTTTCTTTTTTATTAAATGTGAATATCAACTAGTTGGTTTAAGTGCAAGCTCTGAGTCAATCTATCAAACAAAGAGTAGTCGCAGCAGGGGAAATTCAATCCGACACCGTCCTCATCGTGTATCATCACGTCGCAATAAAGAGAATGGGTCTGGTAGTCGAAGAAATCGAATACAATTAGCAATTAATGATAGTGTAAAAAATCTTGGCAACACACCGAAAAATACAAGCGGCAACAGTAGTGGCACCAATGACGACAAAATATTAAAGGTAAATTTTGAAAATAATAGTCCAATTATGGATAGAACACAAAATAAAACACATGTGGTGTCATTCGAATAGACACAAATTACAAATTAACACTTATGCCACTGGATGCAGAGCCGTATTGAACACGATGACAATTATTGAAAAGTGCTGATATCACGACTCGTAATTTACGAACAACATGAATTAGAAAATACTCACGATTTGAAATGATGAAAATGTCTAATTAAATACTAAACAATGATCGATTTTATGAATAATAAAGAGTCACCACAATTTGTTTGCCAATTTATTTGATCAGTCAGATTTTTTTCTTCTTCTTTTCAATATGATTGTTTCGAAATAATCTCTCTGGTGGATCCATTGTTTTTATCTGAATCATTCATTTATTCAGACATTATTTCAATTAAAATAAGATTCCAGCAATGTCACAATACTATCTTATGAATTTCCATTAAACTTTACACTAAACACCAGATCAATCTTAATAATTTTTGACAAATAAATAATATAAAAATGTATGCCGTTGTCAGACTGGTTTAAAGAAAAATTCTAATGGTGTAAATTACTTGTAGTGGGATTGTGTGAACATTTCACCTCAAAATAAGTTTAAATGTTTGCCAAATTTCGCTGCCAGAAATGTTTTGCCTTTTACTTAATTTTGGTGTATTGATAACAAAGAAAAATGATTCATGTGTGTACTTTCATATTTTTAAATGTTCACGAATGTATTAAATGTCATATGTGTTTAAGGTACACGAGTATTAAGATTGATATCAATAAAATTAGATTAATATCATTGTCGATTATTAAAATTGGAGTTCCAAGTATCAAGGTATCTACTATACAGAGATTCGTTTTTGGACATTTTTGGCAGGCTTGCAACTGTAATGTCAGAAATATTGTGTCTGTTTAAACTAACAAAGCAGGCATGCGCTCGTAAACAAATGATCAGTTATAACTTTGACAGCCAGTGTGCTCTATATCTTATGATTTCATTTGTGAAATTCGCAAATAAACCTTTTACAGAGAATATCTTACCCGTCAGTATTTTAAAACTGATTCGCCACGCGATTCAAAACATTACATTTACAAGAATATGTCCAAAAATATGCAAAAATGAATCTTTGTGACAATATCGATTTCAGTCGGCCAAATATCGGATAAATTATATCCAAGATAGCATGATGTTCACATCATTTTTTGTTATATCATTCGGTGAAACTATTGTATTTTTCTCTAGTTTCATTTCATTTATTTATCAATAAGAGTTTGAAAGGTCAAAAACATAAACATCGATTCAATTATGAAAATTAGTCAAAGAATTTACACTAAACAATGCATAGCAATTCGTATAATAAATGTTCATCAATGAAAAAAATTATCATCGTGTTTTTTTTCTCATTTTGAATGATGAAAAACGAAAAAAGAAAATTTGAATAACGAAGAAATCTAAATTTGAGAAATGTTAGCACGAAAGGGAATTATTCACATAGACTATCCTAATTCGCAAAAATGCTCAAATATAAATTAATTTGACGCAATTTTTTTTTATTTTATAAAATGATTTCATTTTGAAATATTTAAATGTGTTGACAATGTTAAATTAAGACGATTACCAATCATAAAAAATAACCGCTTCATTGTCTTGAGAAGAAGTTATGAAAAACAATAAAAAATGTACTTGAAAATTAACGAAAATGTACGTTTCATCTCTGTGTTCTGTAATTGAATGTGTAGAATGAAGTCACAAGGACTCAATGCGTTGTTAATTTTGTACCGAAGATATTTTCATCTGCATTGAGCTTGTGAAGTCGTTTAACTTATTCTCCTATTGTAATGTTCAGGCCAAATCAGAAAAGTAACAAAACATCAAGTCTCCTCGGAATGCATGAGTTAAATTTTAGATAAACTCCATTGAAAATAATACTCAAGTCGCACAAATTGACTTAAGCAGCTCTCAATATGCCTGAAAGTCTTAAAACGGTCTTATTTTAAATGAAAAGACTCTCAATATGCATTTTGTCAGTTTTATTTACAGAACTAGAAAAAGGAGCTCTTAAAAGTCTTTTGGAAGCTCTTAGTGTACTAAGATTACACGATGTAAAAAAATGAAAATATTTAACACAGTCTGTGATCGTGTTAATGTAATAAATTTGGATTTTTGCTCTTTATGTGGTTGTGTTAGTAAGAACTTCTTACTAAGAAATGGATACGACAAAGACTAAAACAACTCGATAGGGGCGCCCAAGAAAGTTTCAAAATTTCTCTGTATTATTCAACATTAGTAGATTGTATAACTGATAATCAACGGTTTTCGATAAAAATGTGATGTTTATGGAAAATACCATCACCTTCGGCAGTCATAGTATCATAGCCGTGGTCTTTCTGTTACCGAAAACACTGACGCACTCCCTGATGACATTAAATCAAACTAATCTGTCCCAAATGTTTTGTGTTGAATTTTACTGAAACCTTAGAATTAAGACAAAATACAGATAATTTGAAAAAAATGAGAAAAATGTCTGCAGATAATTTGCATAATATTTACGCATGCCTTGAAAACATTATTTATTTCGCAAAATAAAAAAATGATTTTATTTATATTAGATAATGATAAAAGGACAATTGATTAGCTAGTTTAGATATTAAAAAATTATTTGATTTTCTTTTTGTTGACTTCAATTTTCTTCAGCGCAAAAGTTTAAAATGAAAATCTTTATCTTATTCGCATTATTCGTTGTAGCTGCAACCGTTTTCCCATCGGGTAAAAGCGAACCAGCAGCTTTCACGTTGCCGGAATTACAAAAAGAGCATAAAGATGAGGATAAAACACAAGAGTATCAACCGAGCCCAATCCAACAAAAGAAAACGCAGAAAGTGACACAAAACGTGCAAAACGATGGGTATGGGTTGAATACTTCTATCCAGAGCCAGTTTCTTATACGTATTATACCGTCCCCAATACGCGCACAACATGTTATCGTTCAAGATCAATGATTTTGTTTATTTCTTCAAACTATAATCATAAAAGTGCGCCTAACTTTGTTTTGTTTTCAAAAGGATTCGCTTTGTTTTTCAATTAATGTGTTCATCTGTTCAATGCTTCTTTCAGAATAATCATATCGTTTTCACTCTTGTCGACAACGTGAAGCAAATTGTTTAGTTCAGTTTCATACTTTGTAAAATTGCAATCTTGATCCACGAATCATATTTGGACGAAATTCTTTACATAGTCTCCGACTTGTTTTCGAACCAATTCGTAATTTTTAATTCCCAGCCCTTCGCCAGAGAAAATGCATCTTATTTGATTCGTTGGCACAATCGTTGGCTCCTAATCATTGATGAAACGATAAAAAAAAACCGTGTAAAAATATTGTCAATAGTTTTTGGAGTTAAAATACTCATTTACCTTTCAATTGAACGACTGAATTTGATAATCTGCATCCAAGTCTACTCACACGTTACATGTTTCCTGAAAACATTTGAATAATAACTATATAAGTATTTTTTGATGCAAACTATAAACAAAATATTGGCTTAAAGATTGTTTGTTTTAAATATGGACACAAAATTAGCCGTTTTTTTTGTTATTAATTCTTTTGCAAAAAATGAGCCGATATCGTCACAACCGTATTTATCTCGAAAGCGGACAATTTCTTTGGTATTTATCAAAGAATTTACAATACAATTATATCCCGAATGAAATGGTATTTTGATTTTGTTCTACTTATAAGTATACTGTTTGATTAATTTATTGTTTAAATCAACTTAAAGGCATTTCGATACCACTTACTTTGTCCAATTGATAATATAAATTCAAACTTCAAATGTTTGGTTATGTTTTTCTAACTCTTATTATTGTGTTGTTTGACGTGCAGCTTTGACATTTGTAGATTTTCACAGTCCCCGTGTAGTATACAGGCGCTAATTTGAAGTCGCAGGCACTCTTATTCGCGCTATCGGAGATTCCTCTTTAAACATTTTCGCATAAAGGCACAGCAACAGAATATGAGTTATGCATACAGTACATACAGTCGACAGAGTCACTTACTAGCATAGCACACAATATGAATATTACACAACTCATATTCGGTTGCTGTGTCTTTATGCGAAAATGTTTAAAGAGAAATCCTCGATAGCGCGACAAAATATTTTGCGCTCTCGGTCATTCCTCTTCCAAAGCGCAAATAAGAGCGCCTGCGACTTCCATTTAGCGCCCGTATACTACACGGGTCGTGATATTTTTCACATCGTGGCATTACGCTTTAAATCGTTTTATTAAGAAATTCTCTAAGTTATCGAATTATTTAAAAAAAATCATTTTTAACTTCTTTTTATAGAAAATCTAAAAATGATTTTTTTTAAATACAAATCAATAATTTATCAAGGAGCACTGCAGAAGAAGTGTAAGTTATATAGTGAAATATAAAAATGTTGTATTTTTTCAATAATTTTCAATTTTATAGCGATGACCGGATCGGTGAGAACTTTGTTCAGCAAAAGATTCTTAGGAATCAAAGATTATGAAATACGACGATCGACACAAGTACCGTTTGTTTCAACGACTGCGGAAATGGAAACGGAAGCGGGAAAAGCGGCCAGGATTATGAAGTATTGGTGTCATACAATAGGAAATACTTCATAATCTTAGCTGCTTTTCCCGCTTCTTCCTCTAAGAATGTGTAGAAAATTTTCTCCAAGTGACAATGTGTCTACATATCATCCATAACGATCCAGCACCTTCATTTGCCTTCTCGTTGAGGATGTTGTATTACCATAATTTGCCGTACCAAGCGTTGAAGGTAAATTCTTTTGCTTGATTTATAATCAAGCTTTAGAATCGTTTTCGGTTTGTTTGTACCACGCATAACTCAAGTAAGGTATAAGCTATCAACTTGAAACCTATTTTTTCAGATTCCTGAGCTCAATCCACGAAATTGTTAAAATTAGTTTTGATGGACAATTTATTTAATAACGAAATGTACACCGATGTGTTACACATTTTAAAAAAAAATACTTAGACAAAAATATAATTTTATTGATTACAGAATAATGAAGAGCATTTGGAATATGGCATGCAGCTATGGAATAAATTGGACAAAGAGAGACAAATATTGCAAAGTGGATCTCTTTTAGCAATGTTGGCCTTACATCTGGGTCAACCAAATATTGCTTTAGAGATTTTAGAGTCCAACAGACAACCACATTTTATACCAGTGTTTATTCGGCTCATTGCACAATCCGATTGTGGCCATTTTGCAGAGGCAGCACAACTAATTGAACAACAGAAAAATAATATCACAAAATTCCACATATACGCTAGCGTGGTGGGTATTTCCATAGGCACTCACTCATCAGGGGTGGGGGGGAGTTGAAGGGCAGCTGACCCAAAAAATTTCTTTCATCATTCTGAACAACTTTGTAAAACATAATTTTTTGATCCTATGATAAAATCGACATCAAAAAAAAAATTGGAAAAAAAGAAGTAAACGACCATTGAACAGGAAGTGCATTTAAAAATATATTTACATTTATTTTGTAAATATTTTCTGGTGTTTTGTAGATTTTTTTAGCAATCAACTTATTATCATTGTGACACAAAAGTGAGGTTATGTTAACCATTTTATTTATCTAATTTAATATTTTTTAATATTGTGAACAGTAAATCTAAAAAAATTACAAAGAAAAATAATTTTCATTAAAAACGTTTTAAAATTTATTTATTGTTACTATTTTAAATTATTTTTCTGTACTTTTTAGACTTTTTAAATGGATTTTTGTTATTGTGAATGCGAGCGCCATCTGTAAGATGCAACAAAACACATTTGGGACAGATTAGACATGTCGTTAGTGTTTTCGGTAACAAAATTTATATGGGAATTCCTATAATAGACCACGGCTATGCATAGTATGGCCAAGAATCGTACCGAGTATAATATTATAAATGGTAGCAAACGACAAGTGTCATACGCTAGGGGACATTCATACTAGAAAAACTAGTGAAACTAGCAGCAACTAGCAGCGACTAGCAAGCACTAGCGTATTATAGTCCAAAGCAAATAAATTGAGGCATGTAAAATATATTGTAGCATGCGTAAGTCGCTTGCAAACGAACCAAGTGAATAGCGGAGACGCACGAAAACGAAGTGAGTGAATAGCGACAACGATCGTTGTTATCCATTGCCGCAATACACTCACTTCGTTATCTTGCGTCTCCGCTATTCACTTGGTTCGTTTACAAGCGACTTAAGCATTACTGTTGTTTCTTTTATGTATCATACGATACGTCTATGTAATTTCAAAACACTAGAAAAACTAGCAGCTACTAGCAGCACTAGTGTACTCACTAGTAATACTAGTAAGCGATTAGCGAATACGTAAATAAAACTAGCTTACTAGAATTGCTACGAATGTCCCCTAGGTCATACGTTTCAACATTTTCACCAACATTTGGTTTTTCACTAAGAAATGATTGTATTGACAAGGAGCAGATGGATCTGCGAACCAATTGCAAATGTGTATGTTATACGTTTTGAAATACCTTTAAAAGTAATAATTCTCAATTAATGAGAAAAAAAATCACTCTAAAAGTATGTGCTTTCATCAAACAACTCCATTCATTCGAGCATTGTACAGCATGTTATTGAAACAGCTTGTTATTAATAAAAACACATCAAAATGAATTTTTATTTGTATGCGATAATAAGTACAACAAAATCAAAGCATTCAAAGCAGAATTTGTAATCGATTGAAACCAAGTACAAAATATAAAGCGCAATTTAAAATGAGTAAGAGCAAAATGTTTATTTATTCGTTTTTTTTTTAAAGAAAAATTATCGACTTATTATTCTGACTTAAAGTACGAAAGCGTTCATTGAAATATCCAAATTGAAGCTTTGCTTCACGTTTCTTATATGATTTCTAAATTACGAATATTAACTTTCGAGTTGCTTTAATAAAAAATATTGTCCAAACTTTCTACGAATGTTCAAATATTGTTGTTGTTCAGTCACAGATGTTTACCAGCAACCTTGAAATTCTGTTGTAAAAACATTTAAAATCTCTAGTTGATTTCCTTTGGGGTTCTGTTGAATAAATCACGTTTTAAGATGTAATTTGATATATAAATTCAAGTACATTTCAAGCAAAAATGTCAATTAGATCGAAAACAAACTTACATCTTGTTCAAACAGAGACAATCCCAGCCGTAGAAACTGCACACCAGCTGCACGATTCCATGCCGAAATACATTCACTGCAATGTCACAGAAAAGAGAGAGAAGCACAGTTTTAATTGACGTGATTAAAATTCAGATAAGCTACATAAGATTGAAGTGCTTCATTTAAATTATTTTTTTGCATTATGTTTTATCGTCGAATACGTGTATTATGAAGCATTGTCGTGAATGTTTATACTTTATAGTATGACAAAAAAAAACGAGTAAATTCCATTGCAATCTATTTACCTTTGACGGCTTTTTGTTTGTGTTTCGCATTTTTTTCGAACGGCAAACAAATTCTCAACAGTTCGTTGAACATCCGTCAGCCATGGTCCTAATTGTGGATTTTCACGTTGAATTTTGAAGAACTTTGACTGTAAAATATGCATAGATAAAATTTAAATTCATGATCGATTGGATTTTAAAGCGCCGTTCAATCTGACGAAATTAAAACAAAAATAAAATGGAAAAAAAATAACCAGTCACTTACATTAACACAGTCGACTGTGTTTCCATTTATTTGGCCAGTTGGAAGACTTGGCACCGATGGCACTACCTGTGTATTTGGTTCTTTTACATTTTCTCCCGTATTTTTCGCATGAATCTATCAACAATGTCCCGAATCAAATTTTACATAATTTTTCAAATAATTTCAGCACAGATTACCTGATGCACAAACAATGTCACGCCAAATAACACATAAATCGCCGTCAAATGATGATATTTCATGGTTTAAAAAAACGATAAAATAATCCAAGAAAGTTTTTGTTAAAAAATCGATTTGAAAATTTCAATAAAATGTACATATATTTCAATCGATGCACACAAGTCAACTAAATCAAACTACAAACTCTAAAATATAAAGAATGAACAGATGATTTAAATGAATTACAATACATAAATAACAATACACGGCAACAACAAAAAAATGATACGAAATGCAAACACAAAAACTACAACGCACAACAATTGTTTATTTTCTTTAACACGATCACAGAGTGATTCAAATGGTTAATTTGACTCGAATCAAAACGCAAACATACTTGAAAAGTGTGTAAATTTATGCGATCATATTAAACTTATGTACCACCCAGCGATGCAGCATTATAACTAGTTGTTGTAACGTGCAAGCGAAATTTGTATGAAAAATATAATCGTTTTATTCAAGCCAACTCTGTTTTGCCCCACTTTTACAGTTGACCAACCAATACAAGCATAGTTCACACAATATTCAGCACCTTTCAACATTTCTGATATTTACTGCGGCAACGCATGCTATGCTTTCGATTATTTCGCACGAAAAAAAAGAGTTCAAAAACATCTTTGAATATGAAATTGCTATGTAACTTGTGCGGTTATATGATGTTCTCCATTCATATCAACGATCAAAATTGCTTTTTTTTTTTCAATTTGTACGATTTGGCGGCTCCATTCAATATTTTTAAAACCAATAAAATGTTTATTGAAAAAGTTTCAGCGTTTTTTTATTGTCAAAAGCCTCTTCACTTTTTTCTTTGTCATAATTTTCATTTCTTTTTTGTTCATTCAAGCTTGATTTATTTCAATCGAAAGTTTTGGATTTGTATCAAATTCAATAAAATAAATAAGTGTGAATGACATCGTTAAAAAAAAGATGAATGTTTATGCTATTATTTTGTATTACCGCAAAATTGTTTGCTGCTTTTAAAGCGGCTTTGGCTTATAATAAATGAAGAATTTTGCCAAGGCTACTGAAAGAATGCTTCATTAATTTTATGCTATAGTAATCAAATCGATTATTATCGTGATGACATTCACAGTTCATAATTCCACAGATACACATTTAATAATTTAAACTTGAAACGAATTTTTTCTTACTCGAAATAAAAAACAATTACATCCGATGGGAAGGGTTGCGGTTCAAATGAGAAGAATAATTTGAGAAGTTAACCGATCTGGATTTTACTTTATACAGCCTTTACTAAATCGAATATTTATAGTTAGATTTTATGACTTTTTTCTTTCGGAAATTTCACTTTTGCACCATGAGATGTAATAATTTGTGAAAATGTTTCCAAATCACAATTGATCAGTTCAACAGTGATCAGTAGTGATTTAGTTGCAACCAAGACATCATTGCATTGGTAGAAAATATCAACATGTTTAATATTTGTCAATTTGACATTTTTCTGATGGCCAAAAATTTGTGAATTTTTTTTTTCATATAATTGTATAAGTAACTTTGGTTTTATCATATTAAACGAATTGATTTTAAATTTAAAAAAATGATGCGATGGTTTTATATTTTATTGATGTATTGTTGGCTTATGATTTTCTGTAACGTTGCTGCCCAATTCACTTATGGACGAGAGTCTATAAGGCCAGACAGTGAAAGTGTTGCATTAAATATACTGGGCAAGCAGAATTATAACCGTCATACAACGATAAATTCGAGTATTTGGCATATTCTTTATAACTTATTTCGAAACATTATCAAAAGGTATTTGTAATTTATGGACAATTTGTGAATCGTCAACATTATGAATCGAGCGGTTTCTGTTGCAATTTTTTTTTTTTCGTTTAAAAAGTTTGGCTAGTGATACTGGGCTTAGAAATTCGGGAACTTTCTTACAAAAACGGTTGCCACCACATATTCCATTCCCGTGCCACAGATATAATCAACGTAGTGGTGCGGTGCCAGAGAACGTTCATCAATTGCGACCAGGTGCGCAAAAACACATTTTTTTTCGTCATCTGAATGTGTTAATAGCTTGTGAATTCATTGTTAGGTGATATTGATATAGTGGCGGCACTTGGCGACTCAATGACGGCCGGAACCGGAGCAAATGCAATATCAATTCTTGAGACAAGTGTAGATAATCGTGGTATTGCATTTAGTATTGGAGGTTCTCTTTCTGAACGATCATTTGCCGCAATTGCGATCATTTAATGCAATTTATTTTAGGACAAGGAAACTATCGCAGTCACTTGACTTTGCCAAATATTTTGAAAGAATTCAATCCACGTTTGATTGGATTTTCTTGGAAAGATGCTTCCAGTACGGATCGTGGTGCCGTCTTTAATTTGGCTGAAGACACAGCTCTAACGAGTGATATGCCATTTATGGCATACAAACTTTTGCGTCGCATGCGTTTGGATCGTCGGTGAGCACACAAATATTTGTCATTATCCATTTTTTAATTTTACCCAAACGAAGCTATTTCCATATTGAATAGTGTGAATTTGGACAGACATTGGAAATTGATTACGATCACGATTGGTGCAAATGACTTTTGTCTGGATGTGTGCCAACAAAATGTTCATCCAATGGTAATAAGTCAAAAACAAGAGGATAATATTGTTAGAACCTTGCGAATATTGCGCGATACAATGCCCAGGTAATAAATATCATGTGTTGTTAAGCATTTCGATAAATAACAGCGATTTATCTACTTTTAGAACATTTGTAAATTTAGTGGCTGAACCATTGTCCAATTTAATCATGTCGATGGATGTAATTTTGAATCTGCCACTTCCTTGCCGTGTCGGTCGAAAGATGTTTTGTTCGTGTTTAGAAGGGTTACGTTACACTCGGGCACGTGATTTATACATCGCTTTGGAGCAAAATTACAAAAGGATCTTAAATCGTGTTGCTCATCGTGCTGAATTTCAGCGAGATGATTTCACGGTGGTTTTTCAACCGTTTGGATTAAATGCATCTGTGTTTATAGACGATCGAAAACCAGACATCAGCATTATGGCATATGACTGTGTCAATTTAAGTCAAATTGGGCATGCTGTTTCAGCTAATATGCTATGGAACAATATGATGCAAGTTGAATCACAAAAAACCAGTGGTTTTAGATCATTGTTCAAGGAATTTGAATGTCCCACCGAACAAAATCCATATTTACGAACGTATTTTAATAGCTTCGAAACTATTTTAACAGCAAATCCACCTTGGTAATTTCATATGTGAAGAATGAATAACTAAGAATGGAACATTAAATTTAACTTGAATTTTAAAATAAAATATATACAAAAAAGTGCTTCTTATTATCTTGCAAGAAAATAAAAGTGTTTTCGATTTTTTTTTTAATTATGCCCCACTTTATCTGATTTCAAAATGTCTCGAACAGTATAGATTCGATTAGAAATTCGTGGCATGTGTTTTAACAACGTAAGTTCACTGACGATGTGATATCACTTTTAATTCCGCATACTTTGAATCAATGTGTAATGCCATGATAAGTTACATTTCTGTATGTGATATGCGTATTTATATCGTTGCGTCAATTTGGTAGCCAATATAATGCTATGTAATAATAATAATAATGAAAAAAATCCATGTTATTCACTCGGTAACAATGACAATTTCATTTGTCCAAATGTGGCTCTGAATTGGGTGCTGTTATTGCTTTCTTCTTGAATTTTTATTTTAAATTTCTATCACCTTTATGTATGCAAATTAGTTTAATCGTAATTGAATTGTGTGATAATGTCGGTTTGTTTCGATATATCGAGTGCGTGAGCCACATGTGGTACATCGATTTGGAATTTTAGTCTGATTTTGAACATTGAATTCAACAAGTTGATTCGAAGTGCCAACATAATTGCCGCGAAAAAATTTATTCAAATTATTTATATTTAGATATAAAAATGTGTAAAACGGTTTTATTTTTATTTTTGTGTATTTTATATGCGTTTTCAAATAATGATTGTTTTTGTCAAAGAACCGGGTCAAACCGAATCAATCGAATGCGTGGCAGCATTATCACAAATTTGACCCGTACACATGCATACGACGATGATATTGTGACCAGCCACTTGGATGCTTCCGTTCGAATTCGACAATTTTATCGAATGATTAGAGATGTTTACAATAAGTATAAAACACACAAATTTATTTAATTCATGAACATCCAATTCAAATGTGATTTCATGTGTGAATACAGTTTATTAGGTGGAACTGGTCAGCGACAAACTGGAAAATTTCTTCAGAAACGCGTACCAAATCATTTTCCATTCCCATGTAAAACACGTGGTTTTCGAAGCAAAACCGTACCAGAAAGTGTTCATCAATTAAGACCAGGTGCTATTTTTGTATAAAAATTGATTTTCCTTTTTCAGGTCTCAACAGATTCTTTATTGATTTTTAGGTGATATTGATATTGTGGCCGCTGTTGGTGATTCATTAACGAGTGCAACTGCAGCAAATTCGGCTGCATTGTGGGAAGTTCTTATTGAAAATCGTGGTTTATCATGGTGTATTGGAGGTTCGTATGTTAAAACTATGAAATCACTTCAAATTGTCTTCAAATAATAATGAAACAACAGTGTTAAAAGTGAAACATACATTTTTTTATGCGTCATTTTGAACGTTTTTCAAAGAGATGATTAAATTCAACGACTTTGATTGATTTTATTAAATGATTTGATTTCATTTAACTAATATAAAGGTCAAGGCACATTCCGTACGCATCTCACTTTGCCCAACATTTTAAAGGAGTTCAATCCACGGATATTCGGGTAAAATTTTACTTAAACTTCTTTATTTTTTAAGTAACGAATTAACCATCTGGTGATTCCTTTGAAACAGGTACTCATTGCAAGATTCATATAATGTGCATCGTTCGGCTCAATTCAATGTGGCTGAGAATATAGCAACAACAAGTGATATGCCATATAATGCAGAAAAGCTGTTGCATCGCATGAAACTGGATCGACGGTAATGACAAACAAAGAAAGAAAAATCGGAAATAAAATTGAAATTGATGTGGTTCATTTCGCTCAAATTGATTTAGTGTAAATATGGCCGCACATTGGAAACTACTAACATTCATGATTGGCGGTAATGATTTTTGTTCGGATGTCTGCTATCAAACGAATGCAACCCAATGGATAAATCAAAGCCAAGAGAAATACTTAATAAAAACATTACGTTTTATTCGTGACAATATGCCAAGGTAAATCGAATGATGAAATAAAGTTTTTGGAAAAATTGAAAACCATTGATCGATAATTTTGCAGAACGTTTGTGAATTTGGTGCCCTCGCCGTTGGTTTCATTATCGTTCTCAATGGATCGCGTTCAAGTACCATGGTCGTGTCATTTGTCTCGACCGATCGAATGTTCATGTAAGTTTGTATATGTTAAATGCTTTTGCTCTTGTCTTTCATTGCCGTATTCATGGTTTTTTGAACAGGTTTATTTGGGCCGGCGTATTCAAAAGCGCGTAATTTTTATCGCCGATTGGAACGAAATTTTGTGAAAATTATGGAACGAGTCAGCTACCGTGACGAATTTCATACGAAAGACTTTACGGTTGTGTATCAACCGTTCTTCAAAGATGCTTCGGTATTCTTAGATCATGACAAAAAGCCCGACATGACAATTATGTCAGTTGATTGTATTCATTTGAGTCAAAATGGTCACGCTGTTGCTGCCAATGGATTGTGGAACAATATGATGCAACCACATTTACAAAAAACCACCGGGTTGAAACATTTATTCCAAGAATTTCGGTGCCCAAGTGAACAACAGCCATATCTGTACACATATTTTAATAGTCCATCATATTCTTTAAGATAAAATTCAAATTGTTATATGCTTTTTTGGTATTTTAAATCAATTTTATTTTCGTCTTTCATTTTTTTTTTTTGAATAATTTTATATACAAATACAGAAAATTGACACAATTGATTGTGTCGGAATAATTGATTTTAACTTATGTTTTGTTTTTAAACAAAGCTCAATGAAAATAATAAATAATGAATTTCTCATAAATTTTTTTGCGATGATTCACAACTTGCATTCCCGATTACATAGACAGAAATTTGTACGTCATTTTAGTATTCATTTGAAGTGGAATTTTCTTAAGTATTTTCTAAAATCGCTAAATGAAATGAGGTGAATGAATTAGTGACGATGGGGTGGCAAGTATGAGTTTGTTGGCAAATATGATGAACTTGGCGTTCTTGGTTGGATAATGTAAATTGTTTGTTGGGATGGGGCGCCGTACAATGAAGATGGTCGACGTGATGGTGCACCGTATGATGATTGCAATGGAGGTGGTGACAAAAATGAAGAGGATGAGTGAGATGATGAGTGTGATGATGAACCGAATGATGGGCTACCGTATGTTGAGGATGGCGCTAAAATATATAAAAGGATATTTTTTTAGAATTAGATTTGTAGCTTGGTTTTCACATTGAAAATAAAATGTCACGTTTTTTGTCTTGCTTTCGAAACGTTTGAATATGCACTCAGTCATAACTCTGTCTTTTGGTCAATCTTGAGGTCGACAAAGTATTGTTCCCATTTCAAACACAAAGCAAGCAATTCACGTTGACACAAATTACATTCACGTAAACTTACCACGAACTGGAGCTGAATAACTGGATGACACACTTGGAGCACCGTATGAGCCGCTTGGCACTGATGGAGGTCCGTATGAGCCGCTTGGAACTGATGGAGGTCCGTATGAACCGCTCGGAACTGATGGAGGTCCGTATGAGCCGCTTGGCACTGACGGTGGTCCATATGATCCACTTGGTACTGACGGAGGTCCGTACGATGAGCTTGGGACGGATGGAGCACCGTACGAAGAGCTTGGGGCTATTGAATTAAGAAAATAACTTAACAATGATCTATTCAACTTTAAATTAAATGACCAAATTTTACCTGAAACTGGAGTCGAATACGACGATGACAAACTATACGAAGAGGCTGCAAATTTAGCAAAATAAAATTGTTTCAATTAAATCAATTCAATAAATCAGACAAATGTCATTTATGCTATGTGAAGGAATAATAAGCTAGCTCCACTTACATGGGGCCGAGAATGAGCTGTGTGATGACGAACTAAATGAATGGGATGACGAAGGTGGTCCATACGATGATGAAGGAATGGAGAATGACGACGACGACGATGGTGCTATAAAAAATATTGTGTATTTTTACTTTAAAATGTTAAATTTATTGAATTGTTAATTGTTTCTGTTCAATGAAGTAGTTCACTTGTAAATTAACATTGAAACAATGAACCTTCGAATCATTTATCAATCAATTTTACTTACGACCATAGCTTGATGAAGGAGCTTGCACAGATTGATGGAATTGAGCAACTTGCAATCCCTGAGTTATGTGACCGAGTTTAATGCCTAAAAAAATTAAATTGATTTTTTAAAATTATACAATCAATTTTTTAAATAGCTTCTTTGTTTCTCAAATTTTTATAATTTTTAATTAGCATATACGATCGTATCTAAAAGCTGAAATGACAACGACCAATGACAGTTAATTATAGTGTTGTTAAATGCACAACAATAACGTGCATTTATTTTCAGTGAATATTTATTACTGTCATAACAATTGATTGAATTGCATTTTTTAAACTGCCAAAAAAGTGGAAATGTATGCTAAAGGTCAAGTGTGAAATATCAACAGCAAAAGAAATTGTTAAATTCGAATTTAAACAATTAATTAAATTGCATTAAAAATAAAGTATAAATTTAATGATCGTTTACATACCAACAACACGTTCGCCAGCATGACCTGAAGGCGGTGGACCATAGCTACTTGAAGGCGGCCCGTATTTGTTCGACGGAGGCCCATAAGAACTAGACAATGAACTGAAACCTCCTCCACCTATAAAAGGATACTTCTTTCGTGAATTTTCATTCTTTTCGCACGAAAAATGCCACATTCTGACCGATTGCATTATCGATCAGACTGTGGAATTTTAATCGATTTTTTATTGATAATGCAATTTGCATCCCTGCGACATGACAGTGTATTGCAAAAAGTGACATGGTGGCGCCATGTACAACATGGTGGTGAAAGAACAAATTTTCATGTAAGAGCATGTACGACCACATTATTGATGTTAGTTGTTATCAACTTGGATGAAATAATTTGTGATCGCAAATGCAAAATGTGCGTGGTCGCAAAGAGTGATCATAAAATTTATCCATTTTCAAAAATAAAATGTTTACAATTAGAAAATTCCTTGCGATTTTATCATTTTTGTATATAAAATTTATTTCGTTTAAAAAAAGTAGAAGAAAAAACAAATCGTCTATCACAGTGTGGTCGCAAATACGTTGTGTGGTCGCACATGCAAAGTTTGTTCTTTCACCACCATATTACAGGTACATGGCGCCACCATGTCACTTTTTTCATGTCGGGGGGATGGCAATTTGCTAGTACTTACGGCCTTTCTGGTTTTCTTCATCTAACAAAATTTCTTCAATTTTATGAAGAAGTTGTGGGTCTAGGTATGCACCTTCGCTCTCTTGATAACCACTTCCAATGGCTTGATAGCCACCGCCATGGCCCGATAAAAGATCGCCGCCTCCACCACTGGGTGCACCATACGAACTACTTGGTTGTGGTGGCAAATATGAGCTTGGTGGTTCGGCCAACGTCAATGTGACGCAAACAAGTGACAAAATCTGTCGAAGAAGAGAAGAAGAAGAAAAAAAAAACGTCAATCCAAAAGCAGCCACTACATAAATTTCACCAACTTTCATAAAATTCACGAATTAAAGGTAAATTGGTCGAAAATGATTTTTTATTTCTGATAAACAAGAAGACATCACAAACTGATTGGAATTATATTTTAACATTCATGGAAAGAAAATGAAAGGCTTTCCCTTTCGTTTCGTTTCTTCTGTGAGTTTTAAAATAAAACCGGTTTCATTAGTGAATTTTATTCTTTTTTTTTCTTTTCCTGTACTCGGCTGTGCAAATAAATTGATGCACATATCCAGTAGTAATGAAAAATGGAGAATGAAGATGCGCATATAATCGCTTTCGTAAAATAAATGTACAACAAATGAGCAAAAGTGCAATAAAATGTTATGCGATCAAGGCTTACTATTCTCCTATTTGGTGCAATTATAAACACTTTTCTAACTTGAAAAGCGTACTTGACAATTGATTTACCGAAAAAAAATAGCTTACCATCGGCAACGCCGAATGGTATTTAAAAAGGCAATGAAAACATGCAATCGAAGATGACCTCAAACTTGAATTTTTCGTTGCATTTTAACATGCATGTGATGCTTGCGCTCAACTCAAGCATTGATATTTACCAAATGAAATGCGATACAACAATGTGACTAATGGCTGATACTTGTGTCCTGAGCACATAATGTATCGACCATATCAGATTGTTTGCCTCAAAATGCCACCTTTGCGAGTTTGAAATTACAGGGCTACCCACATCAAGCATTTTGCACCATGCACATGTTACACCGTTGGTGACTGTATGCCTTTTTCACCATTGTATATACATTGAATTATTTAAACAGATAATAAAAATGAAGACGACTTAGTTGAAAACGGAAGATTTCTCTTTCATTGCAATATTAATTTGCATTGAATATGCGTTTTGTGCTTTGTGATCATCACGATTGCAGCCGCCGCTTCATTTTTGTCTTTATAACGGGATTTTTTCTTCTTCTTCGGGTATTTCGTGTGTGTGTTTTTTTTAATGCTACTCATTTGATTCGTTGCTGCATTGCATTATTCATTTGGTCTCTCACCTTTCGTGTGCCTTTCTTTCACTTGCTCTGTGGCGAGCGAGTGCTGTGCCGTTTGTTTGTTGTTTTTTTCCTCAATAAATGTGATGTGTTCGCATTTTATTGTCACTATTATAAATACAATATATTTATAAAATACAATATGTGCTTTTTTCTGGTGCCATTCTCTTTTATACGGATTTTTGTGTGTTTGTGTCCGCGTTCGCGTAGATGCCATCGAAATCGATTACCTTTGATAGCAATGCCAGCAGCATTTCTCTCTCTACCTGTTGGAACCCGCGATTTTTGTTGCTTGTTATCTTTCTTCTTTCCCAGTCACATTTCTCTATCTTACACCACACACACACACACACACACACACACACACACACACACACATCGTTTGCACCAACTATGGTGAATGAACCACCAATGTGCAAAAGTGCTCACAACGTTTACCGTATTTCTCACCAAATTCACTTTCGTCGGAACTTTGGTCGTAATTTTTTGTTGTTTTTCATCTTCTTTTATTTTTTTATTTTCTTCCAGTCATATTCACTCAATTAATTCCATTCAAAATTCACATATATGAATTGTTGAATACGCGTAATCTGTTTTCATACGAAAATGCAAATAAAAATGAAGAAGAAATGATCGACACAGAAGCGACAGCTGATCCGCTCATCAGTACGCGAGCGCACTGAGTACAGAGACGATATAAAAACTACTTTGAACAAATGAAATTAAACATAATTGTATGTATATTTATGATCATAATCAACCATAATAGTGGCGAATAGAGACTGAGTGAAATTGAGATGCGACGCAGTCATCCACTATCTCTCATAATTTACGAATTTATATAATGTAATCAAAGCATTCGTTTCATGTTCCGTGACAAAATTAAATCAAAAAAAGGGAAGAAAATGAATTGGCACCATCGGCAAAAACTGCACAATAATACGGGCAATGTGTGGCTGCTTGGTGTCATCAGCACACATCTAACTCATATTAAAATTTAAACCATTCAAAATGACATTGCTTGGACGTTCGACGAGTTTATTTTTCGTCAGGACTATTACTGGTTCGACAATTTTCGTTTTTAGTTTGTTAATCAACAACATTGAAAATTATTTGAAATTAATGTGAATAATTTCGTTACGATTTGATGATTTTGATCGGCTGCTCAGAGGCTTAGACAAATTTTGAAATAAAAAGCGAAATTTCTTTCTCCATTTCTTCATGTCTCCTTTCTTTGTTCACATTTAATGATGTAATAAAATATATAGTGAAACAGAAAGCACTTTGTCCATCCAAAAAAAAAAAAAAAACAAATGACTTACAAAGAAAAAATTAAACTCAATTTCAAGTCACTCAGCCGTCATAATTTGATTTGATTTGTTTTTTTCATTCGGAGAATTCAATTTAATTTTGACGCGTCCATGACATTCTCAATCGACCCGATGCTGGTATGCACAAGAGTTTGATTGAAATCGAACCGAATAAATCGTTGTTTTTTTTTTCATCTCGCCCAAAACGATACAATCTCACCGATGTGGATCTAAACAATAAAACAGTATTGTAACCACAGCACACAAAAAAAAAAAAAAAAAAAAAAACAAATTGAATATAGGTTCAGAATGATTGTGCAGAACGACTTAATGAACATTTTACGGGCGTCTTATTCAACTGTTTTTTTTTTTTTGGTTTCGACAAATATTTCAGTACAATATACACAGTGAAAGTAAAGAGACTGTCGGCTATATCGCCGCGCGAAACAACCCGTTTTTCTTCCGTTGGTTGTTTCAATTATCACCCGCTGTGCACAATATAGTAATCTTCTTTTTATATATGGTGACATCAGAACGATGATCTATGTGATTAATCACATCTACTTCCATCCAAGTGAATAATCGATGACTTGCTTTTTATTTTGACTTGTGCAGAGCATGTTATTTTATTATATAAGCCATAAACGTTTCTTCCGATTGCAGCAAATAAATCTAGCTGCTGATCAATTAGGTTATCTCTTCGCATGTCTGTTAAAATTGGCGAACATTATTGATTGAAGCGGTGCATTTTAATGATCGGTTTGTTCCTTTCTCTCAACGAAATGACGAATAACCGTTTCCGACCGCGAAAATTAAGCGAATAATAAAAAAACACACACGAGCGTATCGCTTTTTTTCTACGCTATCTTTCGCAAATCGAAAGAAATGTGCTAACGAAAGACTCATTAAAGAAGAAAACTAAAATAAGATTACGAAACGCATTTAACGCTTTTAACCGAATGCCAAACGCAAACGTAAGAACGTTGGATGAAAGCTTTTATTGAACTTTCGCAAATGTTATGCGAATACATTATTTCATATCTCAATTGGTTAATTTTCTTTCATTTAGTTTGGTTGAGATTTAAATTTTCATGTGTAAACCTTTCATCAAACACATTTTCGATTGTTTTTTTTTTTTTTTTTGAAGGTGAAAACGAAAAAATAAAAAAAATAATCGACAGCTGTACAAATATAATGTGTAACTAATTACAGGCAACCGGAATGTTTGGCAGCGAACACACACGCACGCTCACAATAAATACGTGTTTTTAATGGGAGATTTTTAATTTTTTTTATTTGAACTATTACTCGATAAATTGTGTACATAAAAAGCATCCTCGATTTGATTGAACAACATTGATGTAATCAGTTTTTCTTTTAAACTTAACAAATGTAATTAAAAATGGGTGTTTCCATTTAAATTGGACGGTGTCAACACATCATTGAATGATCGTTTTAAAAATTGAAAGTGAAATAAAAAAAATAATATTAATCAAGGTATTTATGAATACCGATACTTATGGGTATTGACCGTTTTTATCGAATTGTTCCCTTCGTACGTTTTTTTTTTAAGGTGAATGCCTTCAATGCAATAAATTTACAGAATTGACAAATCAAACGGCTCCAATCAGTCCAGAATTTGATTTGAAGGAAAATGTTCACTGATTTTGTGCGAACATGCATAAAAATTGCTCCCCTTTTTTGAATCATTTTGTCGTAATATGAACCACTAAACCGTTATAAATGAATATAGTTACGACTCATGTTCACTGCATAACTTATATACGATCACTGTTAAAATTGACACTTACCACACTGAATTTGTTCATTTTTTTTGTCAAAAGAATTTTTATTTTTTTGTTAATCCACTAAACGATTCGTTGTAATCCTTTCGAAATGCGGCCTGTTTCGTGTACGGACGAATTAATGTGAGCACTTGTTTTTTCAACGAAAACGAATTCACAAGTAATGTCATGAGATCGCCAAACAGCATCTTATATACCAAAATCGAGTGCTCTTCATCTTCAGTACCACCAAAAAGCATAGCACAAAACAACCGACGGACCGGAGCAAAAGAAAGAAAAACACCGCCAAAATGGAAGAGGAAAAAAAGCATCAACAGCAGCAGCAGCACCAGGCAGCAGTTGCTGCGACGGCAATAGTCTCTCACAACAAAGTCAGCTTGATTATAGGTGATGCTATGCTCATAGACGACGTGCCGCATTCACTGTCTGTTGTCATCGTTGTTGATATGAGCGCGTACATTTTCAGTTTTTTTTAGCATCGCACCATCTAAACGGTATGGTAATAGTAATAGTTATGGACTTGTTCGTGTTTTGTATCATACAAAATGATCAATATCTCACGCGCTAGGTCGCGGACACCGTTTATTTACTGGCTGGTTTTTTATGTACACGTGTTCCAACAATGCAAATTACAAACATGATTTCATTTTATTGTTTCATCATAATTATTTTGTTCTCTTCAAGAAAGTCCAAAGAAAATGCAGAGCGGCGCAATTTTATGGTTCAACTTTGTGTCAATCGACGATACATATATTTTACTTTTATATAATTACCCCGAAAACAAAAGTGAACGTATATAAATGGTAATGGTAATTATTTAAACAAATTTAAACAGATCGGTTTGTATTGTATTGGTTAATGAGCGGTGTGCATAAGAATTTCATCGCTGCTTTTTCAATTATTTCCACTTACTTATGCCTGACATATGTATGTATGCGAACTACACTATCATTTACACTAGATCAATTCCAAGTGTGATGATATATGAACGATGTAGTTGAAATGCATCAAAATCCAATCAAAATGACCGGCGACCACTGTTTGGACAAGTTTTACCGATTTTCGAACCGTATTGAATTGATGTTGTAACCCATTCAATTGCAATATTTATGGCTGCGGAAAGAAGGAAATGCGCATCGATTATGTGAAGGCAAATAGTAATTACTGTCTTTTGCGTACAACGAGACGTTTTGTTTTTGTATGCCGTTCTTTTTGTTTTATTTGTTAACCAGCGGTAATGTGAAGAAAAAAAGAGTCTTAAATAAATTTTTGGTTTTCTTTTTGCATGCATAATTATAAAATGAATGAAGTGACGACGACCGGTTAAGCTCGGAATTTACAATCCATACGAAACCATTTCTTTTTCCTCTTTTTTTGTTGTTGTTGTTGTTTCGTTTTTCGTGTTGCGTGTATATGATCTCACACTCACTTGATAAGGCGATTTATGGAATTTATGATTAAAATAAAAGAAAGGAAATTGTTGTTTGCCATATTATGATCGGGATGGTGTTAGATTAGAGTGAATGTGTGCTTCATCATCAAATGATTTTGACGTAGAAACTTGAAATGCATCGATTGAACCAGCCGAAGCCTGAAAAAGGAGTGTATTTACACCGACCTCTCGATACCATTATATTTTATTTATTTCTTCGTTGAAAATGATAAACAAAAAAAAAACACCGAAAGAAAGTCCACACGAAAATTAATTAAATTAATTTTATGAAAATGGTTCCTGTTATAAATTTCTTCAAAATTAGATCACTCTGACATTGTGATGGAATTGAATTGATTTGGGAATTTGGTAGCCGGAAATTTCACTTTCATGGCATCTTGTGTAGCTTTCAATACAAGCTGTCAGTGTGCGCTCACATTTAATATTCGAAGCCAGTTATTTACATTTGATAATGTCACACGTATATTGATGGTAATAATCACAAACATAACGCAATATGTTGCAAGCATCAAAGCATCAAAGCACAAGTGTGTAAAGAAAAAAAACAAAACAATAAATGTGTGTAGAAAATGCCCAACAGGCACACATTAATCCAATAATCGGCATATGAATGGACAGATGCAGACTAATCAAACGACGATGAATTTATTAATCACACAACTATAATTAAACCGTATTCATACATAAAACAACGGGCAACGGGCATTATAGTAAAATATCATCACTATGACATAAATAAGAGAAAGAGGTATTCATTCAAAAATTCACAAACAATGAATCAAACACCCGATATGCTCAATAGATTGTCGGTCAACAATAATATAAATGTTACATTAGCGATCATGTCAAATTCATGGCATTTTTCGTCGAATGCAAATCGTGATCGATAAATGAGTGTTCATATTTCGGTTCAGTTCATTGTCATTCAACCAGCACCGGTATGTTCGATATATTTGTTTTGATTTTTCTACTTAATCGCGAGACCAAAAAAAATATATATATTGCCGAATGACACATCAGAGCAGTGTGAAAGTAACATATACACGCATAAGATTGAATAGATTAAACTATTTCATTATTGAAATTATTTAATGTATGTCCGCTTCTGAAAATGGCTCATCGATTTCCGATCACTTCAAATCGTTTTTTAAAGCGTTGGTGAAATGTTGAACGGTTGTTGTTATTTTTTTTCATTGGTGAAAACAATGACAACATATCATTTTTTTAAAAATTAATTTGCAATGGAGAAAAATCCATAAAACAAAACCAAAAAAAAAAGCGAATAAATTTATGAGCATTGTTTTCACTTTATCGCAATAAATTTAAATAATCGCATTCTCTGGCAATCTGTTTTCGAATGGAGAGTCGCACAATGTGAGTTTATATCAAATTATTCGGATTTTACTTCCGAAAGCAACCATAAAAAATCACCAAAATTAAAGTCTGTGCGAATGAGGTCACAATCTTTAAAGTTCAAACAAACAGAATTTATGACATTCATCTTAATTCTCGAAATTAATTAGTTTGATCATCGAACTATTCCAAATTACGAATTTTATTAAAAAATATGCTCGAAATCTCTTATTTTTGTGTAAGAAATGATTCACTGGATGAAAATAAATTGCGTGAATTGTTGAAAACAATAGTTTTGTCACAAAACCAAGTTCAAGATAAAAACGGTGGTTGATTGATGATGTGATAATCAGAACAATCATCATAGTTTACCTTGAAAAACATACACAGTAGTGAATCTGCATTTACATTGAAGGAAAAAAAAAGATTTTCTGATTCAAAATTGAGTTATCAATCATTCGAATAACTGAACAGATGGTATATTGAATGGAATTTGCGCATTCAACCTTATTGTGTCTCAAATCTCAACGTGAGAAGTATTGATGTTCATAAATTACATAAAACAATGTGCGTACTTGGGTGAGCAAACTGTTGTTAATAAAGAGGTGTTGATTTCGTAAATTAAAAAAAAACCTTCCCACAATCTAATAATGCATGTACGTTTGTCGCCGTTTTGATCTTACCTCAAATTGTAGCATCTAAGCCAATTAAAAATGAACACCACCAAAAATCATACGAGTTAATGAAAAGCACCGAAACGAAAAATAATAATAGTAATAATAAAAACAAACAAATGGCACGTATTACGCGAGGGCCCATGAAAACGAAAAATCTTCCATTCAGCACCACAATTTCAATTGAGATTGCGATCTCAATTGCTTAAGTTCATAAATAGATATCATTTTTCATATACCCAAATACAACCAACCAGGCCAATTTGTACCGTTTCGAACATTGGACATCAAAAGGGAATTCCGAATGTTCATCGCGTATACATTGTATTTTGAAAAGTGTGAGAATTGCATTGGACCATCGAACAAATACAAACCTCGTATTTGGATAAATTGCGAAATGAACGTTGACCAAACTTAATCGTCCATATAACTTACTCGTCTTCAACATGAAACAAATAATGAAACAATGTCAGTTGTTTCTTCTTACAAATAAGCCAAAATTAATAGTCCAGTGAAATTCAATTGTTGCAAAATATGTTCTATAATGCTATCGGATTGACCCAATTTCAATAACGCTAAATTATACAAATGAGTCGTAAAGCAAGGTTAATTGCCTATAATTAACAAATTGTAAGAAAAAATGTCGGCCAAAAAAAAAATCAATTTAACAATTTTGTGTGAAATTATCACGTATAATACACGCTTAGTTAGTACTTTAGTTTTTCCATTTTCTTTGAATGTTAAATTTGAATATATTGAGAAAGCCACTCCGAGATTCAGAAACAATCCGACCGAACATCGCCGAGTATGGGTGTAAAAATTATGTTCTTTTTGGGCCTGTCAACAAAAAATGTTGTACCTTACAACGTATGGTCTAGGCAAACTATTATAAAATGCCCTTTTGGAAGAAAAATAGCAGTTTTTCTATCCACGTACTTTTGACATTTTTATTTTTGCTATAATTTTGTACTAATTATGTAGCCAGATTTTGAATATACCCGCTGTCATGTGAGGCCCAGCCATGGATACCATTTTTCCAAAAAAGAGGATTTTGTTTTTTATTATTTCCAAAAAGTAAAAGCCACCCATACTCGGGCGATATCCGGTCATGACTGTCGGATTGTTACTGAACCCCACTCCGACTATACTGAATAGCAGCCCATTTTTGCAACAACTGCTCAAATTCTGTTGAATGAATTTTCCGAAATTCGTTAAAAGCAACAAAAAAAAACTAACCAATTTTAGTGGTTTCACCAGTTTATTGAATTTTCTATATTAATTTTGCCAATATATTGCTTAATGACATTTATTAAAAAAAATATATTAACATTTTATGGTTCGTCTTTATCGTTGTGGTGTTTTACGAAAAAAATCTACAATTCAAATGTATGTAAGTTATTTTTTAAATACCTCATGCAATTAGTGTCAAACGTATGTAGGAAAGACGACATAAAAATTAGTAAATGTATTTTGTCTGAAATAAGCTATTCCAAAACATTTCTATTCAATCAATTGATAGGCGAGCACATTCCTTCTATTATTTTAATCGTAATTTTTTTGTTTGCGTACAAATAATTTATTATTAATTCGTAAATATACATTTAAAAAAAATAATTGCCTGTAATTAATTCAGATCCAGAAATATATAGAATTTGCAATGATTTCTTGAGATTTTTCCGCATAATTACCGTAATAAATTTGATTTCAATTTAATTATTCCATGTCACTTTTATTCACTTGGTTTATACACGTATAACACATTTGGTGTAAATTTCGGTTGTAAAAAATACAGTGTGATTCAATATTGATTGGGTCCATTATGTTGTACGTTACACAAAAAAAAATAGTTCGGTTATTATTATTTACAATCGACAGTTGATTTTTCATTGCTCGCTTTATGTGAACAAATCTTTAATATGGAATGAGTTGTTAAAGTAATTGTTAAAATTTTTGTTTGAAATGCTTACAATTTTCACATATTGTACTCGAAATGGTCCACCTTTGACATTTGTATATATTGCGCGCTCTACTTTAAAACCATTCGAATAATTTAAAATTGATCACATCATTTTTTTTACAGCAAAAATATCAATATTTCTATAAAAACAAGTTCTCTTCGTTTGAAATTAAAAAAAAAAAATCCTTCGAAAATTGAATCACAAAAAAACCTCATGTAGTTTGCAACATAACGTTCACAATACAAAACCGACTTTAAAATTACTTTTCAAAACGATTGTTGCGGCCAATACCATAGATTTCATGAGAAAAATAAAAGATCGAAGCGAATATTAAAATGATTCCTTTGTACTTGATACGAATATTGATCAAGATTTGTTTAGTATTACGATTGATTCATTTCATTATTTGAAAAGGCATTTCTTTCATTCGATATAGAAATTAGAATTGTTGTTTGTCTTAAGCTCGAGCGATAAAAAAATAAATCAAAATAATTATGAGAGAAAAAATCTCTTCATTCGAATCAATTGCAATCGCATTCGCAACCTGTAAATATTTATTCAAAGAACCTCTGTGCCGTCTGAAGACGTGTTATGATTTCTTGATAAAATGTAATTTGTTCTTGTATAAAGTGTTTCATTGCCATTTTCAGATGTACGTCTCGCTCTTGACGAAAGTGATTCATTTCGGCCAATACAGCATATGACATGATATCGGTACGACGATTTACCTCTTGCAATTGTGCATTGCCCATTTTTTGTTCGGACGTTAATCGTTCGCATTCTTTTCGTTTGTTCATGGCGCCTTTATGTACATTCAATACATCGGGAAAATCACCCAAAATGCCACGATAAATGTGTAAACAATCGGCAAATGGTATAAAATCATGCTTTGGCTGTTCGCCAATCAATTGTCCAATTCCGATAAATACACCGGCCGCCTGACCAACCGAATTCGATAAATTCACATTTGTAATGGCACGTCGCTCATCAATCTCCAATGCACGAGCCAATTCGGAAAAACCTTCGCCGATGCGTTGAAAATCTTTTTTCCATGTTACTTGAAAGCGTTTCGCTTGTTCGTTTGAAATAATGAGTAAATTTTTTACAGCATTATCCATCATATGCACAAATTGATTACAATTATCAAGTTGACTATCAACCTGTGATTGTAACAATTGTTTTTCGGGTGGAAAAATTGCTGCACAATAAGCTGGCCCAACTAATTGATCGCGTTCGGCTTGCCGTTTACCCGGTTTCCATTTTTTGTCATCGGTACAAGTGAGAAAATGCATAAATACTTCACATGTCGATAAAACTGGATGTCGACACACCCAATCAATGAATTCCTGCAACTGAACGCGTCGATGTTCAACAAATTGATCATCATATCGTCCCGATATTTGTTTATCGGGCAATGGTGGAATTGGAATTAGGCAAAATTTGTCCACCAGACGGCCATGCAACCAATCAAAATGTTTATAACGTCGTGACACCGAAATATTGTTGAACGACGGCGTCAATTGATATGCAATAAAACTTTTGATGCCCTTGAATTTGGTTTCTTTTTTGGGAGATGCAACTCGTACGGTGTACACGTCTCGAATCGTCTTGTAGAAATACCTAATGATCAAAAAAATAATATGAAAGATTGGAATATACAATTGGAATAATGAATAAAAAAAACGTGCAGTTTAATACCCGTTATCTTGGTGAATGATATAGATGCGTTCTTGATCTGGCACACTGATCGTTGTCGTTCCAAGAATGTATGAATCGCCGATTTTCGAAAACATGCCCGACTTCTTGAGTTTTGTCGCAGCTGAATACGATTGTAACGATGAATTATCATCAGTCGGTGGCAATGGCAATTGCACATTCTTATAGTTTGATTGTTGGTTATTTTGGTAGTAGTTTTGCGATGTTTGGTTATTTGCATTTGCAGCCGGCGGACCAACTTCACTGTACGTATCATTATCGTCGTCCCAATCGTCCTCCCATTCATCCTGCATTTCGTTATAGTCCTCAGTTTGATCATATCGCGGCTGTGGTGGTGCTTGTTGCGATGGTTGTGATGTTTGCTGTTGATAAGCTGGTGGTTGTACCAACATTGGATTTATTGGTGGTGCCATTGCTGGTGGTTGTGTTTCCACGTAAATTTCAACGTACGCTTCCGGAAATAGGCCAGTTTGACCACGCACATTGGTCCCCTCCCACCATCCTTCGCCCACGTCAGTTCGTGTCAATATCAATACTTCACCAGCCTCAATCGATATTTCGGATGTGTTTGGTTCGCCGGTGAAATCATATAATGCCTTCACACGCGTCGTCATTTCTCCACTGTTTTATTCAATTTAACCGTGATCGATCTATGGATTTGAAAAAATTATAAGAAATATTCACATTTAATGAAGTGACACAATAAATGGACACGTCATTCATTCTTTCCATGAATTATGCTAACCACAAAAACAATGACACTAAAGTAAAACAACAACAACAACGCAAAAAAAAAAAACAATTTCCCGTATAACATTGATAATGTTTTTTTTGTTTTCCACTGTTTTATATGGAATATGAAGTAGAGTACAAAGCGTGAAAGAGGAGAAAATCGTTGACTACAAACTAAACTACAACATAACAATCGCACATTCCATACACTGTCCACATTATCGACTTTCTTGTTACATATAGTTGAATCACATCGGCGTAAATTACCGTAAATAAAATAGGCGTTTTCAATGTGGTTTACATATGGGTACGCTAACACAATGACATGGATTCATAAAAATAAATAAGAAATAATAAAACAATTATGTTTGCATTCAAAGGTGATATTTTTCATTGAACTGTCTCTCTGAATTGACTAATACCAATTCAAACTACTTGTTAAACGATTTAGTTTTTGAAGATAATCTACAATTGAATGTCGTTTTGTCTCTATGAGTCACACATTTTAAATCACACAATGCGCATAAATAAGCACCCGGTCGACAATAATGATATTACCGTATGTTAGCACAGATGCACTCAATCACATTACTCAACAGCGAATGAACATTTGTTTTAAATGTGTACACAGTCGAAACAAAAAAAAAATACAATCAAAATATGTCACGCTTTAAACTTGCAATGTCCAATGAAACCAAGCCACTATCATGCATATTTAAACGATCAAATGATCGAAACAAAGAAAACGAACGAATAAACTTCAATTTTTTTTATCGAAATACTTACACTAAATTGAGATATCTATTGAACTTGAATTGCCGGAACAAAAAAAAAATCTTCAATATATTTCAATTTATGACGTTTATTACTCTCACTAGGCCAAGATAAGAATGACTACACACTTTTGATTCGTCTAGTACAAATGAAAGAGAAAAAAAGATGCAAAATATCGATCAATATATGAACCAAAAGGCAACAAAAACAACAAAAAACTTCTACCACAGACATTACGTTCATTATTTGTTTGTATCCATTCTCACGTACATTCCACAAATCAACATACAGAAGAAAAAAAACAACAAAAATCGAAAGCGATCTATTTTCATACTTTGATAGAAACAATTTGATATAATCCTCGGGAAATACCGTCCAATATGATTTAATTTATGCCATAAATGCGTACAATGACGTCTTTTAAAAATAAAATAAAAAAACAAAACTATACGAGAAAAACAAAGCGATGTGCACAATTGTTTCTCTATTTTTGTGGATTTGTCATCACAAATGAGGAAAAATACAAAAAAGACCTGTGGACCGCTACGTTACTGTCAAATGTTTCATAATTTCATAGTTGCAAGAATCGAAAAGGCCATTACGTATCAAAATTGAATAAAATAGGCCTTTTCACCGAATGTCAAAAGTGAAAAAAATCAAAGCGGTATTTATAAAATAATTTCCCTCACGACTCAAAAAAATTGCACAGCACTAATAGTGATTCTTCGAATTGAAAGAAAATAAAAGAAAAACAGATAAAATTCATAATAATAACTTTGATTTCTTAGGATTGTTAAATTGCACACCAAACAGAACACAAAAAAGGCACCATCACCAACTGTTTATCAACCGTCTCACTATGTACATTGCTACTCTTTCAAAAGTGGTTTATGTTTACAAATCGTAGGTTTTTCTATGAAATCAATAGCAATTGCTTTATTTTTCTGTTTTTTTTTTATACGGGTTAATAAACGTAATCTCGATGCCACCAAACTCGCTGCGTTGCGCAAACATTGCTGAGCATGTGAAGGAGCTGCACAGGATCGTTGATTCGTATGTCATCGATCCAAGCGATTCAAGAGCCAACATCGATCCAGGCAATTATTAGTCGATAAAACAATAACCGATTTTTATATATTTTCAGTTATTCATCTCTGCATTTGACATCCAATTCAACAATGATTGCACAAATTCCCTATATCCCTTATCTATTTATATTTTAATATTCATGAGTAATAACGATTTTGTTTTTGTTTTTTTACAGAATTGTGAGTGCACTTCCATTAAACAATATAAAAGAAACAAAGGCACACACGATTGAAAAAAAGGATGTTTATGTTATTATTTTGGTGAATTCTGTTAAATAACCGAAAGTCTGCTGAAGTGTCCAATACTTAATGAATATCCCCTAATGAGTTAATGAATATCCCTTGATGAGTAACGCACAGCTGTCATTGTACCGCATACTCTCAAAGCAAAACTGAAGCCATTCAGTTGACAAGCAAAAGTGGAAGAAAGTGGGCAGAGTTGCTTGCATCGTGAAACTACAGCAAAATCATTTAAGGAGGATTTTTTACATCAATTTCGTTTGAAAGCGTTTCGATAAACATATTTGGATTAATATTAAACAACAGCGTTGTACAAAATTATGAAAGGTGATATTGAAGTGGTAAGTGAAAATTGACGACAGAGAAAAAAAACTAACGCACAAACGAACAGAATCATATAGCGGAATAAATAGGCACTGATGGGCCAAAAAGTGGATATAATGTGAATCGACCGTATATACATACACACGCACACCGTAAAACTCCGAAGAAATCCAAAATGGCGACTTGCCTATGAAATAATAACAAAGTGACAAATTTGCCAAAATAAAATAGCTTGTATTTTGGTTTCTATTGCATTTTATGGAATTTATCATCAATTCAAAAGTGATTGTGTGCGTGCTCAGTATTCATTGATTCACAATCGAAAAATTCTTATTTTATTTTAAATTTTTCTTATTGGTTATCTTGTTTGGCGGCTTTGAATTCCGTTTATGAATTGTTGTGTTTTCTTCTGTTCGTTTCATAGTAATATTCATCTTAAAATGCTAATTTGAACTCTTATTTTGATATCAGGACATGAAAAAAGAACGTCTATTATCAAGCAACGATGACGATTATTCGTCATCGAAGAAGCACGCATCGCCACCGTCCGATGAAAATGACGGAGATCAATCACCACCGTCGAAGTCAAGAAAAACCTCCCAAGGTATGTATTGTATGGTTTAAAACAAAACTGAAAAAAAAAATTGTTTGTTGCATCGACTTTACACAGCAAGTAAATTTCAGATTAGTCGACGATTTCTTTAAAAACAAAAAAAAACAACTCTTTTTAAAATGGATCACAATTTTCTTTTAAATTTATTGATTCAAACGTACAATTTGATGAAATTTCTACTTGATTCATTCGAAAAAAAAATATTGAATTTTAAACAAATGAAATATTACCACAATCACCTTCATTGTACTGACCTAGTTTCACATCATTTGAATTTAATTCATTTCATGAAAAACTATTTCAAGAAGGTGAAAGTTAAGAAAGTAATCGAGTTTGTGTATCAATTTATTATATCTTGGCAATACGATATGCGTTCAATTATTGTGGCAGCTGATGTCAATGTCAATTACGGCTTACATTAGCATTCGCAATATGCTGTTGTAACACTTAAGATGAAATTGACCTTTCCACTCCAAATATTTTCCTTCATAAAAATAAATTCAATGCATATATATATAATTTTACAGATTAAAAATATAAATTTTACAAATTATACCGAGCTAACATAATTTTTCTCACAATAATCGATTTGAGCTAAAGCGTATTGCCATGTTTCCTTCACGGTTAGATGAATTTATCTCAAATAAAGAAAAAACAACAAAATTTGAAAGGTACTTAATTTGTAAAGATTAGCCACATGCATATTTAAAAAAAAAATATATTTATAGTTTTTAAGTAAAAAAAAAAAATTTGAAGATAAAAAAATTCAACAAATAATTATTTTTATTTCTTGCTAAGCGATTTGATTCGACGAATAACTCAATGTGGAATTGTTTGTGTTTGTGTTCTCTTTTTTTTGCTTGTCGTTTCAGATGATTTAAGCGCAATTTCATAGAACAATAGTAACCAAAAACATATACATTTAGAATGAAAGAAAAGTCGTGTTTTTTTAATAACCCCAACCAATACAGAAACTATATTCAAAATGAGATTTTGAACTGTTGAAAAAAAGAAATGAAATTGAATCTGTGGGCGCCGTTCGTATTCGAAAACGCCGTTAATCGATGGAGATTCGGTTGTCTTGCCAATATGCCCGATGTGTACGGCGATGTTTTGTTTTTTCTTATTTTTTTTTCTTTTCTTTTCTTTCTTTCTTTCTTTCTTTCTTTTTTTACGTAGGCAAACGAATAAAAAAAATATCTCATGCACGCAATTAAACCCACATACAGATACACGCATTGCAATACTCGGCAAATAACAATTACAAAAGAATCCGAGAGCGTAGAGACATTACAATACAAAAACCAATCAAACACTAGTCTCTCATGAACACGGTATGAAAAGAACCCATTGAAGATGTGCTTCACGCGAATTTAGTGTGTACATTTTATCAATTGTTTTTTTTGTTCACATTTTACACTGACACTCATCAACATATTACAAAAAAAATAAAAATAAGTAAATAAATTGGCACAGCGATTGCGGTCGGATTCGAATCCATAATAATACCATTTGCATCCACCATTCTCGAACAGAAGAAGTACATGATGGAGATGATGAAGAAGACACAAAACAAATGAAAGTCCTCCTCCCGATTATTTTTCGCCTATTTGAATATCTTTTAGCATATTTGTTCCATAATCAAAGCATTGTTTTTGTTTTTTATATGTGGTATTTTTTCGGCAGACATCCATTTTCCTATAGCGTTAGCCCCATTGAAATACACACAATCACACATACACACACACACACATTGACATACAAAACTTAAATATGAAATCGAAAAATTGTCCAAACAATCTGCGATCCAATGGCATGTGACACGAAATGCGAGCAAAGACGAATTCCATCGCTTTTGTCGTCGTCGGTCAACATCGTTGTTGAGATTTGCCCATGAGCCAATTGCCCATCGCACGCCGCGGTCTGCTCTCACACACACACAGGTTCCATAACTTCCCAGTCAACTACCCAATTGCGCTCATTGAACGATACCAAATGCAGTTAATCAAAACATTTTGGGATAACTTTTTTTAATTAATCTATATAATTTTTAGCTTTAATATGTTTTTTTTGTTTCTTTTTTTTCATTTTCATTTGTTTACAATATAGATGAAAAACAAAATTGTTGTTCGTTTTGTATGTCAAAACCAACCACCGTTTAGAACAAACAAACAAACAAACAAACCAAATCGTTATACAATTTAATTTTTCTTTCTTCATATGGCTCTTTTTCTCTCTCTCTCTCTTTCTCTCTCTTCTCTTTTTCCGGACCAAGTTCTTTGTGTTTTTCTCTTCTTTTTTTTTCTTACTTTCAGCCGAGAGACAAGTTGCTCACATGACATTCACACACATACACCTCATTCTGGCACCTTTGTTTCAACGCGTGTTTTGCTCCCCTGACTTTTTCAGTTTCCGTTTTCAACGCCTCGTCAGCCCAAATAAATAAATAAAACAAAACCGATCATGCCTATCCGAAATAACAAACTATCACTCATTGTGCGCGATTTCATTTCGAATTGGAAATGAGATAAAAAAATAAAATAAACTACAGACAAAATAAAACTGAGTTGGTGTCGCGAATTCAAGCGTGAATTGTGTGGCGTGTAGCGTGTAGCCTGTGATAAATGATATCGGAAAGAATCCGAATTTCGTAACACACTAATTTGCATTCATTCACGAAACCGCATGCAAATTGCAGATGAACCGATTCGATTATATTTAATGTCAAAGTAAACAAAAGTGTAATGAGAACAAAAATTGAAACTCGAATATTGTTATTTGTACGCATGGAGTATACTCGACAGACCACAGTAATAGCACACTCCTTCAACGATGGCAAATGAGACAAATACTATATTTTTTGTTCGACATAAATTGTGCACGACTTATATGAAAATCTGGAAAAGAAGAAAGAAAGATTGATTTCATTTTAAATTGCGAAATGTACTTCTAAGCCTTCAACGCCATCAATCCGCAAAGCAAATTGAATTGCAACGTCGTCAATTCAAAATCAAAATTAATATTCGAATATATTTCAAATTGAATAGTTAAATTTTCTTTGCGGATGTTTGGAGCTTGGTTTTTAAGTGATAGCAGCCGATGTTATTTGATCACCAATGGAAACTACTAAGTGAACAATTTAATTGAAATTTTGATTTTCATATTCGTAGATTGGCAACCGAAAATGCCATTCATAAGCGCACCATTGAATGATTTACGACAGTTAGGCGATGTGGAATTCGGGCCCGGTTCACGTTCACCGTTGCTTGGCATTTTGGGTGGTGCGCTACCAAAATTAACATCCGATCAACATGATTTAGTTGCCAAAGCCAAAAAATACGCCATGGAACAAAGTATTCGTATGGTGTTAATGAAACAAACACTGGCACACCATCAACAGGTTTGTACATGTATTTTTTTTTCTTTTCATTTGATTAAATAAATTATGCGCGAAATGTAATTTCATTTATTCTATTTTTAATATCCATAGTTGGCAAGTCAACGTACACAAGTACAGCGTCAACAGGCCTTGGCTTTGATGTGCAGGTAACTAAAATTTAAACATTTTTTTGTTATGAAATTTGAGTGATGTCGTGATATAGTCAGCATTTTTTCGAGTAATTAACGGAAATAATCAAATTATTCGAAAAGTCTGTTGAATTCGAAAATGTGCTGTAATTCAATGACGATACAAATTGTTTTAACAGAGAACAAACTGAACCAGAAATGTTGAGTCCTGGGCCCATTTTTATGGGCACAGATGAATTCCATTTTTGTATGATTACTCTAACAGCTGATAAGATCTGAGATTATTTAAAAAATAAAAATAAATTTCGTTTTCCATTGGTGTTGCAATTGAAATTTTAATTTAAAAAAAACGTTTCAATCAATTCTGTAGAGTATATGTGGGCAGCATTTCATTTGAACTGAAAGAGGATACAATTCGAGCTGCATTCCTACCGTTTGGTCCAATAAAATCAATTAATATGTCATGGGATCCCATAACGCAGAAGCATAAAGGATTTGCATTTGTCGAATATGAAATTCCGGAAGGTGCACAGCTTGCACTTGAACAAATGAATGGTGCAATGATGGGCGGTCGTAATATAAAGGTAATATAATCAATGAAATTAAAAGAATGAATTTTGTTCATCAACATTTGACTGTTTTTATTTAGGTCGGTCGACCGAGTAATATGCCACAAGCCCAACAAGTAATTGACGAAATCCAAGAGGAAGCAAAAAACTACAATCGCATTTACATTGCATCAATACATCCGGATTTGACTGAAGAAGATATAAAAAGTGTATTTGAAGCATTTGGTCCAATATTGTACAGTCGATTGGCCCAAGGTAATTCATTACACACGCACAAAGGCTATGGATTCATCGAGTATTCAACGAAACAAGCGATGGACGAAGCAATAACCAGCATGAATTTATTCGATTTGGGCGGTCAATTGTTACGTGTTGGTCGTGCAATAACACCACCGAATGCATTGATGGGACCCACACTGAATTCTTCTATGCCAACAGCAGCTGCCGTTGCAGCCGCCGCTGCTACAGCAAAAATTCAAGCGATGGACGCAGTTGCAAGTAATGCTGTTTTGGGTTTGTCAGCCGCAGCGCCAGCACTTGGCATTCAAGGCATTCAAGGTGGTTTACCGCTCGCAAATGCGGCTGTTGCAAATAGTGGAGTTGTGGCCGGAAATTTCTTAAATATTCATAAAAAAGTACCGCTGTTGCCGACACCTGGAATTGTTTTACCCACAACAACAACGCCATTGCAACCGCCACAAATTGTAAATCCAGTTCTAGGTAGCCAAGGAACAATAACTGTACCTTTAGCCAGTGCTGTACAAAGTAGTCAAGGAACCATCACTGTAAGTCTTTACATTTCTTTTTTCTTGTTGTTATTTTATATTCTTGAATGATCCAATGTTTATATTTTGACAATAGGTACCATTAGCCAGCGCTTTACAAGGATTTCATTCTCACACAGCACAAGCTACATTGGCGGCCACTTTACCCCAACAAACCGTTTTAATTCAACCACAAGCACAACAAACGCAGGCCACACTGGGCACAACACTAGCCGCTACACTTGCCGGATCGTCTGCAAACGGTGCATACGGGAGTTCACAACAATTGGTATGTGTTCGATGAATCAATGAATTACTTGATCTTTTATTTAAATCGATGAATATTTTACCGTAAATTTCATTCACATTTTAGGAACAACAGCAACAATTACAAAAGAAACTATTGGAAGAAGGTGAACCACAAACATTACAGCAGCAAGAATCAATGTCAATTAAAGGCCAAAATGCTCGCCATCTGGTGATGCAACGTCTGATGCGACCACGTGAAAGTAAAGTGGTCATTTTGCGTAATATGGTCGGACCTAAGGATATCGACGAAGAGCTACAAGAAGAAATTCAAGAGGAGTGTAGTAAATTTGGTCTTGTTGAACGGGTAATCATTTACAATGAAAAACAATCCGAATTCGAAGATGATGAGAATGCCGAAGTGATTGTGAAAATATTTGTGGAATTTTCGCTACCATCGGAAACTGAAAAAGCGCGAGTTGCATTAAATGACCGATATTTTGGCGGTCGATTAGTTAAAGCCGAACTATATGATCAAGCGCTTTTCGATCATGGCGATTTGTCAGGTTAAAAACTAAGTAAAATAACTTATACTTTAGAATTCGTATGTAAATTTAAATACATACATAAAATGTAAAAGGAATTATTTTAAAGACGTTACAAAATCAAATAATTAAATGTCACACACACACAGGCTCGACATTTGAAAAGAAAAGGGAAAACTAAAAAAAAACAATACCAAAATTTTACTTATTTGTTGACGAGAATTAGAATGGAGAATGTGAACAATTCAATTTAAATTTTAAATTAATATTCACCATCAGCGTGGTCTGTGAAGTGACGCTTCCAAAACAAATAAACCATATAGAATGATTTCTTTAAAAACAAAACAAAAGGAAGCGCTTTCAATCGCAAACGGCGATTAAACTTTAATACAATCAGTTTTGGATGTGTCTCAAATGAAAAAATCAATCGATCTATTTATGTATCTATGAATTTTTATTCTTTTCCAACACTGTTGTCCGTTACCACTTGATCGCCACATCTTAAATTTTACATTGTAACGATAGCAACGGTTGGCAATCATTGTATGTTGAATTATCTTCCAATATTGTGAATGAATTGATTTAAAGAAAAATAAAATGTATAAAATTAGATAATTCCACAAAACGAACATATTTGAAAACAAAATCGACTCAACTCAATTTAAACTATAATGATGTAAAGAAATTAAATTTATGTGCAAACAAATGACAAATAAACCACTTCAACACAAAACCAACATTCACACACATTTGAACAAATATTATTTCCAATCAAATTTCCCCCCCTCAAATTAAGTACCATTGCTGCGAAAAACAATATCGAAACAAAAAAAATAAAATGTATATAGAAAATTTGTTGTATTTTTTATTTCGTTTTTTTTTTAAATATTTATTTTACTTTAATTTCACCCATACACTAATATTGATTGAAATTTTCACATAATTTGTTAAGAGTCTTCTTTTTTTGGTGGTTTTTTCCCAACAACCGTCTCGTATTCGTCGTATCTTGGAAAATCAGACAAACCCGTAGTAATTTGTGGTGGTTTTTCTTCGCCACCTAAATACTTGTTATCAAGTTCAGCAGCATTGATTTTCTTCATTTGCATTATGGCCAAATTGTGTTTGAGCTCTTCATCTGTTGGCGGATCAACTCTACAAATTGAAAGTTAAAAAAGGTAACATAAAAGCAAAATGATTTTTTTTTCTTTTTCATTTACCTTCGAAGTCGTAGCCATGATTCCCATTCAGCGGTAAGTTCATTGTCGAAACTCTCATCACTTTTATCAGCTGGCACAAACCATCGTTCTGGACGACGTTTACCAATTTCTGGCCGTGCCGGAATCTCATAGTATTTATTACCAAAATAATCCTCTCCCATCAAGCTACCGATTTGCTGACGAGGTTTCAATGATTTCCAGAAATTTTGAAAAAGTGCTGTAAACATTGTACGATTTTTCGACATCTTTTCGGCTTTTTACTGAAAAAAAAAAATAATTGTTGAGGTTATGAACTACGATTAATAAATTTTTATTGGAATTATTTACTTTTATTTGTTGGTTTTCAATTAAATTAATTATCAGCGCATTAATTTATCAGATTTTTTTTTTTAAGTTTGTTGTTATCTAATGTGAGAATTTTGACAATTCTCATCTTTTGCACACTTTGTATGTATATGTATGTATTTAAATGTGTCAATTAATGACAGTTCTGAATGCGTTGAGAAACGTTACGTTACCAGTTGCGAAAAATATCGAATAATTTTAATTTTTATCAACTATTTTGTGCCTAAATTTATAAGTTATTGATTTATTTAAATCTGGATTGTTTGTCATACAATAAAATACAGTAAATAAAATCAAAAATCAATCTTTTTTTGTGGGACTAATAAATGCCATATATAGTGTTGGAAAATATCGTCGGATTTGTAAAGAGGTTTTACAGTTTTAACATAAAAAAATCATAACTTCATTGAAACCCAAAAATGAATTCAATGCAATCAAATTGCAACACATAATAAATGAATACAGACTGAAATTTACAAAAAATGTCGCGGTTTGGATTTTTCTTCAGAATGTATCAATTTAGCACACATTATGTTATTCTTGATATCAAAAAATGATAATATTTCAATTGGTAATCCACTCAAGTAGGAACATTTTTTTAAACTTTAGGCTCAACTACGTAAAATATTATAAATTCTGTGAAAAAAGAACATTTCAAAATGTAAATGTTTCATTACACTTCACATAAAGTTGAAAAACGTTCAATGTTGTTTCAGAGAATTTTAATGTTGTCTTGAATATTTTGCAGCAGTAAAGAAATTTTGAATTTATTTAGAGCCAAATTTGAAAAATTTAATGAAATAAAAGAAAGTGATGAAATTTGGATGAGTTTCAATTTTTTTTGTAGAAAAATATTGAAAATTGCATTGTGATCATATAAAAATAAGTTAAGTGACTAAATTACAAACGAATAAAGTTCTACCGATTAGGTCAAGAAGAGTTGCTCATTGTTCTCCAAGACAATCAACTAGCTAACATTGAAATATGATTTCAATATACATCTTCAATGGTTGATGGTATGAGGCAATTGCCTCTGGTCACAATCAAAGTAAATTAAGTGTGTATGATTGAAATAGATGATGATACACGCCTTTTCATTACAAATCTCCTCCCATTTTTGTGGTTCGCGTATTTTCGTCCACTATTTTAGTGATGAAGAACCATCATGTACTGTTATGAAAAGTGATTCGTTTTACAAAATCAACTGGTAAAATTAAGATTAACAGTCATGATTCTTAATAGTTTTTTTTGGATCAATGTAAGAAGGAAAGATATTTGTTTTTTTTTTTTTTCAATTTTAAAATTTTGGAAAAAAATCCATAATTTTAAATAGTATTTAAAATTTGTTTCAGTCGTTACATTGAATATTTTGTCTAATTAACTCTATTGTTGTGTTCGGTATGTGTTAAATTTAAGAAAGATGAAGTCTTTGTGATTGAATTCGTATGAATGATAATTATTAGTTTATTTTGCGTCTCGTAATCTATACAATATAAATGCGTTGAAAAGGTGGCAAATATTGAGGAGGTTTTAGCAAGGTGCGCACGGAAAAAATGGGGCGTAGGCAAACAGCAATTTATGTTTCAATTCAATTCGATTTGTTGTTTTTATTTCCCCTCATTAGTCCATTTTTGGTAAATCAAACCACGGCAACCAACAAGATCATCGAGTTAACGATGGCAGAGAAAGAGTAAGTCGGATAATATGCATTCGAAATGCCGCATACAAGTGTTGTCTGTTTCATGCTTTCAGGTAACGCTCGTTTTGTTAGTAATCCGCTCGTTAAATGTTGAAAAGTGGGTGCTATTCCCTTTGTCGTATACGTCTTAAAAGATCACAAATGAAACGGAAAATAAAATAAAACAACGTTGCCCATCAAATATACAAATGCAACAGAACGAAACGTAAGCAGTGTGATTTAATTGTGTTGGTAGCGTTTTGTTTAGTGTAATGCGCATACTCCTTTCGCGTACTAAGATGCGATTGAGCATGTATTTGTGTGCGAGCGAAAACGATCGGTGACGATCGATGTCGCGCATTACACATCCATTTGTCTCGCTTCAATTTTTGCCATATGAAGCTGAGTTCCGTGGTATTTTCAAATTTGATTCTATTTTAAACGCAGCGCTCAGCTGTGAATGATGTGTTTATCTGAAAACGGTGCACGAAGGCTATAACGATAAAGTGCAGTACATATAAGATCGTTGAACGACGACGTTTACCAAATAAATAACATATTTTTGTACAATTTGGGAATCAGTTCAGTTTTTTTCCATCTGCTTTCATCCGATTTTGCTGTTCCGGTAAATCGTGTAATACTTGTGTTTTATTTGTTCAACATTTTGTCCACATTTGGATTTCGCGCGCGTTATTTTTGGTTGAAGATTGCACTTGTTTTTTTTTTTTTTACAACGTATGGAGTACGGACAAATTAGTCAAAGTTTACCAAATTAAACGAAAAAAAATTATCGTTTTTTTTCCTCACTTCACCAAATGTGAACCGAATTTTTTCAATAATTTTTTTTTTAATTTTAAATTACATGCCGTTGAATTCCGTTTGATTGCGTTTTTTGATTTGATTTTATTTTCATTGTGTTTTAAGTGTGAAAAATTATTGTTAAATATTTTCTGAATAAAAAATCTAATTAGTTTGGTTTTAATGAATGAAATTGTTTCACATTTCAGATTTGATTGCTGATTAACGACGGTTATTTACATCTACTTTATAACATCTGCTCCGCTATTATTTGAGGCAGAAATTCGGTGAAAGTGTTAAAAAAGTAAAAAAAACGGAGAGATTAAAATTTATTTAAAAATTTATATATTTTGGAAAAATAAAATAAAAATTGATATTGATATCAAAACGACGGTCGAATTTCAAAGATTTTAATAAAATTGGCAAATTTGCTTTGAATACAAATAAGAAATTATCAGAAGTGGTGGAGATTTTTAAACGAATATTATTTAAGCGCAACCGATTCATTCAGCTGTTTTTTTAAAAAACATTTTCGTGTTGTCGATAACCGGGCCCAATCAATTCAGTAAGCATTTTGCAGAGAAAATACAAGAAAACAAGATCAACATTACATCGAGGAGCGCATAACGCATATGCTGTGTGTTTTGTTGTTGCTGTCACAATAACTAAAGTGCTGAGTGCAATCAATGCGAGAGCATAACCAAAACGAAGTCAGAGGGAAAGAACGAGCGAGAGAGAATTGGTCGATGTAAGCAAATGAATGTGTAACAACGTTGAATCGACTTTTGTCAAATTATATTCAGCAGCGGCTAGCATATAAACAGACGCACACATTAACACAATCCGAGACGTATTCGAACGTGACAGAGATTCGGCGAAACAGTGAAGGTATTGTGTATGTGTTTGAATGTATTGTGACTTTTTCTCTTGTTTCATTGAAAACAGTGTCTGGTTGTTTATTGCCTTCAGTTTAAGTGCAAATTTGATTGAGACGTCGCGTACCTTATAACTTCGGCAATCAAAACAACGAGACAATAGTTTTTTTTTGTTTGAAAAAATCATTTTTAAAGTTTTTATTTTCGGTTGAAATTGATTTGGGTATCTTTTTTTTTCTTTTCTATTTGGACTTTGTCTATTTTATTCTTAACACAGTGGCCAACGCACCATAACAATTTCATTTCGTGGGCAAAGTCAAAGTGAATCGCTGTGGCTGATCAAAATTACATTTTGATTCGAATTAATTTGAAGTGATTGTGTGGGTTGATTAAATGATTGTGTATCGATAGGTAGCTTAAAATTAAACAAACAATCATAAATGTCAATCCGAATTTTTTACAAATCGTATCGTATGACCGGCAAATGTTACAATTAATGTTGTCATCCTTTTATCAAAGCGATTCGTTCATCAACACCAAGTAGAAATTCAACAAATTAAAAATAATTCTCGTATGCATTTATGTATTTCGACCGTTGAATGTATGCTGTCCAATCGGGAAAACTGTGTTCAATTTAAATGCTCATTATTTTCCGTGCTCTTCTGACTCATATTGAAGGAGTGATTGTGTATTTAAAACGGTGCACAAACGATAAACCGATAACAAAACAGTAAACAAAAACTTTAAAATTGTTCAATTGGTGTTAGTTAAAAATAAAGTTTAAAGTCAAAATAAATAAAACGTCAAAACGAAATTCCAGAAAATTCACATAATTAATGGGCAATCGCTTGCTACAAATAAAGTGTTATTGTGACTGAAAATTATCGAGAAAATTGATTAAAACCACATCGGTTTAAGCGTAAATTAATAAATATAACAATTGTTTTGGGATTGAAAAGAAAAGAAAAACGAAAATCGAGTTAAAATGGATCCATCCGGGAGAGATTCACGTTATAATTTGAACTATAGCATGAGCATTGGTTTGTCAATGGGTGAAAATCCCGACATTTATGGCCAAACAAATCCGTCATTGGTGCGGCCGCCAAGTGGCTTAAGCCAATCGATGAATCGAGGTGGCAGTGGTAGTTTGATGGGCACAAATGCACAATGCGGTTCAATGTCAAATAGTCGTGGTATCAAACGCACTAGCTCTGATTGTTATGATGACCGAAGTGGAATTGGTTCACAAAGTCTGAGTCAATTGGAAGGATGTCAAGGTGGTGTGCCAGATGTTGTTGATGACAGTTACACAACACTGCAGAAAAAGTCACCACCGGCCAATGGTAAAAAGACGAAGGGTCGCGTGAAAATCAAAATGGAATATATCGATAATAAACTTAGACGATACACCACGTTCTCGAAACGAAAAACCGGAATCATGAAAAAGGTATGTGTATGCATAAATTAAATAAAGAAAATAACCTTTTTGATTAATTTGCACAAAACAACCAGAATTGTGACAGATAAATGACGAGGTCATATCAAAAAAATTCATTTCTAACATTGTTCAAATGAGACAAACTCTCAATATAAACAAAATAAGCATTCTAACCGATATTAACACATGCAAACAATTCGACACATTCTTTGACAAGAAACGTCAAAACGATGATTCAGTCAACATAACACTTGCGTATGAATAGCCCTTGTTTCGCTCTTCTTCACTTATTTTGAGTATCGTATGCGTTGAGTGTACACACGTATGCATATAATCACAATCAAATACAACTTAAGTAGTTGCACATCTATGATTATCGTACTCTCACTGTAACTCTCATTGTTCCAGATGGAAATTGAGAGATTGAGAGAAAGAGAGCAGGCTACGCGAGAAAAGAAGAGATAGAATAAAAAAACCAAAGCAAATGTTCACTCATCAATTTACGTAAATAACGCTGCGGCAATAAAACGATTTTTCCGTGTACGTTGTGGCGCTGAACTAAATTGCAATGTGCTACTTATCGCTTCGGCGTTGTGAAAGAAGTCATCGCAACTATAAATACACGATGATGAAGATGGGATTGCTTTTTTGTGTTTTTTTTTTTTTTTTTTGAGAAAAAAAAGGCAATATTGGTGTATTCTCAACGCTTCTTTCTGAAGTGTATGGTATTCATAGATTGTAGAGAGATCTCCACCCACATACACAAAAGCAACAAAATGAAAAGAAAAAGAAACCATACCAAATGGCTTTTCGCCTTTTAAATACGCATAGAAGTCATAACAATTTGCGTTATACAATCCATTAAAACAACAACTATCTCTCTATGAAATCATTTAACCAAAGACGATGACCGCAACAATAGGAAATCTGATACCATCATTGATTTGAGCTGCACTACACACTAACATTTAAATATAACAGGTCTTTACAACTGCCCAAAGATTTTGATTGAAGTTGAAACATATTTTGATAATTCAAGCAATACAATTATCTCTATCTTTTTGGTACGTATTTGAATTTGATGTACGTTGAACTTGTACCTACAAATGTCATTTATTTCAATTTAAAATGTGAATGCAATAAGCCCATTTCAGTGCGAGAAATTTTATCATTTGACTTGCATCATCCAATACAAACGCTACAATACAAAAACAATGTCAATTGGTTCAATTTCTAAAAAAAATTAAAAGAAAATCGACGTCTAAATTGTTTAAAAGTATTCAATTCTATGGAAGTATAAAGAATAAATGTTTATTGAACGGTTTGTTTGCGTGGGAAAAAAATGTGTGTTTATTGTGCGTTACTATTTTGTACAAAATCCGAATAGCCAAGCGATATTTTTCGCTCGGCGCCGATTTCATTAAAATCGCCAACTGTAATTCTGATTGATTCTGTGGGGATGCAAACGAAGACACGCTTATGCATTGAAAATACACAAAAAAGAATTCACTTACGAATTTTTTTCGCGTGCAATTTTGCAACAATGTAATTGAAATGTGCTGAGTTCTAAAATGTGGCACACATTTTTTTTCTTCTTCTTTCGAAATAGTATTTAACGGGCAAAAAAACAACGAAGAAAATGAAAATAAATGCCGTTTCAAAGGCATGCAGTGACAAACACTTTGGTCATGTTCCGAGAATTTCGGTTTTGTGTCGAAAAATTTGATGCCAAAAATATCGATCGGACGAGTGATCCAGCGGTTTTTCATCCGAAAAAATAGAAATTCTTTGTTAAACATTATTGAATGCTACAAAGAAAAGTGTGTTTTCGGGTTCAGCAAAGCAACAAGCTCGTTTTTATGTGCATAAATTCTTAAAAGTGTTTTCGGCGAATGTGCTTCTCGCCGCCACCGTCACCACACATTTTAACGAGAGAAAGAGAACAAATATATTTTCTACCTATAAAAATTGGATAGATGTGCGTTTTTCTTTGTTTGTTTTTGTTGTGTGTTCTTTCCTCTTTCTCTGTCTCTCACTCTTGTTTCTTTTATTTAATTTTTTCATTCGAGATGAAAAAGGCGGCCAAATAGAAAAAATAGGCCTAAAAAAATCGGACCGAATCGTTGTCGAATTCCCATTGACGATGAAATTTATTTTTATAATTTTCTCAAAGTAGAAGTAAACTAGCTAGATCTTCTGTTCGGGCTATAGAAATATACGCATACATGTATTTCATTCACACGATGATTTTCGTGGCTTTCGCTCTCAATCGCATTGTATCGCGGTGATTTGTTGCGTCGTTTAGCTCATGTTGGGCGGCTGTGTCAATTTTTCTGTGTTTAGCATAAATTCTTTCGTTAAAGCCAAAAGACGAAAATCTATTTTCGTCCATTTTCAACGATTTTTCTCACATTCTCGGTACGTTTCTAAATCGCCGCGCATTTTTCACCATCATCAGCAACAGTTTTTCTTGCTCGTTCGCTCACTTTATCTTTCTCTATCGCTTCTGTTTTCATACATTTTTCAGTATGAGTGTTGTAGTTTTTTGTTTCTACTTTTTTTTTACATTTTGCAATCCACGAAACAAAATCATCGACGAGATTTGCACTACATCGACTCTATACTATAATTCAATTTCTATAGTTATGGATTGTTGTTTACTCGGATTTGATGTGCTCTTGTTCGTTTCATCGCACAACACGATATCGATATTCTATCTTTTTTTATCGCAACAATTTTACATCACACGTAATTTTCCATTTATAACACATTTCTATACGATCTATGTGTGCTTTTCATTTTTCGCCTTCCGCGGTGCAAACACGTTTCCCCATTCCTTTTTTTGGATGTGGTTTAAATTTCGTTTTATACTATAAAATCGAGCAACAAATCTTATTTTTAATTTTCGGCATGAAACGAGCAGCATTCATCTCAATATGCGCAATTTAAATTTCATATTCAAGTGCCAAATATTTTATATAAAATACAATACAATTTTGAAAAATGCAATTGATGCACACTGAATTCTAACGGTATTTGTTATTTTACAGCAACGCATTTCCTATATTTCATTATCAGAAGTTTCTTTTGAATATTTTAAATATGGAAGGTTTTCATTTTATTAGAACTCATCACGTACTCCGATTACTTAATATAGAATTTGAATTATCTAGTAGAGTTCAATTGAATATACGTCGTACAATACGGTCATTCGATACTTTATTTTTATTCGAACGTAAATTTTCCATGTAACCACATGTTTCTGGGTTGATGTTTTGAATATAAACGTATTTTTTGGGCTCGTATAAATCTAATAAAAATGTGAAGATGAACCTAATAAAATATGTAAGACCCGTTTGTTGGCTCTTTCCGGAAGTAATGGTTCGATCATCCGAACAAAGTGATTTTGTTTCCGGTTTGATCGTAAAAAAAAATTAATAAAAAAAAAGAAGATATATAATGAAACAATGAATGAACCATGGTACCAATCGCAGAACCACAAACAATGGCACATACGATTGCTCATTGAATTGATCATCGTTCATCGGAAAATGTGAAATGCGTATTCATTCAAACGCAGAACGCATCATATAAACGAGCAATCAAAATACATGAAATGCGCGCAATTTTGCATTTTGACTGACGTAATCGATCGAAGTAGATATACACATATTCAAAAGTGAATATTCTTTATTTGGTTTGGCGGATGTATCATTATGTTACCACAGGTGCAACATATACATACGAAACTTAGTTTGGAAAATGAACGTTGTATTTGATCTTAAGGTGTTTACATAAAACGGTTGAAAAGCCAAGTCAATGAAAATAGGTGAAAAATTGATGTTTTCAAAATAAACGAACATCATTCATTCATAGTGATGTTGCACAGGAAATAAATTTTGGCGTCATTCAAATTATGAACATCAACACTTTCGCTGATTCTAATGGTAACACCAAAAAAAGAAAACGAAAACAAATGTCCGTTTGAATATCATCTGTCTGTGTGCACCTCTCGGGATCTTTTTTTTTTGTCTTGTGTTGTTGTTGCTTCTCTCTGAATGAATAAGTGAAAAGCGATTTATTGCATTTAATGAAGTCATTGAAATACGTCTATAAATTAATATGTTGAACAGTTGAAAACAGCCATAACGTAAACAAATCGCAAGAAAAACGAACCTGTACATCGTTAGCCAAACATGGTAAACATTACAAAATTGTATGGCTAAACATTGAAAATAAGCGATTGTGTATGCATCATTTTTTATGAAGTTAAATTGTTCGGTTCAAGACACTGAACAACACTTGTAGAGCGGTGTTGTTCCATTTCCAATAGGCGTTGTTGTTGCTGTGGTTGTTCAGGATTTTGTTCATTTGGACACATGGACACACACACACAAAACAACAACACTTTGAACATATGTTCCATCGCAGTCGGGTTGTGCGTTCTTAATTTACACATCGATACATGGACATGGTGCAAAATGTGTGTTAAACCAGGCAAAATCATAATCATAAAAATCATAGAAGCGCCATTCATACCAGCCAATTGAACGCCGCGTTTGCATTGCTCGATGCATGGTGTATTGGGCTGAAAATTAATTTTGTTCAGTGGTCTTTTGTAGTAAATTTAATAAGTCATAAATTTACGGTATGTTTTGTGTGCACGATGCTCTTGCATTGTATTCACTGTTAACACATATAATTGAGAATTTGCACTGCGCCAAAGAGACAACCGACAACAAACAAATAACAACAACAAGTGAATGAACAGCGAACAGCGAAACAGTGAAACATCGACAAATATCACAATTTAGAAGAGGAACTAAAAAAAACAACATTGAAGAGAAAAGATACAATAGCAACAACAACAATAATAATAATAATAACGATGAATAAATTGGTACTCTCAAGTTGGTTTTTTTTTTGTATTTTGGATATTCAAGTGCGCATCGATACCTTCGGGCACGAGAAGAAGAAGAAGCAGAAGAAAAGCATAAAACAATATACGT